TGATTGTATTTTAATTTCTTTGTTTGTGTTTGCCTTCTTACTATAATTCATACACACTCTACTACACTGCAACAGCAACGCCAGTATCTCTGTGAGGCTGTAATGAAAAAGAGCTTGAGGAAGAATAATAGGTTGATGTTCAAAATGTGTTAATGGGATTTTTTAGCAATTACAAGGAAGTGAATTACATATGGAGGTTTTATTGATTGGCATGCTGACATGTCTAGCGTTAAACTCCACCCTTTTCTGGTTCCAAAAAAACATGATGGCCATGGGCAAAACCCAAGATGGCGCCTGCCGAGATGCCCAACTCAAGGCTTTTATGGTAGTTCACAAACCAATTGGAGATACACTATATAGACAAAACTATTAGGCCACCTACACCTTACACCTACAGGAGCTTTTATGACATCCCATTCCAAATTCTTAGGCATTAATATGAAGTTGGTCCCCCCTTTGCAGCTACAACAGCTTCCACTCTTCTGGGAAGGTTTTCTACAAGATTTTGGAGTGTGTCTGTGGGAATGTTTGCCCATTCATCCAGAAGAGCATTTGTGAAGTCAGACACTGATTGCACTGGGGCACAGTCATGCTGGAACCCCAAACTGTTTCCACAAAGCTGGGAGCATAGAATTGTCCAAAATGACTTTGTAAGATGAAGCCTTAAGAATTGTTCACTGGAACTAACAACCCATAGCATTATCCCTCCTCCACCAAACTCTACCACAGTTGGCACAATGCAGTCCGGCAGGTAACGTTCTCCTGGCATTCGCCAAACCCAGACTCGTCCATCAGACTGCCAGATAGAGAAGCGTGATTGGTCACTCCACAGAACATGTTTCCACTGTTCCAGAGTCCAGTGCTTTACACCACTCCACCCGACGCTTGGCATTGTGCTTGGTGATGTAAGGCTTGATGCAGCTGCTCGGCCATGAAAACCCATGAAGCTCCACAGTTTGGTGCTGATATTAATGCCAGAGCTGGAACTCTGCAGTTATTGAGTCAGCAGAGCTTTGGCCACTTTTACGCACTCTGCGCCTCACCACTCAGCGACCCCGCTCTGTAACTTGACGTGGTCTGCCACTTCCTGGTTGAGTTGCTGTGGTTCCTAAACGTTTCCACTTTGCAATAATACCACTTTTGATCATTGAATATCTAGGAGAGAAGAAATGTCACAAACTGACTTACCACGTACGAATTCAGTGAGCTCTTTGGAACAACCCATTCTTTCACAAATGTTTGTAAAGGCAGACTGCATGGCTAGGTGCTTGATTGTATACACCTGTGGCCATGGGACTGAATGAAACACCTGCATTCAATGATTAAGAGGGGTGTCCCAATACTTTTGTCTTTATAGTGGGTGTTTCTCAATCGCGAGTACGCTTGCTTGGTAGCACATGTCTGCCGAGCATCTTGCTTCAGAAGCGAGTCAAGAATACTTCCTGGCATTCGGAAAACGAAGAGTGGAACACGCTAGCAAGTGTGCAGGTGTGCGTCATATGAGAGGCCCCGTCTTACATCTTCCGCCACAGATTTGGGGAAATTGGTCCGTGCGCAAAGCATTGTGGGGATTTTAAGACCGCGGAGTCTACTCATGTGCAGCCTCGATATTTCTCCAAACGGAGTACGCCGGGCTCGGTAGATTTCCAAGTATGCTGGAGATTGGAACAGTACTTCGGCGGCACTCGATGACGTAGTATGCTTGAAATAGTGGCTCTGAAGCAGCTTTACTCGCGATTGAGAAACACCCAGTGTATCATGCTGACTACATCTACTACTTAGGTACAGGCTATGTTTTTAGCAAGACACTCAACCCTCATCGCTCCTGATGGTCAGGCCTGCATCATTGTGATTGTGGGAAATGGTGAAAGAGAGACAACATTGAAAAGGGCCTTGGATAAAAGCGTGACGTAGTGCCATTAAATATCTTATAAAAGTGAATAAAGTTACTGTGTGCTTAGCATTTTCTGTATCTGCAATGACGTTTATATTTTGTCACATCTAAAGCTTCCACTCGCATCTACCTGTCAGTTTATTTGAGACACCACTTAAAGATATGAATTGCTACTGCTTGCACTGCTTACTTCCCCCTCCAGAATATATTCAAAACATGCCTTTCCTCTCCGCTTTCAAATGTTCTGATTCATGTTTTATGCCCCAACCATTTACAGCTCCAAAAATGTGTTAGAAGTATTTGATGTAATCTGCCAGAATTAAGGAGGCCATGAACCCCTCTTCAGGGGTTCATTTAGACAATAATGAACTGTCTTTACCACTGTACATCCACCACTGTGCACGGGTCTCGTGTCAAGTCAGGACAGCCCCTGGTGCAGGGAGCCGTGAGTAATGTCCGCCGTCACTGCCCCTCATGTGGACTATGGAAGAGATGCAGTGGTAATTTGTGTGCACCCATAATGCAGCACGGTGGTTAAATGGGAAAGGACCCATATTTCACATTTATCAACTGTTTACTGCAGCAGGTAGCGCTCGCTAGCCATCGCTAATCATATCCTGCCCCTCAGGCTACACCCTGATCACCTCTTTACCTCCGTCACTAGCTCTCTCCTCCTCGGTCACTCTCACCCTCCTTTTCAATCTTTCCTCCTCATTCTTTCCTTTTTTTTATATTCTTAGTGGATTTGATTTTTCCTTTCTGACCCCGCTCTGCTGAATCTCACAGCACACGCGCTTCTCAATTCCCTTTTTACTCCTTCTGGCCTCTAAGCTCCTCACCTTTTTTAGATTTCTTCTTGGGCTTTTTGTATCCTTCTGCATACCCCAGCTGTAGCCCTCCATCTTCCTCCTCTCCTTTCATCTGTTATCTTTGAGGCGTGGGACCATTGAACCCTCTCAGCACTCTCTGGAGAGGAGGCTGAGCTGAGAGAGGGTCCAGGCTTCAGTCATTCTTCAGCCGCACAGAGGAGTAAGGACAGTGAAGCAGTGAGATGATAAAAGGAATTGGGATAAGAGTCCAGGTTTACAGGACCACCTGCATGGTTAGGAAGATCTGAGGGGAGACGGGAGGAAACGGAAGGGTGGGGGTGATATGAGAAACAGCTCAGTGCACTGCAGAGACCACCTGCGAAAGTAAGGAGGGGTTATGGAGAGAAGGAGGTTATTGCTCACACAAAGAACTATACGGTCAAATACAAAACTATATGATACGATTTGGTACGGTCTGTTACGATGCAAGACTATTCGATAAGATTTGATTGGATACAATTATTATTATATCTCTTTATCGAAGGACCATGCATAAAATACAATCATTTTAAAAAGAGAAGAGATGCTATTTGCCAGCTACACACTTAACAATCAATACATATTTAAACATTTCATAATGCCTATCACACTAACTAATACAACAGATCAAATACAGATGTATACATTATAAATACTATTACATTTATCTATATAAATCTAATTGTATGACTCATTTAATACAACATCTCCATTAACAGTACATTTGGTATGATTCGATGCGCTATACGCTATCATTTTACACGATTGGATAAGAAAAACAATACGATTTGATACAAAACTATATGATGTGGTACGATACTATACGATTCCATACCGCTGTAGAACACTCCAGATTAAAAAAAACGGGAAGAATTCGCCACTCGCCCAAAGAGATTTAAGGTGGCAGAGCATATCAATTCTTTGTTTTTTCCTTTTGCATATATGTGACCTGCTCCATCGAAATCAGTCGCATTGACCGGAAGACACATTTTGAGTTGTATACACTGTTGGAAAGAGGAGATTCCTAGCTTTCTAATGGTATCAGGATTGTTGTTGTACTCCAAATATTAAGTGAAATATGTCACATTATATAATGACTGTCACCGAGTCGTCATTTTGAGAAAAAGGCCTTCAAAGTTTCCTCTTCCCTGGAATCCATCGATCTGATTGATTATTAGCAGAGCAAATGATCAAAATAGTCCGGAGGGAAGATATTTTCATTTGGATTACTGGTCTGGGGGAAGCTCGCGAGTGTGTGTGTATGTACGTGTGTGTGTGTTTGTGTAATTTTGCGTTTGTGTGTATTGTTTGTTTCCCGGGGAAAACACTCACGAGAAACACCGGCTGTTGTTATGCCTGCTGTGACGTTAAGTTACTCCGTTCTCCGCTTGTAATTATGCCGTTACAAGCTTCATAGTTGTATTTATCATCTGAATTTTCCGAAACAAGTTTAATATTCTGAAAGCCAAGACTTTGTTTATTTGAAATCAGATGAAAACAAACTGTAACGGACCCTGCCGTGTTATCTATGATTACTATACGCCTTACAGTCATAATGTCAGCCGGAGGGAGGGGGGGCGGCGCTGCGGAACAGCAGATTGCGAGTGAGAGCTGTCTTCTTCCCTTTACAAGCTTCAAACATGTATTTATCGTGTGATTTTGGAAATAAAAGTTTCATATTCTGAAAGCCAAGACTTTGTTTATTTAAAATCAAACAAAACACCCGAACCCTGGTTGCCCTTAGCTGTATAAAAAGAGCTGTCCATGTCTGCATTGTCCCATTTATGGAAGTATTTGAAATGATGACCGTGTTCTCATTTATATTCAAAGCTGAAGATTAGCCGATTGCCAAAACATAATAACAGGAGAGACTGTTCATTTGTATTCATGACGACAGTGACAGAAATGTAGCTTGTGTGTGTATTTATGTGTGTGTGTTGATTAATGATGTAAATGACCTGACATTGGAGGTCATTTTCCCTGTGCCACCTCAACACACCCAACAGCGGGAGAGGAAAATGCACCGTGGCAGTTAGCATGATGCTAATGAGATGATTGTACATGACCACTTAGCTGTTAGCTCCGCTGCTTTAATGAACTTTGATGGCAGTGATCAGGGTTGCACCAGAGTTAGATGTATTTGCTGGTGGGGTTATTCATCTTCTGTGTGTATTGTCTCAAAAACTTGCACCTGCAAACAGAATTACATTTGCGGAAAGATTTTAAAACGTCAACTTATTTATTTGTGTCTCTTCCAGGCGTTTCCTTCAACAGTGTTTACACTCAGATCTGGAGGGTGCTGCTACATCTCGCTGCAGACCCTTTTCCTGAAGTGTCAGATCTGGCCATGAAGGTCCTCAACAGCATCGCATACAAGGTACGGTGTGTTCTTTAGATGTGGTGCACTTTTAGTGGATGTATTAAAGATCAAATAACAATCAATGTGATGATTTTTGACTGTTAGTCATTTTTTAGGTGAGGGTCAACACATATTTTAGAGTGTAATAATCGACTTTTTGTCCCTGTTTCCGTATGTCAGCTCTTTTCACCACATGGTTATGCGGTGAAAAATATGTTTCCAGCGCACACACAACCACACACACACACAACCACACACACACACACACCATCCTTCCCGTAGCATTTTCTTTCTACAAAAGGCCATTACTTTTGTGCAAATGCAATTAAGGGCCAACGACTCCCCGAGGCTCGGCAGGTCAGAGCAAAGAGACTGCTGCAACTTAAGGAGCCATAATAACCACGGCAGTCCACCGCCCATCCCGACCCTCAGGCAGAGAGGCTCTAGTTTCCGAGCACCAACACCAATTTCCCCCTCACAGCGACACCTGCAATGAGACTTGCTACTGGACTGCAATAAAAAGCAACAGGACTTGATTCACAATCAAAGGCAATAAGACTTCTGTTCTACAGCTAGAGCTCTGTGCTGATTGTCTAACACCAGCTAACACTATTGTGTACCTGCAGACCTAGAGTCAGCTGAGCAAGCAGTGGTGTCATATTTATCAGAGTGTCTCCTCCAATAGACAATCTGCACCAACCCCTTACCTTCTGAGTCACCTTCACACGTCTGTTAATTGTAAGAGCTGAAGATGTAAGACTTCAATCACATTGCAAGCCAGACTCCAACGCTAAAAAATATTCCTTCCTAAAAATCTGAAAGCAAAAACATTACATTCCTAAGTTTTAAACCTGGAGTGTTTAATATATCGGAATCACTTACATAGACAACTGTTTGTACACAGCTTATCATTTTAATGCTCATCTTTCATAGACCTCAAAGACTTGCAAATGGCCTGCGATTGACTTTGACTTACTCTTAAGGACTTGCGACTTAACTTGGACTTGTCTACATTGATTTGAAATCAAGATTAAATTAGAGAAGGCTTGATTGAACAGGTCTTGAATGATCCAACACTTTTCTTTGACTTTGGACTTGATTTGAACTTGTATTTTATTTATGTATTTATTGTCTTGCCTTTTTTGACTGGAGACTTGACTTGACTATTTCACTTGGGACTTTAAATGTACTTGTCTTCTTTGCCTTGGGAATGAACCTGCAATGTTCTTTTTGAATGAAGACTTAACTTGTCTCCTTTGATGTGAGGCTTGACTTTGACTTGTCTTATGTGACCTGTTATTTGTCCTGTACTCCGACCTGTACTCCTCTTTTGTACTTGTTTCATTGACTTGAGACTTGACGTGTACTGGTTTACTTTGACTCAGACGTTTCCTGATTAGGTTGACTTTTCCTGATTTATATGATTTTTTTTTTATCTTACATGAGACTTTAATTTTTTCTCAATTCAAAATTGTATCTGATTTGTGCAAAATGTCATCTGACTGGGATGAGATCACACACTCATCGACTCCAGTTTTACTTCATTGTTAAGCTTCTTACAAAGTTTTCATGTTCTCTTTTCATGGCATGAATACGCTGAAGAGAAATTCTACATCTTGAGTCATTCTAGGACGCTCTGAATTTAGGATGGCATGCAGTCATATCAATCCCCAGAAAGAAGTCCGGTCAATTTAACATCAGCTGTGGCAAACAAAAAGATGAGTTTTCCGTCTGACACTCTTATCAGAAAACACAATGGAATACGTTTTGAATATCAATTTTGTATCTCTTCTCTGTATGCTAAAATAGAGGGAGAACAGTGTGACATTTGAAGAGAATGACAATTTAAGCACCTTTTTAAAGGCCTTACTTTCTGAAGTTAATGAGTTATCATAGATGGAGCACACATTATTTCTTGCAGAGAGCAGAGACAGTTTAATCAGAGCACATCCATCCCAAGTTCACAAGTGTTAACATCAGCCTAACTAGGAGATCCAGCTCTTTTAATTAGGTTTTTAAATGTCAAATGTTATTGATTTGGTACAAAATGAACAAGGTCAGCAGCTAATTAAAATGGACTTGCTCCTCCGATGATGAGAGCATTAAATGATTTGTAATAGCCACCTCTTGCTGCATGATTCTGGGGTGAAAAGCCTTGGGTCTTTTATTCTATCCTGACTCATCTGTGCTTCTTTAATAAGTCTGGCTTGCTGGATAAAAGAAGCTATATGCACTTGAAAAAAATGTTGAATGTCATTTTCATTCGACAAATATGGTGGCTGACAAGTGCAAATGTATTACAAAGGCCCAAAACATTTCCACTAGGAGAAACGCACTGCATTTTGAAGTCAACTACTTGACAAGATGTGCGCAGCATTTAGAAAACATTCACCAACTGGACGAAACAAGTGCAGCGTTTACTAAAAACGCTGCTAGTAGCTCAAAACACAATGGAAACGGGGACACTAAAAAGTGACGCACACAGCTAGCTTACAGCAGTTTCGCAATAATATTGGAAAGAATAATGCAAGCACATTGTTAAAATAAGCCAAAAATAACGTTATTTTAGGTTTCCATTGACAATGACATGTCATGTTCGCCAACTTTATTACCTCCAAATGTCAAAAATCCTTCGGCCCCAGCTGTGTGCGTCACTTTATTATCCCCGTTTCTGTTGTATTTGGAGCTTTTTGCTGCGTTTTGTTTATGCAACGATTTTAGTAAACGATGCGTGTGTTTGTCAAGTTGGTGAAGATGTTTCTCTATTTGCATGTGTTTTGGCACATTGGTGGTGTTTTTATTGCACCGCTTTTGAAAGTGCAGCACGTTTCTCCTAATGGAAATGTTTGAACACCTGTTGGCCACCGTAGGCGAGAGGAGATTTGAATCCCCCACCTGATGCAGCAGATATTTCCTCTCACACACCCCATGACACTCAACTTGACCACTTCCATGTCATCATCATACATCAAGGCGGTGCTTGGCACTTTCTGCACCAGCTAAACCTTTCAGAAGCACCTTCAATAATTGAACCGGAACATTCAGAGGTTTTTCTTGGCCGTCAACAGCTCTCACCCTTGCATCCTTGCAGAGCCTTTGCCTTTAGCGCTATCCACGCACTCTTTTTTTTTCATCGTCGACTAACATTCTCGCGAATTAATGATGGAGGAAGTGGGATGACACAGCAGAGTGTGGAGAGAGGCAGCTGTGAGAACCCATTACGCCACTTTCCTGCTAATGCGGGCCCTTTGCATATCACATGTTCTGGAAAGCTAGTCAGCAGATAAGGCGTGTTGCCTCCTGCGTTGTTTTGTAGCATGTTTGTTCACAACATGTTGATGATCTGCAAATGTGGAAGAATAATCCATGAACATTAATGAGTCAACTGATGAGCTCGCAAGTTTACATTCATACCAGCATCTGTTCAAACGTGTCTAGAATGTTCTTTTTCTTACAGAGATAGTTGGATGTTTTTTAAGTGGGGTTATATGAGGTACTTATCCATAGTCAGTGTATTTCCTGCTGTAGATGGTACTTTATAGGAACATACAGCAGTAGCAGCACGGAAGCAGCAAAATGTATTTTAGACGACTAAAAGAAAAACACGCTTCATTAAAACTACACAATATTTATCATATTGAACCACTTTACTCAAAGCCACTGTACTCCAAAGCAATGAAGTGAGGATGGATGAGGTAGTCAGTGTTTACATGCTAAACATGTCACTTCAAGTCAGAGTTGGACTTTTCCTCTATAATGGTGACAAATGGATCTAACATAACTATGATTGTTGCAACTATGGTAACATCATTTAAGAGTAATTTGACTAGGAGTGCACAATGATTTGAAATATGGGACTATATCCAAACAGCAGTAAGTGCAATACTTGTAAAAGCTAAATATCTGAGTGAAGCTGCAGAGAAAGTCCAAGCCGACAAACTTTCTATCGACTTATTGATACAAGATATATTTATCAATGATAATATGAATAATGTTTCAAAAAAGATTATTCCCTGTGATATTGCAAATCATATCGTAGTTGCAACAGAAGTCAAAAATAATCACAAGGTATTTTTTTCCAATTCATGCAGCCCCCAAATGTTGCCTCTCAACTCAGTGTTATTTGCTCTGTCTTCCACAAGGACATGTGTTCTGCACGGTCAATCACCTATTTGTCAATAGAATCTGATGGCTTTGGAAAGAGTGATGGTTTATCCTTGGAAAGGGCTGTCTGACAGCAAGGTAAAGGGTTGAAAATATCTTATTAATTAGGTGGGCCTTTTTTTTGAAGGTGGCTGATGCCTACTCTGCAGCAGTACATTGCTTAGCCCTGTGCAAATACAATCTGTTTCTCCAACTGCGAACACGTTTTCCAGTGGCCAAACAGTGGTACTTCCACTTCCGTGTCAGTCAGTGAGGTCATTCGGACAAAAAAAACGTTTCCATTGGCCTACAGTACATTGGGAATGACATGTCTGTAAATCAGTGGATACATTTTTTTAATGTCTAACAACTACCCATTAGGAACAGTTCTATAGCCCTTATTCACATCCTTAGGTCCTAAGAGTTATGCATGTGCTGAAAGCCAAATCTAGAGTTATTTTCCCTCTCCATTCATTTGACTGAGAAGAGAAAGTCCAGTTCTCTCTATACAAGAAAAGGTGACCACCTCCGTCTACTGCCTGTGGATAATACTTCATATAACACTTTCAAACATCCAAACTATCCTTTTAAGGCATGAAATACTCGATACTCTGACAAAATACAAGGTTGTTAATGGATGCACTCCAACATGTAATGCAGGAGAGGCTTGATAAACTCTGATCCACCCTGTAGCCTTGTGTTTTTAGTTTTTTTTAAGTTCTTTTTGTTTGAGCTTTTACTGGTTTCAAGCTGCACATGCAACCTCTTTCCAGCTCTTCAGGAGGATTAAAGCTGCAGTGTGAACTTCAGTTTTGCTGTTTAATGATCATGTCATTGTCTTTGCATGATGTCTGCCGTGCACTGCTGCATTCACACAGGCAGCTACCCGTCACCTTTCTGTCTAAAGTCATCAAGCTTTCCTCTGTTTGTCCCTTTTTACCATATTGATCTTGTGTTTGCTTGATTAGAAAAGGTACTTACGTTAGTGACTGAGCTATTTCCATAATAACCCTTTCAGCCGGCGTTACTGCCCTTTTTTACATTTCAAATTGCCTTTTAATGAAGCAGTAACAGCTAACCCTGGTAACTGATGTCTTCTCCCCGCCGCAAATGCAAAACAGTGGATTTAATGTGTGTAAACTTTGCATTAAAAACTTTTCTCTCTCCCCCTCAGCCTTTTAGACAAACAAAAGATACTCGATGCAATCGTGCAATTAGCATAGAAATGAAATCAGAGGTAGTAAAATGCATTTGCCTTTGTTAACTAGATTTACAGCGCTTTTCTCCACCTGGCTCGAGTAAACAACATCTCTGCTATTCATCAACGATGCTTTGCCTCTATTGTCTTTATTAGGTTTACTCCTCCCCTGTGAGAAGCCGTTAGACAACGCACAATGAGAAGTTATACTACCTGCTCCGTTTAATGACATCAAGTTTGAGGATTTTAGCCAAACTTTGCAAAATGGGAATTGAAATTTGATATTTTCATATGTTAAAATAGCAATATTTTGGTCACTGTAAGTTGGTCAACACTGGAAAGTATCCCAACATTTTTGAATTATACTAGAAGAAAATAAGAGATGTTTTAATGTCTGAGTGACATAAGGTGCATATATTTAAAATCTTTGGTGTAAGAAGTTATAACAAGGGTAAATGTCAGTCATCACTTTAAAATGGACTTCTTTCACTTCTCAAGAGCAGGTTATGTTGGAGATCAACTCAAAGAAATGCACTGCCTGCTGACCAATCAGAACATAAATAATATTACACTAATATGAAGAAGATTAAGACTATTAAGGCATTTTCCAGACTAAGGGAAACGCAGTTTAACCTGCCAAATGCAGTAAGGACCGCTGGCAATACATTGCATACTGATTGAATGTGTGAATGATCAGAATAAAACTGCCAATATAGGAAAGATTTGACTATAATTACATTTGCAGTAAGCCAGCTTACTTATTTTATGATCATAGACGTCACAGCAAGTAACCTGAGCAATGTAGAGCAATGCATACACTTATCATTCATATCACATCATATTTTCACTTATCTGTGTCAGCCTTTTGAGCCGCATGATGCGGTGCCACACCTCGTGCACAGTGTCGCAGACTGTGCATTGTAAGTGCTAATTTGCTACAGATGAATCACTTGCATGTATGCTGTGAAGGATTATAAGATAACTTTGAACTAAAGCACACACATTCACATTAGTGTATCGGACAGAATAACATGTTAAAGACGGAATAAATATAGCTTGCACATTAGATAATGCTTCAATGACCTTTTGATAAACCATCACCCTATTAGATATGAAAGTAAGCTGAATTTCATGTTAGTATAATAATGTTTGGGGATGAAAACAATATCCTTAACGCGATCATTTAAGCATTCACACAGTTGCACATGTAAGCCGTATGTTCTTTCTGCACTTACAGTAGGAGCTGCAGTAATGTTGCTCTCAGCATGGATTATGTATCTCACAAATGTACATGATTTAAATAATTTATTTAAACATTTTTCTAATATCAGTCAACTTTTCATCTTTGACATATGATGCTCTCCTGACAGTATGCTTCTCCATGTTTGTTTCTGGTTTAAATGTCGCCGGCCCCGCCTCTCTCATGTGAACGTGCTCATAACCTGAATGATAAACCCTGGGTTGACCTTTAGAGATATGCAGGGTGTGTTGAGCTGGTTTCAGACCACAGGTGTCTCTCGTGAGAATTAAAACTCACTTTCTTTGTCCCCAGGCGACCATGAACGCTCGGCCCCAGAGGATCCTGGACTCGGGCTCTCTCACCCAGTCGGCCCCCGCCAGCCCCACCAGCAAGGGCACACACATCCACCAGGCCGGGTGAGAGAACAGCTAACACACACACACACACACACAGAAACATTACCACAATAAAGCCTGAAACAAATGCATCCAGCAGCCTTCCTTCCAGCAGGACTGAGACACAGAGTGAGGAACCTACATTTGAAGAATACTAAAACCACTTCAAATGTCTCGTTTTGTTTTCATGACAAAAACTAGTACGTAGTTCAAGGCTGGTAACAAAGCAAGGAGTCACACACACAGCATTCATTACATTTCATAAGATATGTTGTTATGTGGTCTGTGCCTGAACAAGAACAGACAGGGAAAGGTTATACAAGTAATGACATAATAATGACGCTAAACCCTGGATATAGATATTATATGATGAATATGAAATATAAAACAGTCGTTTTCCATACTTGTTTCTGTTGACACTAAAGCTACGTTCACACTCTGAATCACAAATCCTTTATGTCCCACAGAGGGGACTTTTACAGCGTCAAAGTTAAGGAACAATGCAGATTAAAATGCTAGATTAAATAAGTAAACTAACCTATTCAATAAAAAGGCCAGCACGCATTGATAAAATCCAAATAAAATGTTTAGAGGTCCTCATCCAAGGTGAAATAAAATGAGTAGCAGAATTATAAAAGTAAATTAACATAACAAAATATGTTATGAAGCAGCCAGAAGTACATCACTAAATTGTAATGAAAAATAACAAATCGAATGCAATCTGAGGGGGATATATGAAGCCAGATTAGAGGGTTAGCGAGGTATGTTGAACCTAAAGCCAGAGTTTTCCGTACTTCAAAGGTGGTTTAACCCGGCTAAATCGCCATGCCAACTTACACTGCATACATTACCTGCTTTAAGCTTGAAGTCATCAAACACCGCCGATCAACTAGTTCCTTTTAAAAGCGTCACTTTATAGTCAGTCTGTGAGAGGTAAATATTATACATGATACAGTTACAGTAGCACATACTGTATGCAATGCACTAGTTTTTTTTTATCAGTGGCAATCTATGCAGGACATCAGAACAATATATTATTCATCAGTATGAAGTTCACTTGCAGATAAAATGTGGTATAATTCCTTCAATTTTCACCACTTGGAATATGTTTTTCTGACATATTCTTATTTGCTAAGGTCCGTTTTACACTTCATTTCACTTTGATTTAATATGTCCGACCTAAATGCAATTTTAAATATCTATAGATTAAATCTGTGGCACCATGCTTAAAGATTAAGAGCTGTAGAATGTGCAGTTGTCACATTTGAAATGAACAGGAAGCACAGATTGCATTGAGTGGTAAATTAAACATGTTCGTCATGATATTACATGATTAATACATTTCTTCCAATTGTCATCTCTTATTTGAAGTAACATGCTGGCTTAAGCCGTGATTTATTTGTGTAACCTTATAAGGCGGAATAAGGCGGAGACTGCTCCCTTTCATGCGGTTTATTAGTCATATGACGCTCTAAACGTTTTATGTTAGCGGCTCAGAGCCCAAGGAGGAAAGTCTGAGATCACATAGATACCAGCTTCATGGTCCCTGTCAACTCTGATCAGGATTTTTAGTTTTGCTGAGCCAGCTTAGTCAAAGAAAGTATACCCCCCTGGTCTTTACAACTCTCAATTCCACACAAATCTGAGAAATAGTGCATTACTGCTAGTGTGAACTTATCTTTAGACATGAAAGGTGAGGCTGATGGGCTCTAACTTCCTGTCCTTACATTAAAGTCTCTGCTCCTCCAGTGGCTCCCCCCCCATGCCCAGCACCAGCAGCTCCAGTCTGACCAACGAGGTTCCCAAACCCCCGGCCAGAGAGCCCCCGGCCACACGGCCCCCCTACACCCCCACCCTGGGAGGGCAGGCGCCCCACTCCCACCAGTTCCCCCGCACCCGCAAGATGTTTGACAAGGGACCGGAGCAGGTAGGGGCCGCACCAGTCTGTTTTTTTGTTGTTGTTTAGTTTAACTCTTTGAACTGTGGGAAAATGTGTGTGTGTGTGTGTGTGTGTGTGTGTGTGTGTGTGTAGGGAGGGGAGGATGGTGACGAGCCGTGCCACAGGAACTACATCAGCGCCTCCCTGCAGACGGGCCTCTGTGATTGGAGCGCCAAGTACTTCGCTCAGCCCGTCATGAAGGTACTGTCCTCTCTTTTCTTCTTTTCACTCTGTCCCATCTGTGTGTCTGTGTGTCTGATTCAACAATAGGCCACAAAGTCATGCTTTTATCATTTTGAAACATGTGTGAGGGGGGGGGCTGTGGCTCAGGAGTTCGATGGTAATCCTCCAATCAGAGGGTCAGTTGTTACATTAGGCGCGTTCACACCGCAGTACTTTTCCCACTTTAGTTCCGATATAGTTCCGAAATGTTGCGTTCACACCAAAAAGAGCCGCAACTAAAATTAGTTAATGAGAACCTTTTTACCCCCTTTTCCGTCCCTGCTAGAGAGCAGGTACTTTCGTGGGAGAAAAAGGTTCCTATGTCTGATTGGCTGGGGGGATTGCAAACCACGCCCCGTAAAACTCCCAAAAAGTTTTGTGAAGCCGCCATTTTATTATCCTCGCATTAGCATTATTAGCATTAGCCCAGCGCAGAAACGCAGAGAGACTAACTTATGGCAACACAAAAGAAAACATGGGAGCGGTGGAGATGAGGAGGTGTCGGCGTTCTGGCGATTTACTCGGAAGGCTTCAGTAGAAGCTGCTGGAGTCCCAGCAGCTTCTACTGAAGCCAGTCCCCAACTCCGGGGACTTCCGGCCGGGGACTTCGGGTGGCAGTATACGCCGTGAAGTTGTTTGCGGCCTGCCAGTAAACCCAAAGCAGAAGAAGAAGAAGTGACGTCAGCGGCTTCATTTGCCTAATCCTCCCTCAGGGACTTATTCCAGTGTGAACGCGATCTGTACTTAGTTCATGAGAACTAAAGAGTTCTCATGAACTAAGTTCTGATGAACCTTTGTGGGAAAAGTACTGCGGTGTGAAAGCGCCTCATGTGTCCTTGGGCAAGATACTGAAACTTACCCCAAATTGCTCCCAATGGCATGGCCAACTGTTTGAGTGTCTTTTTCTGGCAGCCTCTGCATGAATGTGTTAATTCTGACTCCTTTTGAGGGGTCGTTAGTCCTGGACAAGCGCTTTATAAAATGCATTTGACAATTGCAGTCCAGTCCAACGTACTGCTTTAAAGAAATGCAGACATTTCTACACACAATAAAATAGACCAAAAAAAAGGTCCATCTTACTTTAATCACTCATTCAAAAACAATTTTTTTATTCCTCCAACATAAAAACTAGTGATTCAAAAGCAGCTTAGATGGGTTGCTAAGCAACAAAGAATTACTATGACAGGTTTTCAGTTTTCACATAAATATTGATGTGGAGTGGTGTCATAGGTCCACGTTAGTGAGGCATTTTACAATGCAGCAGAGCCCGAGCCATCTGAGGACAGGCGCATGTGAAGTATTTTGGAAAGTAATGAAGTCCTATGGACCACAGCGGGCCGGGTCCCCCCCCCACTGTGAGGAAGCACCTGCTGCTGCAGCTACACGCTTCTCCTGAATAACTGAGCACCCCTGCTCCATAACTTAATGTCCTCCTGAGGAGAATTTCAGATTAAAAGAAGAGCTTTTGACCGTGCACAGTAGTCGCTGCCGAATTTTGTAAAATGAAATTAGGCTTCCGTCTGTTTGAACAGCCTCAACATGCCGTCCTCCCCTGGGGGGTAAAACAAATCAGCACATTATGTTGAGGTTAACCGAAGAAGAAGGGAATTATTTCAGAAAGAGTTAATAATGAGGGTCAGCTAGAGGAGAGTTTTGAGGGTAGAATAGGAATTGTATAAGAAATTGATGTGAGCACGGGAGACAGAGCAGCTGATACAGAGAGAAAAGTAGATTCACTTGTAATAAAATATTTACAACTCAAAGACATTTAGGGCAAGAAGAGGGACGGAGGATGTAGAGAGAACGCAGAAAGAAAAGTAATACATGAAAAGAAGAGAATACACGGAGGGCGAGGAGGAAGAACAGAGGTGTTGGAGGTAAAAAACAGAGAAACGTGTCTGAGCGTGGCGAGTAAAAGGAAGATGGAGCCAGAAGAGGCAACAAAAGGTGATAAAAGCACAGAGATGATTGGATGGGACTAGTAAGTGAAAGAGGAGGAGAGGAGTTTGCCGTAGCGCGAATCAGAATGCTGCGTTTGCAAAATGTTGAGTGCTGCCATAAAACTCCACTCCATTACAAAGGGGTGTGTGTGTGTGTGTGTGTGTGTGTGTGTGTGTGTGTGTGTGTGTGTGTGTGTGTGTGTGTGTGTGTGTGTTATATCTTGCAACATGTTGCAAGAAACAGCGTCTGAGGGCTTCTTAACGTTTAACAAACAGGAAGAAACTCAGCTATCAGACAATATTAACCATTTGTAGCTAAACGAAACACAAGGGTAATAACAGGCCTCTGAATTAGCCCTGAGCGAAAAAATGCTAACGCACTTAGCACAGAACTCACGGTAGAAATACTTTATTACTTTTCGGATCTGCACAAACAAGATATCAGATTAAAGCTGAGATTCCACAAACCTGCGGCAGGGGAAGCAAACCCACACAACACACAACGTAGCTTTACGGGACCAAAACGGAAAATAAGTCTTACCGTTGCTGTTTTCTGATCAAAAGTTATGTTCAATGGCATTAAAACGCATAAAACGTTGCTGAAGGTTAATCCAATGGTTAATCCAATGTGTCTGTGTCACTTTGAAATGATTACTGATAATCCATCGTCATATTTAAGGCAAAAACTGAGTTTTCATATATAGCTGCTATGATAGCTACGAGAGTGTATGACAGCTTCCGGTTTTGGGCATTCTGGCTGCGCATCACTCTATTCACCAATGGGTAATGTTTAGATGGATTTTAGGAACTTCCCCTCGATTCTATTGGCTCTAACGGTTAAAAAGAGGTGTCATTCATCAAAATCGACCGAAGGGGGCCAGAGATATGGAAAATCCACCCAAATGACCCCAGAAGTGGGTTTTTTTCTTCTAAATCTCTCTATAAAGGTCAAATTTCACTTGTTTTGCATCAATCTTGATACAGGGTACTTATTATATGTTATAGTTTGGATTCCTAAAGCTTTTAGTCTACTTATCCCATTATTCAAGGGTGGTTTTCACTATAAGTAATGTTTTTTTTTGACGGACACTATCATTTACATTTTTTTACTATGTTCAATCTGAATTTACTTGAAAATAAAAAACATCTATATTGATTCTGACTTGTCTACATCCAACTCACAGGTGTATCATTGCTTTGAGAAAAAAGATTATTAATTTACCCCTTTTAGAAGTGAAGAAATAGTCATTTGTTCTGGGCATGTCACTTTCGAGCCTGAGACCTGAAAAACAGGCTTGGGGCTTAACAGGTTAAAAAGCACACACTGGAACCAGCATTTAAAATCACACACACTGCAGCAGCTTTTTTCTGTTGTTCACCCTCTGTTTTCCTTTATTCATCTGTCAAATATGCACACTAATAGCAAAGGCCTAGTTTTTAATGTACAATTGTAATATTTGAAAAATGACAGATCAGCTTCATATTACACTCTGCATATTGAATGTCATGTTAAAGAAGGGAGTCATTAAACTGAAGGCTGGACTAAATCTGTGGAGGCCATTCTGTTACATAAGACTTAATGTCATAACTTTTTTAATTCCCTCTGCTCAACAGATGTGATTGCATAAAGTGAACTTGATTACTTGAGTCATTTAAAGTATATGCATAAGCTTCACTTAACTTTGTACTTACAGTAGCTAAGTATTCGGGCCTGTAGGGTGATGAGACAACTTGATCACTTTTGTATTAGCAATGATCCAAATGGTGCAGTCTTAGAAGAAAAGTGTGGGCTGATTCTGAGCTGTAGAGGAATAGTTTAGAAAAACTGTTTAAAGGTACTGTCTTAGGAAACTGCCCTATTTTAACATTGACAAAACCATGATGATCATGTTTTATCGTGCTTTTATCGAGTCAATTCTGTCTTTTTCACTAATGTCATGGTTTGGTAATCTGACTTTAAAGAGCAGAAAGTCTCTGAGTCAGATCGTAAAGTGGTCCAGCAGACTGATTGGTGAGCCACAGCTAAACCTGGAGACCCTGTACCTCAGGCAGTTATCCAGCTCCATATTAGATGATGACTCCCACCCTCTGCACTCAGAATTTAAGCTTCTTCCTTCGGGCCGGAGGTTAGTTGTCCCAAAGAGTAGAACGAAGCGGTATAAAAACTGTTTTATCCCAGCAGCTATTGCACAAATGAACACATCACAGGAGCGTCACACAGATTTTTTTATTTTTATTATTTATTTATTTATTTAATTATGAATTTTGAATGTCCATGTTTGTACTAGTGTTTTCCTTCTTAAATGTTTTGGAAATATTTTGAGATTTGACGGAGCAGGGTGTACTTGTGCTTTTTACTAGTCCTTTTATTAGAGATGCGTTTGTTTTTAGAGTGTGTCAGGATGGATCCCTTATCTTTTTCTCTGCAAACAAAATCTACCTACGGGTACAAATAAAGAACCTGAACCTGAAGGGTTGCTTACACAATTTATTTCTGAGAACAAAATTAGAAAATCTCTGTGTTCAGTATTGAGTATTTGGCCTAGCTTAGCATAAGGTCAGACTGGAATGCATCACACCATTTCTTTCAGGAAACAACATAAGAATATCTATATCAATGTTTTTGTTATGTATTGAGCTGAGCAGTTGTGCAGGGCGGTGGTGGCGAAGTCCATAGGGACTTGGCTTGGCAACTGGAAGGTCACCAGTTTGAGTCCCGGCAAGACCAAGTGCTACCGAGGTGTCCCTGAGCAAGGCACCGTTCCCTACACTGCTCCCCGGGCGCCGTCCACGGCAGCACACTGCTCCTAACACTAGGATGGGTCAAATGCAGAGGAACAATTTCGTTACATAGTACCTGTACTGTGAAATGACGATAAGAGAATAAAAAAAATTTAAATTAAAAAAAAGTTAGCCTAGCTTAGTCTAAAGTGTAGACTAGAATGAAACAGTACGGGGAAATTGGCGCAACCATATTTTCAGAGGAAATAAATAACAATATCAGGTTACATCTTGTTTACATTTGTTATGTATTGAGATGGACTGGTTAGCCTAGCTTAGCGTAAAGAATACACTACACATTTTGTGAGATTTCGTACACATTTCATTGACAACAAAATTAGAAGGTCAATATTAATCTTGTCTCTGTGTTAAGTAGACAGATGGACTGGCTAGACTAACTTAGCAATAAGACTAGAAGTACAGAACTAAGCTAACATATACATACAAATATATATGCGTGTTATCATATTTAAAAACTGCCTCTGCATTTGATTACTAGATGTTTTAGTAACGTAAAAAATGTACTTGATATATATGCATTTATGTACTGTGGACAGTAAAATACTTACACTCATATTTCCCTATTTTATTATAACATAAATCCCATATATCTGTAAGAATAAGAAACCATTATATCTCACCAATCAAAGATCCCATTTTAAGACAGTTCCTAAATTATATCAGCAAGGAAACCTTTAGTTGTATTTAAATCTGCTTTATTCCTAATGACACACTGTTCTTATCACTCTAAACAAGAAATCCTTTCAGAAATGCACTTGACTTTTGAGCAGGTACTTCAGATAACCACCTCCAGTGTTGAGTTTATCATCCAGAGAAGAGTTCTGGCTCTTCCAACAGAGGAGGGAGCAGAGAGACCTTTGAGGGTGGATGACAGAAAAGAGAGGAGAGCAGTAACATCAAAAGGGTCTACAAAAGTGCAGTGATGAGGTGAATCCCTCAATTCAATTTCATTTAAAGGGGCTTGATAGGCATTCAAGAAACAATATTGCCAGAGTATAAAAACGTATATGTGCACTATAATAATTATATGAATATTAACTTATTAATATAATAGTAAGATTATTATACATTAAAGATATACTGTATATATAGAGTTCAGTACATTTCTGACTCCTTCTCTCAGATCCCAGAGGAGCATGACCAGGAGAGTCAGGTGAGGATGGAGCGGCAGTGGAGGTTTCTGAGGAACACCCGCGTCAGGAGGCAGAGCCGAACCATCACACAGAAAGGTGAGTGACGCACACACACTAACACACAAAATTAGATGAAACATGCATGTTAAAATGATGATTTGTTTCTTTGACATACTGTACAACGAACATTGAAAGCTTCAATAAAGTGTACTCTTTATAGAAACAGTGGATTAAAGTGTAATGTGAATGGGCTATTGTCTATAAAGACTTTGTTTGTTCAGCTTTGTTTGTAAATCAACACAAGTTTCAACATGGTCAGCAACAGTAACTTACATTCTGTAGAGTTCACCACCTGCACAGCACTTAACAGCAAAACGGCAAAGTAAGCGACTAGCTGCTTAAGAAGGAAGCAAGCTAAAGGCTAGCTGGAAAGATCATTTTTTGACAAACGCTAAAAAGAGAGTGAAATTGAGACTGGCATTGGCCAGGCGGCCAGAAACAACCTCACATGTTGGTGTTCAAAGTATAAATAAGCAACTGTTTGCAAACGGGTCAGCAGTAACCGCTTTAAAGTGAATAATATCAACGTGCTTAAGAAAATATGTTTTACATGTCATATTAGCTGACACTTTTGTCCAAAGCAACTTATATACACTTTAATTCTGTAGACATGCCTGAAGGAGCAATCTGGATTGAACTATTTCTAATTGATAAGAAGTAGGGCAGTCATTGTTACACATAAAGGCTGGTGATTCAACCATGAAGCGTTTAAAAAAATAACAACAAATTACCAAGTTTGACCCAAAGTTGCTCCCATAATACCAGCGCTGAGGTTTACCATGAACCACATGGCAGTGAAAAGGCAAAGGAATTGGCATTAAATATGTGTATTTCACCAACTAGAGACCACTGGCCATCAATAAGAGGCATCAATACCTCGATGAAATGGAACAGCACACCTTCATTCACTTTAAGTGACGACGGAAGAAAGTCACTTTGCTGAAGCATGCACAAGCATAATTCACTTTCATTTTATTGTTGTGGCTTTCAAGGATTTTGAGGCTTGGATTGGGGTTATGAGGTTCAGAGTTTCTACTTTGCTTTGTCATCACTCGACAGCATATATTTCCTTTTTGTCATTTAGCTTCAGGGACCTCATGTTTATTTATTCAGTTTGGTTTGTAGCAACTGTAATTACTTATTAGAACTGCAAACAGTTCTCATTACTGTCACATGTATTCTGTTACTCCAATAAAAATTAATTTAACCTTGAAGGAAGAATTGCCTCGTGTTGAAATGTGCTTTATAAATAAACTGGCCTGTCCTTGGACTCCAAATGCAACAACTTATGTACTTTATTATATTTGGACAGACAGAAGTCCCTGGCTTAGAGGACAGGATTCTTACCTTTTGTACTACAGTCGTTTCTGATAGAAGCTCTACCTGCAGTGTGTCAAATAAAGTGCAAAAATCACAGAACATAAGCGCTGAGATTTTGTCAGAATCATGTTAAATTAAATGTATTTAGAGGGGAAATCAGGGTGAACTCCAGACTGAGACACGACCAGGGTGCCCCTTTGTTTCTGACATGAAAGTAAGTATGCAGTGAGGCCAGAGATTGAGTGCAATCTACCCATAGTCAGAACCAGTGAAACCAGAGATGTAGTGGTCGATACCAATACCAGTGAAAACTAAAGTTCTCAATGCCATAAAAAAAAGAAACGGTAAAAAACACAAACACGTTGTGGCCCCGCCCCCTTTTTGTTGAAAACATTTTCTGTCATTTTACTTGCGGTAAATAAATAATTTAATTGAAAGCAATAGAGGATCTATGTCCGGTCAGTCTGCCGGTGGATGACTAGCTGGGAACGGCTGACACTTAAAGTGAGATTTATGATCAAGTTGACCTTATTAGCATCATAATGTACAGTGCATCCGGAAATTATTCATACCCCTTAACTTTTTTTTCTAACATTTTGTCATGTTACAGCCTTATTTCAAAATGGATTAAATTCATTTTTTTCTCAACATTCCACACACTATAACCCATAATGACATAATTTTTTGCAAATGTGTTAAAAATAATAAAATGAAATATCACATTTACATAAGTGTTCACACCCTTTGCTTTGACACTGAAAATTGAGCTCAAGTGCATCCCGTTTCCACTGATCATCCTTGAAATGTTTCTATAACTTGATTGGAGTCCACCTGTGTTAAATTAAATAGATTTGACATGACTTGGAAAGGAACACACCTGTCTATATGAGGTCCCACAGTTGACAGTGCACATCAGAGCACAAACCAAGTCATGAGGTCCAAGGAATTGTCTTTAGACCTCAGAGACAGGTATGTATCAAGGCACAGATCTGGGGAAGGGTACAGAAACATGTCTGCAGCATTGAAGGTCCCAACGAGCACAGTGGTCTCCATCATTTGCAAATGGAAGATGTTTGAAACCACCAGGGCTCTTCCTAGAGCTTGCTGGCCAAACCAAACTGAGCAATGGGGAGAAGGGCCTTAGTCAGAGAGGTGACCAAGAACCTGATGGTCAGTCTGACAGAGCTCCAGTGTTCCTCTGTGGAGATGGGAGAACCTTCCAGAAGGACAACCATCTGTGCAGCACTCCACCAATCAGGCCTTTATGGTAGAATGGCCAGAAGGAAGCCACTCTTCAGCAAAAGGCACATAAAAACCCACATGAAGCACCTATGCCCCTTTCACACCAACACGGTTCCAGGGCCGGTTCGGAGCTAGAGCCTGAAAAGCACAGTTTTTTCCTGTTCACACCGCAGCGGAGTCGCCTCTAAGCTCCGAAAACCAAAACATTTTCGGCCTAGAAGCAAGAACCGCATACGTCACGCTTACGTCGGAGGGGGGGGGCGAGATTAACGTGAGCTAACAGTTTATGGCGAGTACGGCAAATAAAAGTTGTAACAAGCAGTTGTGAGCAAAGTGACTAGAACGCAACCACACACTTATAAAAAAAAACACACTTTATAAAGTCAGGCAACACTAACCAGGCTTCGTGTGATTCTGTTTATTTGTACCTTACTTTGACCATTCGTTCGCTGTTATTGATCATTGTGGAGAGCAGGCAGACGTTTTGTTTTGTATTATAGCAGCTATCGGATGGAATCAATACATGGGCTGCACAGGTTGTCATGTCCGACTATCACAAGTAGAATCATAATGAAAAATACGCCGGTAAAATGTGCCTGTAGAAAACGGCTTATGCCACAATAGGATAGCAACAACAAGTAGTCAGTTTAGCTTCGGTTGCTATGCTAACATCACCCATTTTATACCAGAGAAACTTTAATAACAGCGTTGTGATGCCAAACAGCATCAATTCATACTGAAACACATTCTCTTTGGGGATATATATCAGCTGCTTGTGTGACAGTCAGACAGTGAATACTTTACAGCGGCCGCTGCCGTGTGAGCTAACCCGGAGCTAACGGGAAGAGCAGCACTGCAGCGGTCGGTAAATGCCGCTGAAACACAATAATAAACAATGAACCACGGCACTCTGGAGAAAAGTATAAGGTTGGAGAAGTCGTTATTTAATTGAATCTGGCTTCGTATGATTAAAACACGATCAGGGGAGAAAATCAGCGACGTAAATGGTGACGTCATGACGCAGCAGCGGCAGCACCACTCGGGCTCTGGGCGGTGTGAACAAAACGGGCTGAAAATAAAAACCGGTTCCGAACCAGAAAAGCTCTAGCACGGAGCTAGAACGGGAACCGCGTTGGTGTGAAAGGGGCACTAGAGGACTCAGACCATGAGAAACCAAATAGTCTGGTTTGATGAAACCAAAATGGATCTCTTTGGCCTGAATGCCAAGCATCATGTCTGGAGGAAACCAGGCACCGCTCATCACCTGGCCAATACCATCCCTACAGTGAAGCATGGTGGTGGTAGCTTCATGCTGTGGGGATGTTTTTCAGCGGCAGGAACTGGGAGACCAGTCAGGATCAAGGGAAAGATCAATGCAGCAATGTACAGGGAGATCCTTGATGAATACCTGCTCCAGAGCGCTCTGGACCTCAGACTGGGGCCAAGGTTCACCTTTCAACAGGACAACGACCCTAAGCACACAGCCACGATAACAAAGTGTGTGAATGTCCTTGATTGGCCCAGCCAGAGCCCAGACTTGATCCCGATTGAACATCTCTGGAGAGATCTGAAAATGGCTGTGCACCCGACGCTCCCCATCCAACCTGATGGAGCTTGAGACGATCTGCAAAGAATGATGGGAGAAACTGCCCAAATATAGGTGTGCCAAGCTTGTAGCATCATACTCAAGAAGACTTGAGGCTGTAATTGCTGCCAAAGGTGCTTCAACAAAGTATTGAGTAAAGGGTATGAATACTTATGTACATGTGATATTTGAGTGTTTTATTTTTTATTCATTTCAAAACTTTTTTCATTTTTTCATCATGGGGTGTTGTGTGTAGAATGTTGAGAAAACAAATACATTTAATCCATTTTGAAATAAGGCTGTAAAATAACAAAATGTAGAAAAAGTGAAGGGGTATGAATACTTTCCGGATGCACTGTAGCTGTGATAAAGTGTTTCCCATAGACAAACATGTATTGACTGACCGGGTCCCATTCATTGCGATCTCCGTCTTTTCTATGGAGGTCCTGATGCCAAGGGTTAAGAGTGGATGTTTTCATTTATCTTCCTATCTCATAGGTAAAGGTATAGAACATCTGAACTTTGGATCTTTTTGTTGTTTGACATGCAGCTTTAAGGCATGATAAAACATTCTGCACAATCCGCTTAGCACCAATTCTTTTTTCTTCACCGGAAAGTGGGCGGGGCCATTATCTCACCAGGCAGTGATGTAGCTTTGCTCTCGTCTATAGGAACCGATGAGCACAATGGAAATGTTAAATGTCCTATTTAAAATGTTATCGTTTCGACATAACACTGGTAGTCTCCGATAGTCCTCCAGTAAAACGTGTACTTTTATGTTTCAGAATGCCAGCACCTACTTGGTTCTAAATTATCGGTTCTTTCGACACAGTCAGATACAGCCCCTTTGTGACTCACAGCCCCCCCCCCCCCCCCCACACACACACACACACACTTTACAGAGCCTTGGGTGCAAGCAAACTCCTCAAGTGTATTCAGAACTTTCTCAAAGAGAATAGCTAACACCCCAACGTCATTGGCAGCCCCATCCACACACACATACATACATACACTCACACAGTCACGAGGAGATTGGCGTCAGAGCTGAGGCTCTCTCGCACACGTCTCCCCCCTCTTCCTGACTGCTTGCTAAATTCCCCTCTTTTTTTTTAAAGAGAGAAGCAGTAGGGTTGCCCTCATTCAGTCTGTTCCCTCCAGATAGAGATGAGAGGGGTGGGGGGGGGCTGAGGACAGAGGAGGCGAGACGGAGTCAGTGAGGGTAGAAAGAAGAGAAGATGAGCAATAGAAAGATTCTGTCTCGTAAACCTGATTTTACTTCAGTGTTTTTTCCACTTATGACGCAAAGCGTACCATACAGTCCTGGAGTCCTGGGGTGGGTTCAGATGTTACAGCAGTTATATGGACTGTGTCTTCAAACAGCTCAACCAAAAGGCTAATCGATGAAGATGATGAAGATTAGGGTCTTGCTCATCTTTTAAACAAAGGCCTCAGCATCTTTTTCCCTCCAACTCCATTTTTTTTCCATCCGTGAAGAATTCATGATGGAGTTTCCTGATTCTCTCTCATCTCATGACGGCGGTCTCGAGAGTGCTCAGGTAGCCAAGGACAGGCTTGTGTGTTGTTGCCATGACAACATAGTGTTAAGCTATGAACTTTCCCTTTGTGTTAAAACTGCCAAAGGGGGGCACTACCAGATTTATTTTCTGTATGTTTGGTTTATTTTTCTTGCTTGCCTCCGGTCCTACTGTATAGCTGTAATACTTTATTTTTCCCACACTGGTTCATTCATTCCAGTATGTTCTGGTTTTAAAGCTCTTTCATAAAGTAGATATGTATTTCTCTTCTGCTTGTCCTTGCTTCTGACCTGTCCTATTTGCAGCTACAAATCCTAATTTTCCCCACCGGCATTATCAGTCTCATCTTAACTAGAGAATACATTCTTTAACCGGCAAACACCCAAACAACATGCTGAAATTAAAAGAATGTGATTTAAAAGAAAATGTATTTCATCCAAGCACACACTGAAATTACTCACTAAACACTCATAGACACTCAATAATTTACACAACACTGAGCAGGATATGGATAATTCAGACATTTACTCATTTTAATTTTGAAGAAACTATATAGTTGATAAATCATATCAAATAAAACAATGTTTGCTCTAATGTTACACATTTACATTACAGTTTTCAGTGATTGAAACATGTTCTTTGTATGTAAATGAGGCCAGATCTAAAAGAAAAAGCATGTAAACGGCTTGAACTGCTGCTGTTTGAGCCTGTTACTGAGGCTTGGTAGCCACCAAAAATGTAAAAGAAAAATAGAAACTGATAATATAATATCTTTTCAGGTTTCTTTTTTTTCAGAACTCCTGATGGTTATTGAATACTTTTTTTTACTCCATTAAATCTACCCGACAGCTTTCGTTGCTTTATTTATGTAGTTAATTAGCTAAAACAGAATACAACAAAGAAAAAAATATTTACCAGCTTTGATAAAAAACATGAATGCACCACCATCATCCTAATGCAGTCATTTTTGCACAGTTAGTATTTTCATTTGTGATATGTATGGTTTTGAATGCAGGACTTTTACTGCAAACATTGTGTTTTACAATTTAGTATTTCTGCTTTTACTTATGTAAGAAGTTGGAGTTTCTATTTCTACCGCAGGTACAGGCAAGTATTTTTTGTTAGAGCAGTTGTAAAATGTCAGGACATTTTATCACAATATTGGTCAGGTCATTACATCATTGGGTTTATTTTCTCTTTGATCATGTGAAGAGCAACCTTTATTATATTTCTGGCAGCTATTACATTGTTAGCTGTAACAGGAAACCAAATATTTTAAAATGTACATATTCAATAAGAACAAACAGGCTAGACGCTGGAGAAGCTTCAGGAGGCGGGAAGCAGTAAAAATCTAATCTGTGATTTCCCACTTTCTAGAAATTCTCCTCCTTTTTACACATGTTCCCATTCTGTCTTGTCTCCCCCCAACACAGGTGTTTCCCGTCTGGATGATCAAATATTCATCAACCGCAACCCTGGAGTACCATCTGTTGTGAAGTTCCACCCCTTCAACACCTGCATCGCCGTGGCCGACAAGGACAGCATCTGGTCAGAGAATAAAAACCTTAATCAGGCTTTACATGCAAATGAGTCAGTTTCAATTTAAAATTCATAGCAGTTTAAACATGTCTTATCCTATGTTGTCTGTGTTTGGTTACTGCAGTTTCTGGGACTGGGAGAAGGGCGAGAGGCTGGACTACTTCTACAACGGAAACCCTCGCTACACTCGCATCACCGCCATGGAGTACCTGAACGGACACGACTGTTCCTTACTGCTCACTGCAACAGGTGAGACACAGTCAGAGTAACACTCAGATCTCCTTCACATGCCCCTCGGATGGTCCCATTTCCAGAGTTGAGAAGTCATTGTTCTAATTTGAATCTGCTCATTGGCTGTAATTCATACTATGGAAACAACATGGACACCCCAAAGAAGATTCAAGCCTACTTCACTTCTTTGGCTAAGGAGGTTTTTTTTTGTCTGTTTGTCAGGATAACGGAAATGTTGCTGGCCCGACTTTCATGAAACTTGCTGGAACTTTGTGTAGCATGGGCCGAAAAAATAACTCGTTAACTATGGGGGCGGATGCAAAGATGTATGCAAACAGTGCGAGATATGGCAACAGTGCTTGAATCGTTGCAGTATTTTGAAACATGTGATCCTGACTCGGTACATTTTGAACCAATTTATTATTATTGAATGCTGCACAAAACCCTGATCTCCTTATGTGATCCACCCCCAAATGATTAAGGTTCTTCCTTCACCCATGATGCAACCTTTCACAAATGTTCATAATTATCTTGTTATCCTGATCTCAGACAAACCAAGCCGAGAACAGATCCTCCTTGGTTGATCAATTAGAAACTGTTTTCTTGAGCGAGCAGCTCAAATGTTCACGCCCACCAGAACTTTGGAAATCGCAACGAGACTCATTCGAAGCAGCAACAAGCCTTAAACACTTGACTCTTACCCCCACAAACACACACACACAGCACTCATGTGTATTCATCATCATTCATCAACACAACACAGCAGTTACCCTCCACGGCTTTGTCTCCATGACCCAGAGGAAGTGTAGAGAACAACTCCACATTCCAACAGAAACACACATTTATTTAGTTTCGTCTTAACAGCGCTACATTAAACTGAGAGTGAGCGCTGTAATTTATTGCCCCTCTCCTGCAAACTTGATAAAGCTCGGGGATTAATACATTTAGATTCCATCTCATCAAAAGGTAATGTGCACTCGTTCGGCTTCTCTCCATCAGTCAGCTGAGGAGGATATCTGGGAATACATTGGTTATAAAAAATATACAGCATTAAAAAAGTAATACACAGAATGTAAATCAAGTAGAGACTTTTATAGGTTATAATAGCTCTCGCATAACAGTGCATGTTTTATATTTGTCTCTGTGTCTTAGTGTAGCTGTGTTTCAGCTACACTGTTTATGTGCTGCATTCTCTCTTGATTCTCTTAAAGAGGACATATGCTCATCTTCAGGTTCATATCAGTATGTAGTGTCTCTACTGGGACATGTCGCCATGCTTTAATGTTCAAAAAGCTCTTTATTTTTCTCATACTGCCTGTGCTGCAGCACCTCTTTTCACCCTCTGTCTGAAACCAGACAGTCTGCTCTTATTGGTTATCTGGCCGACTCTGTTGTGATTAGTCAACGGCCGAGAGATGTGTTGAGGATGTCTCGCCCTCAGCATATCACGTACGATGTGTTGGAGCGCTAGCCAAAAGAAGACCAAGTACTGCATTCAAGATCTTACTGAAGTAGAAGTACAGAAGCATTGGCATCAATATACTTAAATTATATATATACTTAAGTACTTTAAGTAACGGCTAATTTCAAAATAATTTATTAAATAACTAGATTATAATCATTGCTGCAATCATATGTCACTCACAGCTAGGAAAGGTAGTTTTAATTGGGTTATTTACTGCTGCTGGATATCTGAAAGAGGCCCTATGATGCTTTTGGGGGTTTTCCCTTGTCTTGTAGTGTGTTATGTTTTGTGCATGCAAAGGCTAAAAAAAAAAAGGCTTTATCTTTTTGTCAGTGTGTGTAATTTCCAACACATGTTCTAAAAGAGCCCTACATTTTTGTATCAAAATGTTCTGCACAACATGCATTTCAAAATCCATTAAGAGTACCAACAAGTGTTGTGCTGCACCTTCTTCTGGCCTTAGCCTCTGTTTCTCACTGCATCTCTATTTCTGTCCTGGCTCTTACTCTTTACCCCCCCCCCCCCCTTCTTTCTCCAGATGATGGAGCGTTACGTGTCTGGAAGAACTTTGCAGACCAGAAGAACCCAGAGATGGTGACGGCGTGGCAGGGTCTCTCCGACATGCTGCCTACCACCAGGGGTCAGCCCGGCACCGGAACTCACAGTAAGACCACTCTCTAGTCTATCATAACCCCCCTCCACCAATCCATACTCCCACAGTACTGCCCCGCCCCTCCCAGTCACACTCACGCACCCCAAAAATGAAATGAATGTGTCAGGCTGAAAAACATATATGAATGAATGACCATACAGCTGAAATAAGGCAAGGCACGTTTATTTATATAGCACCTTTCAACACAAGACAATTCAAAGTGCTTTACAAAAATGAAAGACATTAAGAAAATGGCATTTAAAACCAGTCATTAAAAAGCAAAGATAATAAAATAAACATTAAAAGAAAGAATACATGAATAAAAGTTACAGTGCAGTTTAAGATATGAATAGTTCAATTAAAAGCAGCGGCAAAAATAAAAGTCTTCAGCCTGGATTTAAAAGTAGTCAGAGTTGCAGCGGACCTGCAGGTTTCTGGGAGTTTGTTCCAGATGTTTGGAGCATAATAACTGAACTTCTCCATGTTTAGTTCTGACTCTGGGGACAGAAAGCTGACCCGTCCCTGAAGACCTGAGAGTTCTGGATGGTTCATAATTTAGCAGGAGGTCAGAAATGTATTGTGGGCCTAAACCATTCAAAGCTTTATAAACCAGCAGCAGTATTTTGAAATCAATTATTTGACACACAGGAAGCCAGTGTAAAGACTTCAGAACAGGAGTGATGTGATCCACTTTCTTAGTGTTAGTGAGGAACCAGTGTAAAGACTTCAGAACTGGAGTGATGTGATCCACTTTCTTAGTGTCAGTGAGGAACCAGTGTAAAGACTTCAGAACAGGAGTGATGTGATCCACTTTCTTAGTGTTAGTGAGGAACCAGTGTAAAGACTTCAGAACAGGAGAGATGTGATCCACTTTCTTAGTGTCAGTGAGGAACCAGTGTAAAGACTTCAGAACAGGAGTGATGTGATCCACTTTCTTAGTGTTGGTGAGGAACCAGTGTAAAGACTTCAGAACTGGAGTGATGTGATCCACTTTCTTAGTGTCAGTGAGGACTCGAGCAGCAGCGTTCTGAATTAGCTGCAGCTTTCTAATAGATGTTTTAGTGAGACCTGTAAAGACACCATTGCAGTAGTCCAGTCTACTGAAGATAAAAGCATGGACAAGTTTTTCTAAATCCTGCTGTGACATTAGTCCTTTAATCCTAGATATGTTCTTTAGGTGATAGTAGGCTGATTTAGTAACTGTTTTAATGTGACTGTTGAAACTCAGGTCAGAGTCCATGACTACACCTAGATTTCTGGCTTTATCTGTTGTTTTGAACATTGCAGACTGAAGCTCAGCGCTAACTTTTATACGTTCTGCCTTGGCTCCAAAAACCATTACCTCAGTTTTATCTTGGTTTAATTGGAGAAAGTTCTGATCCAGTCATTGATTTGTTCAATGCACTTACTCAGTGTTTGAATTGGAGAATAGTCTCCTGGTGAAATGGTTAGGTAAATGTGGGTGTCATCCGCATAGCTATGGTAACTTATATTGTTGTTTTTCATTATCTGAGCCAATGGTAGCATGTTAAAGAGAAGAGGCCCCAAGATGGAGCCTTGAGGAACCCCACATGTCATATTTGTCAACTCAGATGTGTATTTACCTATACTGTAGAAACAAAGTTGTTTCTGTCCTTTAAGTAGGATTCAAACCAATTTAGAACTGTTGCTGAAAGTCCCACCCTGTTTTCCAGTCGGTCTAGTAATATGTTGTGGTCAACAGTGTCAAACGCAGCAATGAGATCTAATAATACTAACACTGAAGTTCTGCCACTGTCTGTGTTTAAGTGGATGTCACTGTTGAAAAACAACTTTTGCAATGATTTGAAATAAGGTCCCTCTAAAACAGTTATGACAATAATGGAGCTTTGTTAATTTCATTAGTTGAAGTTTTTAAACTCGGATGACAATATAAAGTTAAAAAGGACACATTATTGTTTTTAAATGAGACACTTTAAACACATGACAAAGTAACAATTTAGTTATTAGAAAAGATCAGCAACCCCATAATAAATCCCTCCCTCATAGCAATAGAACAGTGTAATTACCAAAGAGTTTTATAAAGTAAAACATTTAGATTCAGAAAATTGCCCAGAGAAGTTTGAACTGATGCAAACAGTCGTATTGTAAAATCCAGGAGAGAGCGTCACGTATGTTCTTTTACAAAAACTGATGCAATGAAATGAAACATGATATAAATGGAACTCTGCTTCCACACTGTTGTAGATTATTTTTGACACAACGTGGGCAGCTCTTTATTTTTTAGTCAGTTGTCTGGATGAACATTGATCAGTCAAAAATAACAGGCTCCAACTTGTTGTCAGCCTCGCCGGGATCACATATGCCAACTCCGTCATACTGTAGGTATAGCCGCATTTCATAAGCGTCTCTCACTGCAGTCAAATAAATAGTGACTGTTAGATAAAATTAAATGTAAATGTACATACAGTAGTTACAGTAGAGTATAAAATAGTAATGTCCGCAAATGTTATCAAAATGTAAACATAATCTGTTCTTGCTTGGCTAAAGCTGTCCCTTTCCACAATGTTTCTCAGAAATCAGAAATGATCCTCCTAACTGACGGACATAACCTCATTAAAGAAAGAAAAACACGTAATTGTTTAGCTAATTGGGAGCATTGAGAGCCTAGAGTCAGGCTCTGTTTAAATGGCTATCTGAGCAGAGGTGTGTGTGCCGCACACTGTGTTCACATAGTGTCTCCATCACTGCAGAGCCACACAGTCACAGTCTGTGGGGGGGGTCGCAGAGAGACGATACCCTTAACTAGCAGCCTGTCTGTCTGACTTTCACCACACATCAGCCCCGAGAGACTCTCCCCTGCGGAGGACTCTCTCACAGCGAGATGTAACATTTAATGGCGCGCTCGTTATCCTGGAAGTGTCGTTGGTGACAGTCTCTGTCCGCCTGCAGATGAGCCATCAATTTTAATAAACAGCCGCTCCACCGAGAAGCTTTCACTGAAGAGTCAAGCTTCAAATTCAGGGGTTCAAATGTTGTTTTTACAGTTAGCAAGAAACTCCAAAAAACTGCAATCTAACACAAACATCCCCAAACACCATCTCCCCACATCCTGGATCGATAATCAGTTTAGAGTTATGACCAATGCTTAAAAACAGCTCCCAGATCGAGCACAATTATTATGAGCTTGTGTTTTTTTTGTATTTCTTCCATTCCTTGCATTGCCTCAGTGGCATTAATAATGTAAAACCCGATGAAATATTACTCTGTCTTTATGCTGCCAAAATACAAGTCTGTAGGTTGGTGTGAGCGTTTCTGGAGGAGACGCCAGCGGACACACACACACACACACATACACCATTCCCCCCCTTCACACCCTTTCCTCGTCCCTCGTCCCTGTGGTCCAACCACAGGTTTTCCTCATGTTCTTCTTCAGTGACCCTCTCTGTACTGCCTGTGTTCGTCTGGCTTGTTTCTTTGCCCATTCTTTGACATTGGTTTGTGTTTTTCCCCTCATCTTGAGGGAGGATGAACAAGGCAGCGAGCAGTTTTCCCGACTGCCGCAACAACAAATCTTTCTATTGCTGGTCGTTTTCAGTGATAGAATGAACGTCTTTATTTAATTAGCACACCTTCAAACCAGTTCAATTATTATAATTTAGGTATTTTTCTTTATTCCAACTCGTCCAAACTTTCATGCAAACACGCAGATTGTCTTCACCCGGCCTGCTGCGCCCCCTGTGGGCAGTGGTGGACACTAACTAAGTACATTTACTCAAGTACATTACTTATTTTGGGATAATTTTACTTTACTTGAGTATTTCCATTTAATATCACTTTATACTACTACTCCACTACATTTCAGAGGCAATATTCAACTTTTTACTCCATTACGTTTATTTGACAATCATATTAACTAGTTTATTTTTATATATAAATACACAAGATGCAGTACTACTTATCAATTGTGTATTTTCTCTAAAATCGGCTCCAAATTGACAAACTACAATATTAGAATGCTTGTACATATTCTTTATTAATACAATACTTTGAAAGAGCCATCTGCATACTGGGTACTTTCACTTCTGATACTTTAAGTACTTTTGGATTCTAATACGTTATGTTACTGAAATTGGCAATTGTGCAGAATGAGCCCGTTGAACTTTTCAATGGTAAAAATGTTGAACTTTTACTACATAAAGAGGCCCTATTATGTACTGGGGTTTTCCCTTTCCTGTAGTGTGTTATATAGGTTTGTGTGCATGTAAATGGTCTGCACAGGCTAAAACCCCAAACATCAAAGCCTTGAGACATGTAGTAGAGGCACTAAATACGAATATGAACATGAAAATCAGCAGAATAGGGCCACTTTAAGTACAGGATCGGAGTACTTTGACCACCTCTGTCTGTGGGGAAGGGAGGTGACGTTCGGTGTCCTGCAGGTGTGGAGGTTGGGGGTCCTGTGCAGCTTCCACAGCCCCTCTTTGTGATGCCGAGGTGTGGGTCTGCATGCACAGGGGGGTTCTTTGCTAATGTTTTGCTTGCTTTGCTTTCCCGCTCTCCTTCCTCTCTGCCCTCCTCCTCCGTCCCCCGCTCGCAGGTCTGGCACGAAGGGTCTCCATCTATCTTGACAGGAGTAAGCAAGGAGGTGAGTGTCAGCGTTCTCTTCTCTATTCCCTCACCTCCTGAGCAAAGGCTAAACAGCCGGTACACAGCGTGCCTCTTCTTTGTTTTCCTATATCCCCCCCTGACCACCACCCCACCCTTCATCCTTTCATCTGTTCCATCACTCCATCGCTGGCAGCGGTGATGTATTTCTACAAGTGCTAACATGCCCTGTGCAACAAGCTGTTCTTATAACTAAAACAAAGAGAAGACCTGCTCCTCTTAGTTACTGTTGTTATGCCGACATACCTTTGATTTATAGCACAACACATGGTATGAAGTTTAAAGTGCAGGCAGGGTTTCGGATTTTCATTCTTAGTATTTTTTTTAACAATGTGTTCTCATGTTCTCATAATGAACTTAACAATTATGATACAACAAGGACTAACTGTTGTCCTCAGCAAATGTAATGCTATTAGTCAGATGTGCAGGTTTTGTACTGAGCTTTTTGTATGTAACATCACAGACTATAACCGTGTAAAGTAAGATATACATTGGTACAGTTGTGACTATACACATCCGTATGAAAATGTGCCTGACAATGATCACAGTGGCTCTCTTCTGTCTGTCTAATGCTAGAGAACAGAAGTTAGTCTGTGTATTAAAGGTGTGAAAAAGCCTTGGGGTGGCAGCCGTAGTGAGCCAAAGCAAAATCAGGTTTAAACAGAACTGAATGACACTTAAAAGATACATTTCCACGATATGGTGCAGTAATGAGTCCAAACCCAGAAATGAGTTTGCGTTTGAGCATTTCTGTGCTCCCTCATAACGGAGTTATCAAACTTTATGTACAGTTCAATGTATTGTTCCTCTGACTGTAGGCCCGAGCACATCACTTCAACATGTGGAGAAAAAACAAACACGACAAACCTGCCTAGATACTGTTGCTAAGCGGTTAGGACAACCGCTGTTTTGGGGAGGGATTTTAGAACTGTCAATTGCAGAGCAAATTTGTCTTGAATCCATACAATGCGTTTTGAAAGAACAAGAGCATTTGCCTCAAAATGGCTTCTGTCATGTATTTTAAAAAAAAGAAGGTTTTAAGCTGGCCTCAAAGGTGTCCGTGCTTAATTGGGAGTGTGCTAGTTCTGTGTGATTTTAATAGCATAGAGCCACCCAGTCCGTCTCCGGAGGGATTATCCTGTAAAACTCCAGGGAGCCGGGGAAATGAGGGGACGGGGGCTGACAGCGACTGGAAGAGCTTTCCTGCTGCTGCACAGCACACTGACTTCACATATCTACAGATTAGATTGAGAGTCCTGATCCACATACTGTTAATTATGTTTCAACTTTTTTTTACTCTTTTAATTTCTCTCCATTCCCCTTCCTCGACCCATGAAGTTGTCGAAGATTACAGTTGTTTTCTTCCTGGTGTCATCTTTCTCTTTGTCCCTTTTCTTTTGGCTGCATAAGTGAAAGTAGGGCAGCCCTCTCCTCTTTGGCTTTGGGGGGGGCAGACGCTGTGTCCTGTTCTACATTTGGCTGCCCTGCCTCGTGCCTTGTTACCATCGGGGCTTTGCAAATGTAATCCAAAAACGGGGATGTGAAGTTGGATGGAGGCTCCTGACATGAAAGTGTCAAAATGTGACAAAAAGCCTTAAGGCTATTTTCTTGTGCAGCCTTTGCTGGGATTCAAAGCAAAGGGGTTCATAGTTTAGGCCAAGTGTCGGAAACATGTTTTCCCTTATATGTTGTTGGAGAAGTGCATTTTTAGTAGGAAGGCAGGAAATCAAAACCCTTTCTCAGAGTTCAGCAACCTGTCAGTGGCTCAGGTCAGGACCAGATACTGTGTTACTTCTGGTTGCGTTATTTTCACATTTACAGCTTGGAAATACAAACAATAACAAAATGGCCCTGGTGTGGGATCCGGTTTTGGTCTAAATTCTTTCATAGCATGACAGTTTAATCGTTTTGGGTTTGAAAGTTGCCGGCAGGTGCTGTGTAGGTCTTAAAATAACTTTTCACTTGTTGCAGATGGTTTTCCTCTGCCTAGTGTTACTGAGTTCATAGACTTTACTGAAGGGACATACAGATGTTGTTCTGCTTTTGAATGTTACTCTGCATTTCCACTTCAGTACAGCATAGCTCTACTCAACTTGACCTGCTCTTTGACTCTGGTTCCCTTTTATTAACAATTAGATTGTACCTAGTACAGTTTTGGTTTCACCTCAGTTAAGGTTTCAAGCAAGCTTTTTAAGTTACAGCAGTTCTGCTCTAGCGATCAGCTGAAAATGCCTACACCTAGCAGTTTCTATCTCCATTACAAATCTAAATAGACAAATGAACTTGTTCCAAAAACTGAGTCAAGTCAAGACGAGCATTGCTTTGTAAATGAGGCATTAGACGGTAATGTTCTATATTCTCACAATTGGAACTTCTCCCGTCTTTAAAGGGGCCTGCTATACATTCAGTAACAGTTTCAAGTTCTTGGAATCACCTATGTAAAATGATGTAAGATCGTCTCCTGTCCAAAATAATCAGCTCGAGTAGGTTGAGCTTCATTTCACAAAGTAGGGTATATTACCTCCCAGAACCTCAGGCCTTAGTCTGTAAAGGTTAGACACATTCTAAAGCCGAGAAGTCTCCCTGCCAGTCAGAGTGCTCCGTCACTTTCTCTGAGCGGCACAGGCTGGGGCAGGTCCCTGTAATCCTGCAGCCCTAGCCCTGGAAGAACTCTTCAAAGCATCACGATGAAGGAAGAGAGAACCAGGAAGTCCGCAGCACTGGTTTAATGAGCTGCAGTGTGTGGGAGTGCTACTCCATCACCAGAGATAATAGCGCAGAAAAACAATGCAGAACACGATGCCTTCTCCAGAGATCAAAAAAAAAGGGGAGTGGAAGAAAGATATGTATGCAAAGAAATAGATAAATATATCACTAATTAGGTTAGAGTGTCTCGGCACACTGGCACAGGAACAGGATGATGTACTGCTGGTAAGAAGATGTTGCTGTTAAAGATTCAATAAGGGGAAAAAACACTCTGCAAACAATTTCATTATTGTTTTTGATAGTGTTATTGGGGGAGAACGTTTGATCTGAAGCAGGGAGGGAAAGAGAGGAGGCTTAAAGAGAGAATGAACATCGAAGCTATCTTTACCTCCACCTCTGTAAGGAGATTTACAGCTGAGGGAACATTGCCCACACTCCTTTGCTCCCGTCCGTCCTCCTCACATATCTATTCTCCATGTCCGTATTGATTTCTGTGTGGGTAACTAAGACCCACAAAGGTTCCCTCTAAGGCAGAATTGTATCCCGTTCTGAGCAGCTGAGGGTTGACTGCGTGCAATAAAAGCTGAAAGGTTGGGTTTAAGGTTTCAGATGCTTGAGTTCTGACCCCTAAACTCTGAGCAAACTGTTTCGATTGGAGTCAGGGAGTCGTTGATCGCCTAGAGGGGAGAAGGAAAAAGGACTGAGGGAAAGATGTAGGATAGAGGAAGTGGATGAAAGGAGAAAAAGAGGACTGGAAAGATATCGCGATGCAAGTTCTGCATTATCCTTTAAATTGAGGCCCTGTCTTGAAGGTCCAGTGTGGACGATTGATATGTTTTTTGACAGAAATGTAATATGATATACAATAACTGTGTTCTTCATTAGTGTATAACCACCTGTAACTAAGAATTGTTGTATGTCTTTTGATTAAATCAAGCTCTTCATTCCTACACAGGTTAGAATTAGGGTTATGTTAGGGTCAGGCATTATGGACAGCCATGTTTCTACAGTAGCCCAGAATGGACAAACCAACCACCAAGAAAAGAAGGGAACAATTGTGACCTGGCCTCTTGTTTGGGCTCCCAGCATGTCAATCTGGCAAAGAGTCCACCAAGTTTCAATATAATGGGCCAGTAAACCTGCTGACAAACAGATACAAACAGAACTGAACATGGCGAAGGTCATTAGAGCATTAGCAGTGCTTAAAACGATCAGTAAAGAGCGGCCAAACTGTTTCTAAGTCGTACCAACATTTGTTGGAATGTGTGCCTCGTATTTGAGAGGAAATGCTTGCACACTTTTCTGTGTGTTTGGGAATCTTCCGTTCTCCACCCCTCTCATTGTAACCCAGATTTGCTCATCACAGAGCTGCGAGCTTCAAAGGGAATGCCTCCACTCTTCTAACAGCCTCGGAAATGAGCCGGCGTCAGGCGTGCGGCTGTGAATGTGTCACTGACTGAGCACAGTTCTGTGAAGTGGTTCTCCCTTCGTGCTATCCCGCCCCACCCCACATGTACACACGCTACAGGCAGTGTGACGCCTGAGCGGGCAGGATGACGTCACTGTGGAAGATCTGAAGCTTTCCTTTGGGAACTGGGGTTTCCTGACAACCTAAGCCAAGTAGAACAGTAGAAAGCAGAGACGGCTCCTTGGAAGAAAGTTAAGCTCTGTCATAACTCTGAGAGGAGGACAGGAGGTGAGCAGTGGGAGAGGATCAAATGATGCAACGGTTACCTTTTGTTCTGCGATTCTACATCGTTCTGTTTCCACATCAAAATACTGTAAAAGGAGCCAATTAGGATTAAAAGATGCTGATAAAGATTGACGCTAATATATAAAGCAAGGTCGTGAAATAGGTGGGTGCGATGTTTATCGATTGTGAAAAAATCATGAGGAGGAAGTGACTAAGAGAGAAAGTGGAGGAGGAAATGAAGCATGGTGTCAAAGATTCAAGAGGAGAGGAAAGGATGCTGTTTCTGTAGCGTCTGTGATAAGAGCATCCTTGTGAGAGAAAGACCTACCAGCCTCTATTCTCCCATTTGGTTTCCAAAATAGCATTTTCGGTTTCTGTTTCAAGGCTTTTAGGAAATGTGGTTCTGAGATACATTTTTACAAATGTGTAGCAACTAGGATCCAACAGAAGTTTTTTTCGGACAAATAGTTTAAAGTCAAGATCCACTTGGTTACCTCTGACAAAGCATTCACTATTCCTCCAAACATGAACTGCAGCATCCGGCTCTGTAGAAAGCTAATCAGTGCATAACATGTATTGATTACTTATTTTTTTGTTACCATGGCTTTAAAAATGTTGAAGGTTGCCTTATTGCAGAATTTTGCGAACTCAGCTAGACGTAGCTCAACTGACCCTTAGCAACAAGTGAAAAGTGGTGGAGGCGTTGACTTCAACAGTAACGTCAACCATTTTGTTTTAGACTTTAGATCTAAAGCCTTGAGGTATCCATGTGACTGTCTCCATTTAGTTTTTTTTGAGCCTGAATGTCAGTGAGAGGAGCGGGGGCCAGCAAAGCAAATGACATGCTAATGGTAGCTCAGCAAACCAGAAAATATATCAGATATTTGCATTGAACATTTTTGAAAAAGCCACAAAGGCGTAATGCACCTGTCACTCAAAGGGTCTGCACCATTCATTTAGTTTAGGGTTAAGCATTAATATAATTGAACAGGTGAGTTCCCCCCCCCCCCTGTACACTGGTCAGGAATAAAAAATCCCTGTGTTCCCTCCAGAGGGCAAGATGTGATGAATCATAAAAATGATGCAAGCTTTCAGAGCATTAAGCCCTTCACTGGGAGCGAGCGGACCTCCAGGCTGCAGCCTCCCTGCCACTCAGCCAGCAGAGAGAGAGGGTGGTACCGCTGTGACTGCCAACACATGAGGGTCCTGCTGTCTTCAGCTTCTTGCCTCCTCACTTTCTCACTTGAGTGCCGTTTGAGTCATCTAAGCCAGAATCTGCTGACAGGCTCTGATCCAGGGTCAGCGTCTGCATCTCCCTTTACGGGAAGGATGCTATACCATGCTTCCATCTGCATGACATTTCTAAACATGTGGAACTTTTATCAGAAACACAAACTCGGTGACAATGAGTCATATATAACTTTTATACATTGAAAAAAGTTATTTATTATTGCTCATGCACCTGCTGTCTACAGAAAACTATTGGTGGTTCTGCTCAAGCCTTTGTGGTTGATATCAGTCACACGCTGGTGCTGAAAGCTGTTTCTCTAATCCGTCATTTGACTTGCTACATGTGGCAGCCGGAGCCCTCTGAAACCTCCACAGACTGTGTGTGTTGTGTTTCAGGGGGACAACACATGCTCTGTGTGTTTGTGTGGGTTTACGTGTGTGAGGGTTCACTTATAAATCAAATTAACTCAAAACCCGTAAATTAAAACTGCAGTTCACATATTGTGTACAGATTATATTCACTTATTTAATATGTTATACTCGGATACTGGGCACCTTGTTGACACAGCATTAATTGTGATTAGTTTTTTTAAAGGCTAACTGCTTAATGTCCCGTGTGTGTGTGTGTGTGTGTGTGTGTGTGTGTGTGTGTGTGTGTGTGTGTGTGTGTGTGTGTGTGTGTGTGTGTGTGTGTGTGTGTGTGTGTGTGTGTGTGGTGTGTGTGTGTGTGTGTGTGTGTGTGTGTGTGTGTGTGTGTGTGTGTGTGTTGTGTGTGTGTGTGTGTGTGTGTGTGTGTGTGTGTGTGTGTGTGTGTGTGTGTGTGTGTGTGTGTGTGTGTGTGTGTGTGTGTGTGTGTGTTGTTGGGGGTGCCTCAACGTCTGCATGCTGGTTATCATATCACTGTGTCAGCAGCATGAGAGCAATGTGTGTGTCCGTGCGTGTGTTCCTTGTGATGGGCAAAGTGTGTGTGTGTGTCATTCTAACCGCTCTGGTCCCGCTCTGTAGGTGCGGGCATGGTGGTGGACTGGGAGCAGGACACGGGACTCCTGATGACCTCCGGAGACGTGCGAGTGGTCCGGATCTGGGACACGGACAGGGAGATGAAGGTCCAGGTACTGAGAGTGTGTCTGTCACAGAGAATACAGCTGGACGCATGTCCATTTAGCAACTCGTGAAAGTAATAAACTTGGCTCTGAGTGGCTGTTGCTGAAGACCTTTGTTTTGACTGATCTATTCTGTAAATCAGCGGATATTTATCTTTAGTTAAATAACTTTCCAGTACAAACACAATTGTAGCCGTTATTATGCTTAAGCTCCCTCTCCATTCGTTCAACTGAGCCGGGATTGGGGGCGGGGCTTGCACAACACAAAAGTGTCTACGGGCCCAGATATTTTGTGCTGGAGAGGCAGGCTTGTGAATCTATTTATTAAAATAAAAATATTAAGTATATCTAGTTCATATCTAGTTATTTCCACTTAAATATAGTAAATATCTACTAAAAAGTCTGGAATTTCAAATTTGAAACAGTGTAGGAGCCCTGTATGCGCACAGTGTACAGTATACTCATGCTGTTGTGTCTCAGTAAACTAATGGAAGTCTGTAGAAGAGTCAGCACCATTAGTGTGTTTTGACACACGTAATGATCGTGTGCTAATCACAGTGTTGATGGATGGACGGTGTGCAGGTAGAGCCTGTGGCTGCAGATGCCAGCGCTCTGCAGATCACATGATGGACGACTTCACAGAAGCTTCAGGCTGGAGCCACACGAGAACGGTAACGGTCGTATCCGCTACAGTTCTCTATCATATAGACCAGGGCTCTCCAACACGTCGATCGCGAGCTACCGGTAGCTCGCGGGCAGCTTTTCAGTAGCTCGCCGCTCGATTATCGATTATAGCGTAGTAAGGTTGCTTATTGATTTTTCGGCCGCGGCTGGACAATAACGTTTTCTTATTTTAGAATTTTTTCTGTCACACGAATATCAAATGGTCGGTGACGCAGAGATCAAGGAACAGACGTGACAGCAGCACAGCGACATCACACACGGAGCAGTCTGCTTTCTCCACCAGCACCAGTCCAGAACCAACAGCAGAATGACCCGCTCTGAATCAGGCCCTGTCGCTGCGCCTCAGAGACACACAGGGAGGGATTTGTGTTTTTTGAAAAACACTCGTTATCGTCATGTCAGGTTTTTGGTGGATTTAATCAAGTCTTGGATTGCAGAGTATGAATGTCCTCTTGCTATTTTCCGTTGATAAATACTTGTGTAAAGTATGTGAAGGCAGGAGGAAAGCTTCCGCGATCACCGTCTCCTCTGTTCCTCCAAACCCCGCCCCCTCCCTGAAAATAATGAGTGACAGGCTGATAGTGACCCGATAGAAACTTTATTATTCACTTAATCACTGATTGAGATATGAAGCTAACTTAATCTCATACATTCATGGGATTTATGTAACAGTAAGACAGAGAAGGTAAGTGTGCACCCACATGCACTATTTTTGTTTTTATAATGCTGTTGTAAATACTCCTGTTGTCTGCTGTGTTCAGACTCAAGTCCTGTGTGTGATGCCACATTCAGGACATTCAGTGTCTTTTTTTTAACAGAAGACCGTAGCTAGAAGCTGCAGCTAGACTGCAGAAGTATTAGTTTTTTGTTTTTGAGGATGGAACCATTTTCACACACAGATATAGGGAGGCTAGACCTATACACTTGATTTATTATGGTTTATAATTTAATGTCAAGACGAAGAAGATGGCTGAACAACTGTTCAGTGTCAATCCTGTGGAGATCTCCAAAATAATGTTCAGCTTAAGTCTCAGCAAAACTCACAACATTTCTGGAGCCTTGTAGACACCAAAAACTATAGAACATTCACCAAGCAGCACTGAAAATGTCTGCTTTATTTGGTTCTGTTCTACATACCTTTGTGAAGCAGCTTTTTCTGACATGAATGAAATCTAAATACAGAACAAGACTGACTGATGGACATAATTAGAGTGAACCTACTGTAAGTGGGTACACTCCAGCAGACTCCAGTATGGTGGACTGCATGCAGTGCCATTCATCTCACTAACAAAAGAGTGAAATGCTTGTAAGGTGGTGATTAAGGACACTTATGTGAATGTTCAGTGATGTACTTATTATGTGGGCCATAATAATATGTGAGAAATCTTCGTTTTCTTGGACCTTGATGTGAAGTTAAGATTTTTGATAAGCTTTAGGTATTGCAATTTCACACGTGTACAAAAGTATAGCTTAATTCAACTGATGAGGGCTATGTGAATAAATGTAAGCGATGTGATGCAACTAGCTCTTGGCCACTTTCATTTTTTCAAAGTAGCTCTCAGATGAAGAAAGGTTGGAGACCCCTGATATAGACGGTTCGGCCACACGAGGCCGACAGGGAAACGCAAATAACGATAACGGGTCCCAAGGTGGGTAGATCTGCGGACGAAACGCTCTGGGGGGCCAAACGGCTCCGTGTCTACGCCCTACACGATCATTTTCTGATAACGATGACGCAATAGCCCCGCCTCTCCCCACCTCTCCTGCTCACCCCCGTGTCACCCGCGTCATTGCCGATGTGTTTCGCCAACAACAGTTTTCCGAGTGTTTCGAGCCAGGTCCCGGTATCTCGCAGGACAGTGCACCCAGCAGGTGCCTCCAGCAGACCCCCCCGCACGGCAGAGTTTCCGTTAGCCGAAATCAAAAATTCTCCAGTCAAAATGTCGCTTATTGTTTAGGTGTCCTTTGACATTCAGGCAGTCATATCATTAGCTAGATCTGATCGATATGGACATAAACGCGAGTGAAGTCTAATCGGAGAGAGAGAGAGATCAGAGATCAGCTGCTGCTGACGGAGAAAAAGAGCCCTGCCTCTCCTCACCTCTGCTGCTAAATCCACCGCGAAGAATAAACAGAAGGGCAACCATGGAAACCATGCTCGGAAGTCTTCTTCGCTGCTTTTGGTGTATTTTGTGGCGGAAGTACAGCGCCACTTACAGGCCCGGCATATGTACTACAGCGTCTCCAGCGGGTCGAGCGGTCTCGTGTGGAAGGACACGTTTCTGGTGTCTCTTGCGTGTGGACGGAAGACTTTTTTATAACGATTTTGGTTAGTTTGCGTTACCGTTCTCGTGTGGCTCCAGCCTCAGTGGGGAACGAGCGTTGTATTATTGACAGCGCTGCCTTTGTTCTACTGTACAAGCCTTTAATGGCAGACATCTGTTACAGCTCACATATTTATATATTAATAGAATAAGCAGTGTTTTATTCCACTGTACAGTATTTCATTTAATTGTATCTTATTTTTACATTGATATAGTCTGCATGTACATGCATATTAGCAACAACATTTTCTTGCACCCTTTTATTCCTGTTTGTTTTTCTTCTTCTTCTTGGACCTTTTGTATTGTTCCTTTTTATTTCTGTTGCATGTTGGAGGAGTCTGGGACCTTTCATAACTACTCTGTACATTTTATGCATAGGAAAATGAAGCGTTTGAATCTTGAATGTGATGGGGGTGTTTGTGTGTATCCACCAGGACATCCCCACAGGGGCGGACAGCTGTGTGACCAGCCTGTCCTGCGACTCGCAGCGCTCCCTGGTGGTGGCCGGGCTGGGAGACGGGTCGGTGCGCCTGTTCGACCGCAGGATGGGTCCCAACGACTGGTAACACTCTCTCATTCTGATTTATTGTGGAATACTAGTACTAAAATGAAATTATGAGGACAAATTCTAGGCCCCCTTTGCAATCAACTTTGTCAAAATCTAAATGTGATTTTATTTTCATTATTATTATTATCAAACCCATTATTGTTATTATTTATTTTGTAATCATAACCACCACCATTATTATTATTATTATTATTATTATTATTATAAATATGCATATGAATAGTAATTTAGTTTGAAACTTATTTGTTTACTAATTATTTTTGGCTGTTTTTTATAACTATTTATTTATTACTATATGTTTGTTTTGGGGTTTTTTACATTTTATTTCTAAATATATTTTTTCCTTTCTGTTTTTAAACAGAATGTAGTGTTATAAAATAATCATTTTAAAAACCCTCTTTCTGTTTTAATACGAGCTCAATGTGCTCTCATCACAGAGAAGGTTAAATCATTTAGTTATATTCAGTTTAATATCTCCTTGCATTATTTAAATAGTTTTAAGAACACACACACAGCAGTTTCTGTGGGCATAAACTCCCACACAGTGCTACATTATTCACTTCTCTAATCCATACTTATTATATATAGTGTGCTGTAAATCTCCCTTTGGGCCGAGCCCCCTCTTTAATGGACCCTGGTGACCCCCTATCCCCCCAGGTGGTTAAACATTATTTTAATCTCAGTCCCGTAAGGGGAAAACAAAGCAGTTAAACAATGAAGAGGCCCATCAATCTTTAAGTAAAGCTATTTTAGTAGTTCTCCTCAGGCGTGAAGTTGCATCTTCCAGCAGCTGTGTTGATCGGTCCAGAGGACGGGATCATTCAGGGAAAGTTCGAACATTCAGGATGGAATGTTGCATATATGAAGCCGTTTACAAGTCCTTACTTTAATCTAAAATGAGGAAATTGTTGTGAATTTCCGTGTTCCTTCAATGTTAGTGAGATCAAATGCACTTCCTGTCCCACCTGTAGGCAGGATGTATTTGACCGACTGTGATAGAGTGCATTGTGGGTATTCAGGTAAGGCTGAATTCTAAAAAGATATTTGCAGGATTTGTTCCCTGCAGGAGACTCTTGCTTTCTCCATGTACGATCCCATGGTGCCACCTAGTGGGCTTTCACTCTTAATGCATGTCCAGCAGAAGGAAAAGGCCTTTAGACTGCTGTTTTGGATTATCTTTAGTTGTTTTACATAAGAATGTAATCCCAAATCCACGTGAACATGAGAGGAAGAGCTTAACATAACAGGGTGAAACACTGTTTAAATTACATTCTAAAATAATACACAATTATTCAAAAATTAAACTTTTTAAAAACGTTTTTCTTTCAAATCTTTATATTGAGCTTGCAGAATCGGTAAATCAAATTCAGAACTAAAAATGTGTCTGTGACAGCGAAAACCTAAGAAGAAGAGCCAACCAATTCATAGTCACCCACACACAAAGAAGAACCAAAGTTAAAATACATGTAATTAGAACAACACATTTTAACAGTATTCCTACAGTAATTATTTTAAAGGAGAGGTGTCATGGCCATTTCCACTGATCATAATTCCATTGTTGAGGTATACTAAAATAGATTTATATTGTGCATTTTTCCAAACTCACATTGGTTTCTCATACAGCATCTCTGTAAACTACGTGTATTCACTGAATTTCACTCTCTGCCTTTAACGGCTCGTTGTAGCTCCAAAAGCTCCAGCCCCCACCCTCCCTGTGAGCACAGTGTGCTCTGATTGGTCGGGACGTTGTGAATCGCGCTGAGCTCCGTGGAGGTGTTGCTTCCTTGTTTAGGATACATAGCGAAACACAGCCAAACTCATCCTGAGCACACACAAAGTCACATCCGAAGTAAAAACAATAAGTGTGGCTTGATATTGAGTAAGGAAAAGGTTGATAAACGCTGTGAGAATGGGTCTGCAGAGAGAATGGGTCTGCAGAGAGAATTTTGCCGTGATCCCAACTGTCTGTTATCAGCCTGCAGCCAGGGAGGAGAAATCAGCTTAACGTAACGGCTCCGCGGACGTAACGTAACGGCTCTTCGGGATTGGTCCATTTCGTTCCGGGTACCGCTTGACATCATGCCGTACCCGGAACGAAATGGAAGAATCAAATGGCCAGTGACGTATCTCCAACGAGGCGTTTTGGGGAGGTATTTTCTGTGTTAGAGTTTTACTCGCTACAGGGTGTACTTTGAGGGTTTTGACTCTGCACACCGTTTACATGCATAAAAACCTTCATAACACACAAGGGGACGGGTAATAACCGGAAAAGCATGACATGGGAGCTTTAACATTTGAACCAGACCCTTTATTTTTGTATCATTGCCTCTTCTGCTTATCACAGCAACAAATAAAACTCTACCACTTTAGTTGGTGCGTGTTGCCCTATTATCAGGACTATTACCACAAGGTAAGTCGAAGAAGTTTGGCATTCAACACTGTGTGTGTGTGTGTCCGCAGCCGCGTGATGACCTACAGGGAGCACGGAGCCTGGGTGGTCAAAGCTCATCTGCAGAAGGAGACAGACGGACATATTATCAGTGTCAGGTATGCCTGTTATTTCCTCATGTAACATTTCATGCAGACGTTCCAGTTGAACTGTTGTTGCCTGTACTGACTCTGGCGGCCCCCCCCCCCCCCCCCCCCCCAGTGTTAACGGAGACGTCCGGTTCTTCGAGCCGCGGTCACCGGACTCGGTCAACGTACTGCAGACAGTGAAGGGGTTAACGGCCCTGGACATCCACCCTCAGGCCAACCTGTTCGCCTGGTGAGTGTGTTGGTGTACATGCAGGTTCACTAAGTTCAATATCGTTAACTATGTGTTTACTTTACTTGACGTCCAGTGTTACACACAGCAGATGTTTGAAGTGATGTTGTGTCTCCCCTTCTCTCCAGCGGGTCGATGAACCAGTTCATAGCCGTGTACAACGCTAACGGAGATGTGATCAGCAACATTAAATACTACGACGGCTTCATGGGGCAGAGGATCGGGGCCATCAGCTGTCTAGCCTTCCATCCTCACTGGGTAAATAACACCGCATGGCAGGGAGCTTCAAACATTTCAAAGTTTGGGTAGTAATGTATAATAATGAATGATATTTTGAAAATGTGTATTATGTGTTAGAAAGTCTTAATGTATAGTATAGAGTAGCTCCAGGGGAAAGACCACTTTCCTTTGTTGTTGTAATACTTTTTAGGGCGTAAAGGCCAAATGTCACAGAAACTAAAAATATATGAAAAATGTAGAATTATCTTTGTTAATGATTTATTGATTTGATCTGTTTATTTAAAAAATAACCAATATTTCTAGAAAACTACTGAGTCAAGAGTTCAAACACAATAGCGCTCTCCCACTGCAAACAGGCCCTGTATGTAGATACTGTAGATACAAAGTAATTATGGATATATATATTTTTTTAAACTAAATCACAACTACCACTTCCTAATCTATGACATTTATAACTTGACTTGTTTTTTTATTCTTTTTATGGAAATGGGAGAAAAAAATTGGAAGTGGAGGATTCAGGTTGAGTCTATATTAAATCGTCACACATGTGCAAAGTACCACACGTACACAGGGACATTTAGACTCTGCATTTAAACCATCCTAATACATGGAGCAGTGGGCAGCATCTATACTGTATATATGTAGGGAGCAGTGTGGGGGTCGGATGCCTTTCTCAAAGGCACCTCGGAAGTGCCCAGGAGGGACACTGGCACCTTTAAAGTGTGAGTCCACACTCGTACTTGGTTCGTTCCTGGGAATTGAACCAGCGACCCTCTGGTTCCCAAGTGAACTCCCTTGGGCCAGAGTCACTGCCACCAATTATTAAGTTGATCCACTCGACATATGTTGTTTTCTTCAGTACACACTTTACCCTCTGCTCAGTTTTTGTGAACGCACGCACATTATCCTCCTGTAATAATCTTCCCTCTCTCCACTCAGCCCCACTTGGCGGTCGGCAGCAACGACTACTACATGTCCATCTATTCAGCAGAGAAGAGGCTCAGATAACACACCAGCATTCACCACAACCCAAAACAACCCAAAACAACCCCCCCATATGACTTCCTACCCTGAGCCTCGAGCTCAAGGATGTAAAAGACGTTTTTTGTTGTACATAAGCAATTACCACCCTGAATGTTCTAGTGATGGCTGCTGACAAAAACTCGATATATATCTATATAGATATATATATATATTATTATTCTCACTGTTTATTCATATTCTTATTATGAAGCTAATGATTGTAGACTTGGCTGTGCTGAGGAGTGTGTATATTTAAATAGCGTATACAGAAGAATAGAGGTTCTATTTTAAAAGGAGTGGTACCCCCCCTCCCTGGCGCACAGCGAGCATCATTACCTGAACCAACTGTGGACCGAGGAGGTGGTGGGGGGGGTCACCCAGAGGATAACACACTGTTCAAAGACCTTCACTGGGGCAGGAAACACAAGTGTGGCCCCGGTGTGTTTATACATTCATTTTAATGTCCGTCTCAGAGCCGCAGCACTCGGAGCGAGACGTTTGCAGGGACGGACCAGAGAGGGAGGACGCTGCCCCCCCCCACCAGGCGGACGTGACGAGTGTCTGTGTGTTAAAGTGTATTTTAGCACAGATGTGCCCCACAGTGAGTCCTCATAGCCTTGGACTTAAAAAAAAAGATGCCTGCTCCCGTGCCACAGCTCTCCTTCTTGCTTCCTTGACCCCAGCGTGCCAAACAGAATCATATTTTCCATGCAAGCTCCTTTTTTTCTGGGGGGTGTTTTTTGTTGTTTTACTGTTTTTGTTGTTTTAAGGTGTCGCCTGTAAAAAGGGAAATCCTTTATTGGCCCCAGGATGATACATACGCTCATTGGAGCACAGTGAGAGGAGTTGGTTCTAAGCATCCAGTCCGCCAGCTAGCCTGCGGTACCCGCCCTGCAAAGCAATACAAACCCTCCCATGATTCTGCCTCAAGCTCCTCCCTGAAACCTAGAACCCCCCCCCCCCACAGCATTAAAGGTGCCACAGTATAGCAATACAAACACACCCACTTCCAGGTTCCGCTAACTTTTCGTTGACTCATCATCAATCAGAGGAGGTATCACCCCATCTACTCACAGTGACAGGAAATATGTCAATGTAATTTATATTCCTGTGACTGATTCAACTTTCTGCTAATCTCATGTCCACATGTGGAATCAAAAGATGGCAGGAGAAACCCTTCAAGTATTTCTTTTGACCTGAACACTGGTCTCAAAATCCCTTTTTTTAAATGTTGACCCTGGATCTAACTGCAGGGCAGCTTTACAAACGGTTAACACAACCTTCTCGCACACGGCTCTGTGGGCTTGGAGATCTTTATGTTCAGTGACTCATCCGCCCCCCGTATAGATCATGTTTTATTTTGATAGAGCCTTATTGTTTTTCCCATCTTTAGTGTTGATTTTACTGCCAGGCTTTGTTTGGTTTGATTTTGTAAAGCAAAGATGGACACAAAAAATGAATTGCATGTTAATCTGTCAGAGCTTTAACTGCGTACCTGAACATGCTCACTTTTTCTGTGAGCCTCCTCAAACCCATGTCGAGCACCTGTGAACCGGCCCAGTGTCTCAGCGTGACGGACAAGTGAACTCGGTCACATGACCGGCTGCAGAGATCTTGGACATTGTTGTCACTGTGGTGCTGTTCAGTAAGACGCCTCTCTTGTTAGAAGGTGGACCCTTGTTGTGTTTTTCGTGCAGTATCACCATCGACGGTCTTCCTCTGTGGGGCTGCAGCTTTGCTTATTTAACTTTTTTTTTTAATTCAATCTTTTTTTTCCTTCTGTTTTGTAATTTGTATGTTTTTAATTCTGCTGACATTTTGTTTGCCTTACCCTCAGTGAGGTGGAGGGGAGAAGACAGCCTTACCCTCACACAGACACACTCATATTTAAATCTTTCCTGCTATTCCCGCCTTTCATTGTAAACACACCCCAACAGCTGCCCCCTCCTTTCTTTCCTGCCACGTCCAAATCACCCCTCTGCATCAGCCGTTTCCCAGGAGAAGGAACGGACTTGTGGAACAGAACAGGAACACACACCAACAGTTTCGACTGCAGTCACATTAGTCCCCCAGTCACCCCATCACTGAGCTCTTTGACTCTCTGCGTGGTTATCTCACCCTTCTTCACTGACTCACTCAACCAACACACTGTATTTTGGCATCGGCCCATTTGCTCAGAATCACATTCATCTCTAAGTATCCTGCTTTGAGTTTTAAGATTTTAGATCTGGAGAAAAAAGAAAGACTTTAACAAAGTAGTAAAGGAAAAATGAAAACAATCAGGTTTGTCTGTGAACATAGACTGCTTTGCTGACTGGTTTATGAGACGGGAGATGAAATAAACCAAATACAACACTGTTTTGTGTCCTTTCATGCCATTAAAACAATCATCTCTGTTCCTCTTATATTATAGTCTGTGTTGTAAAAAAAGTATTCTTGGACCGTTGTTGTGCTCTGTAAAGCCATGAGAGAAATACATAGTGTCAACATCTTTCAGCTAATCACGTGCACCCAGCATGCTAGCCAACCATCACTGTACCTGAATGTAGCCAGTTAGCTTAAGCAACAACACTCGTAAAGTAATTCTAAATCAACCAACTGCTCCAAATTATTAATAACTGACTTCTCCTTTTATTAATGTTAACAGTGTTAAACATGTTACCTCACTATCCAGCTAATTTGCTTGGTTTGATCGTGAGTCAGGATGAATTACTCAGTTGTAAAGGGAAGAGACAGTGTTAGCGGTAGCAGCTAGCTAGTTAAATTCTCTAATGTCTTCCTATGAAAAAGACATTGTAGCAGCTAGCTGTATCTACAACAGTCTCACGGCATTTCGTGTTATAGTCACGAAATTAATCTATTGATTCGTGTTCACCAACACGATTTCGCCATTTTTTTCGTGTCACACAGAACGATTTTAAAAGAAATGTAAATAATAACAAATTAGAAGGAAAAACAGATTTAAAAAAATACAGATTTCAGTATTCTGACACAGAACGATTTTAGAAGCATTAGGCGCTTTCACGCCAAGTACTTTGCCGTACTTAGTTCCCAGTACTAAGTTCAGCAGAACTCTTAAGTTCCAATCAGGCGCGTCGCCTGGCCCCGGATGTGTATTCTTTAGCCCCGGACAATTCTCCCTCAATACTGTCTATAATACATTAACCGTGCTTTACCTGAACCTCATCATGACACTAGAGAGGACGGCAGGATTGTAATTTTGCGTGTTCGGTGAATGCAACAGAGGCAAGACACCAGACCAATCACCAGAGAGTTGCATGGAAATAAACGTATCTTATTGGCTGACAGGTACCTATCCTGTGACAATGTTTAAACTGTCAGTCGGACTCTGAGTATTTGAAGATGGACATAAGAACATTTTTTCTTAAAAAATACAACAATTCTCAAGTGGTGGCTCACACAACAACCCCAGAGCCACCACTTGCGTCAGGTAAACAAGGTATGTAAATGTCAGTAAACTTCCAAGTTATGCGAACATGTAAGCAAAGCATAAATTACAGATACGTTGTTGACGTTACTTTGAATCGCGCGGGTAAGCTAAACCGTTAGCAAGTAGCTATAGCTAGCCAGTGATATTAAATTAACACTTTGTCATACAATATAAATGTTATGTTTTTTAGCGTTACCTGTTGATTTCAAAGAAAGCTCTCTGGAAAATGTTGACTTACTATCAGTGTTCGACATGAAGCTAGAAGCTACCTTACATTACACAGTCACAGGGGAGTGATTTGTAAAATATCCATAAAGAAAAAGAAAATCTGTTTACAGTTCTGTTTCATATGGGTGTTGAAAGATGTATCCATATCTCTTAATGTTGCTCTCAAAGTGCACCAGATTGATGCTTTTAACTTCAATTTAAAAAAAAAAATCTTCATGCCCCCGGACCCCCTATAGGAGGTGAGGACCCCCCTAGAGGAGGTGAGGACCCCCCTAGAGGAGGTTCACCCCCCACTTGTAAAAAATTGCACTTTACCCCTGCTTACACCGGGGTGAGCTGATTATCGAGCCTTCATTGTAACAGTCACAGGTGTACCTTAATGTACCTTAATGTACCTTAATGAACTGTGGGCTAAGCCCCGAATGTGTCCAGATCCAGGAAACGCCCCTGGTTCTGATGAACTAAGTACTGGGAAGAGCAGATCGCGTTCACACCGGAATAAGTCCCTGAGGGTGGATTAGGCAAATGAAGCCGCTGACGTCACTTCTTCTTCTGCCTTGGGTTTACTGGCAGGCCGCAAACAACTTCACGGCGTATACTGCCACCCAGGGGCGGACTGGGACTAAAACACAGCCCTGGAATCTCACCCAGACCAGCCCACGTAAATTGTCAACGAGTTTTACGTGGCGTGGTTTGCAATCCGCCCAGCCAATCAGAAATGGGAACCTTTTTCTCCCATGAAAGTACCTGATCTCTAGTATAGGGGGGGGTAAAAAGGTTCTCATGAACACATTTTGGTTCCGGATTTTTTTGGTGTGAACGCAACATTTCGGAACTATATCGGAACTAAAGTGGGAAAAGTACTGCGGTGTGAAAGTGCCTATTGTAACAGTCGCAGGTGTACTGTGTATGTGCGTGTGGGGAGTGTTGCAGTAGAAATGTCCACTGTAGCGCCCGGTACCTTAATGTACCTTAATGAACTGTGGGCTAAACCCCGAATGTCGTGTTGGTGAACACGAATTAATAGATTAAATTAATTTCGTGACTATAACACGAAATGACGTGAGACTGGGTTGGTATCTAGCTAGATAGCGTGATGCTAGGTGATTAGCCTGTTGCGAGGAGGCTGATGGCTGGATGGTTGGCTGACCGTAAAAGAAGTTTGCAAAGATAAAATACTTTAACCTCTTCTACACCGCACCCCCGATGTCGGGGGGAAAAACACGTCATCTGAGGAAACAGTGTCTGAGGGCATCTTAATATTTAAACTATGAATGTTTTATATCCATGTAACGGGAAGAAACTCATCTAACTGATCATTTAAAAAAAAAAATCAAAGACGCTGAGCCTCTGAATTAGCAACGAGAGAAAATTGCTAACAGATTACTGCACCGAAATTCACTCATAAAACCTTATTATTTATCTTTTCTGCACATCCAACACATCGTTTCACATCGTGAGATGACACAGAATCGATGGGTACATACATTATCACTCTATGATACGAACTCGCGACTTCATAAACAAAAACAGACATCAAAACATGGCACTAGGTAGCTAAAAACGCTAACATGGTTTACCTGTGTCGTAGTCAGAGATGGGGTCGTTACTAAAAAAAAGTAATATATTACACTACTTCGTTACTCTCTACATAAAGTAACTCGTTACTTTACTCGTTACTTTACTCGCAGGGCCGGCCCGCCCCTCCCTACAGGCAGATCACGCAGACTGCTAAAGTTTCAAATGTTCTCTTTAGTTCAGTTTCCATTGTCGCATAAGACTGATCCAGATAGCTCTGACTATGGCTGTCCTCTGTCTCCTGCTATCTGTATTTTGCGCAGTATATCTCTGAACGATGCGATGGTGATTCCACTGTGCAAATGGGCAACATTACCTCTACTATGAAGGATGCTACAAGCCTGTCCATCTCGGCTTTGGTTACCGGTCCTCCAAATTCTAATTTGTGCTGCTTCGGAGTCGGCGGCGGCACACTCACAACATCCTCACTCTGGGTTCGGGGGTCCTTAGCTATTAGCTTCACCTTAGCATGTGTTCTTTGCAGGTGTTTGTTGAGGTTTGACGTGGTGTTTGCAGCAGTGGATAACAGCTTCTGGCCTGGACACAGTTTGCACCTCACCATCACATTCCTGTCTATTCTTCGGACGAACTCAAAATAATGGGCATACCTCCACCCCTCGAAAGTTATCGCTGACTCAGCCATGTTTATGCAGCACTGCACGTGGAGATGTGGACGCGCAAGTCGCGCAGATTACGTACATATAAACCTGCTGCGGAAACCCCTCTTGTCTGTCAGTGTGATTATGACTGATTTTATAAAAGTAACGAAGTAACGCGTGTCGGGGCAATGTTAGTAACTGTAGTGTGATTACTGAATTATAAAAGTAACGTGTTACACTACTCCGTTACCGACAAAAGTATTATTATGTCCGTTACACCCAACTCTGGTCGTAGTCTGGTCAAAAGTGGTCTTCAATGCTGCTGAAGTTAATCCATAGGTTAATCCAATGTGTCTGTGTCCCTTTGAAATGATTTCTGATAATCCATAAGCAATAAACCTGCTTTTCCGTTTCCAGATATCAGAGCTAGAGTATAGGTTCGCTCTGATGCAAAACTGCATGCGCGAAGCCCTCACCTTTTTGTTTTTACCATGTGTGTGAGTGGGGAGATTCCCCTTCGATTCTATTGGCTCTAACGGTCAGAAAGAGATGTCAATCACCAAAATCGACCAATGGGTTCCAGAGAAACGGTAAAACCCCCATTTACACCCAAATCACCTCAGAGGTGGAGTTTACTTATTATATGTTGTACTTTGGATTCCAAAAGCTTTTAGTCTACCTTACCATCATCCAAGGGTAGTTTTCACTCTAAGTAAAAAAGAATTTTTGGACTGACACTATAATTTACAGTTTTTTACTATGTTCAATCTGAATTTTCTTTAAAATAAAAAACATCTATATTGATTCTGACTTTTCTACATCCAACTCACAGGTTTATCATTACTTTGAGAAAAAAGATTATTAATGTAACCCTTTTAGAAGGGAAGATATTTGCAGCTCCACCTACCTGTGTCCTGTAAGAGCCCGGCTGAGATTTATGTCTGTAAAAACACTCCATAGTAGCTGAGCTCATCCATTATCTTCCCTTCAGGAAATGGGCTATGCTAAACAAAGGCGGTTATCCCTGTCTTGTTCACCTCTCTACCTGCACAGCTCTGCCAGCAAAGGTCAGAGGTCAAAGGCCTGAGTACTGCAATACAGCATTATTGTGACTACCATTTCACACGCACACAAACACACATACATGAAGGAGACCTGCAGAACATTCCACAACGGCAAAAGAGCCGGGAGGCATGGACATCCTGAGGAAACAACACTCACTTCCTGGCAAATTAAGCCAAGCCGACGGCTGCTGGGGTTGATAACCGCCACCGCTGGCTGACCACTGACTGGCTGATGTAGAGCACCACCTTAATGTCCGCTCCCGCCCATCAGAATCAGATCTGCCCCCCACACACAGCCAGCAGAGTCACTAGTGTGGTAACCAGCGGGACAGCCAGCAGAGTTCCTCAGACAGGATGGGCCTTCTACTTCTGCTTACCTCCATGCTCCTGTCCAGCTGTAAGATCACTGACCTTCTATCTTCTGCTTCTTTGGACTTCTTTTTGTGGAGGTGATGATCGATTTGTTTCTAACCTGGTGCTTTACTTTCTTATCTCCAAGACTTCCATTCAGGGAGAGTGGTGACGGCACAGCGATGTAAGTATGATCTAAGATAAAACACACTTTACTTTTCTGACTGAATGACTTCCACAGAATAGTTTGGAACACAAGGTGGGGTTTACAAATGCCCAGTGTTTTATTTATTGTCAGACTTATTGACCTTGAATTTGAACTTTCTATTCAGTTGTTGGCAACACTTCTAGTTGAGACACATGGTCAGTGGAAAATAGTGGTGTTTGTTATCAGAGCTGTGTGGTCGCTGCTGTCTGGTGGAAACGCTGTGGCAGGGAGTGTTAGGAAAGTGTTGGTTTGCTGTGTCACACGCCCCCCCCGTCCTCTGGAGTTGGTTGGTGATGGAAGGCATGAGTCAGCCGGGTGGGTTGTAGTGGACGAGATGGAGGCATCGTCCGAGCCGGGATCAAGGTTTAAATAATGACCCGTATTTGGATTGGTCTGTGTTTTTCTTGAAATATATATGGAAAAGAATATCTTTGATTTTAGTGGAAGGTGTACTGAGATGCTTTGACGAAAACAACAAAAAGGATTCTGGATTCAGTATAGAGATGCTAATTTCAGTGTCTACAGTATAATGCTTTGTGATAATAAAGACTGTGTGGCAAATCTAGGCATAAATGAAGAATAAAAACTATAAGATTATGGAGTTGATTATGATTAAAACAATTTTATCAACTGATTGCAATAATGAAAACACACACAGCAAACTTAAAACAAGATGTCAAATGTATTAACGCTAAACACAAACGCTTTTTACGATAATGTTATTTCCTAATTATCAGTGACTTCCAGAATAACAAGTTAAAAATATATATATATTTTACATATATATATGTATATGTTTCATGAATAGAATTGGTAGGCCAGAACTATGGTAGCCTTTTATTTGTGTGGTTTTTCAACAGATGAAGTTTGTGTGAACGATTACTGTCCATCAGCATCAATATGTTGTTTAATAGAAAGAAAAAGGTTTTAGAAGAGATGTATATTTGGAAAATAAGAATGATTGAGAATCTTGGAAGAATTCATTATTAATAATTGATCATTTCTACAGTGTGGTGTTACTTCTTTTACTTTACTTAAAATATGTGTGTACCCACCACTGAAAATAATTTATTACAAGTAAAGGCCCTGCATTTATGTTCTCTATTAAGTAAAAGTACTGAAGGATTAGTACTTAAGTATCCCACTGTCTGATATATGATGACGTATAACATTCTTCGATCATTTAAACTCATTTTGTTGTTGCAGCTGTGTGGTGGAGCTCATTTTAACTACGTCATACAGTACAGTAGTTTGATCCACTGTTCTCTCATCTTATATTTTGAGATTTCTGGGTCTTAAACAGTCATTAAAATGAACCTACTGGGGAATTTTGGTCAATTGCTCTTTGGCTTTTCTTGTAAGGGAATAACTGGTTTAATGTTTAATAATGTGCCAAACTATATAAGCGATCAAATGTGTTTAATGTGACATCTTAATCTGAAAAGTAATTATAGCTGTACATCCAGTGGCTCCGGTCGCACTGAAATGTAGTCGATTTATAGTAATAAAGTAGCATGACATTAATTAAGTATAATAACCAGAGGTGGAAGAAGAACTCAGATCTTGTACTTAAGTAAAAGTGCAAATACCAGAGGAATACTCTGTTGCAAGTAAAGCTCCTGGTATCAAAATGTTACTCAAGTTAAAGTACAAAAGTATTGGCAATGCCCATTGTAAGCACCAAATCATTTTTAACTTAGTACGTATTAATACTAAGTAAATACTAGTATACTAGTAAAGTACAAGTACCTCAATGTTTCACTTAAGTACAGTTCTTGAGTAGATGTACTCTCCAGCCCTGGCTCAGTGTTTCTGCCATCATTCACACAGCGGACCCTCGGCCCGGCCCCTCTGATTCACCTCATCATCGGCGCTGCCAGCTCCTGCTGAATGATGCTGGGCGGGGGGGGGGGGGCAGAGTCAGAGGCTCTGAAGTGGTGATAGGTCCCCCGGGGGCCCTGTTTGTCTCACAAAGTGCTTTTCCTGCCCTTTTTTCTTCTTGTTTTGCAGGTTTGTTTACTGCCCCACCTCAACTGAGTCACAGCAGCCTGTTGTTTCTAAAACTCAAACACAGGCGGGAGCAGTACTCAGATCTTGTTCTTGTACCAGAGTGTAGGAATACTCTGTTAAAAGTAAAAATCCTGCATTCTAAATGTTACTCAAGTAAAAGTAGAAAAGTATTAGCATCAAAATATACTTAAAGTACTCATTGTGCATTACTCCAATTTACTCCAGGTCTAACTAAAGTCTGATTTAAGTGTTGATTATATTTCACATCATTGATCCAAATCTTTAAAGTAACTAAAGCTATACACATGTAGTGGAGTAAAAGTACACCATTTACCTCTGAATTGTAGTGGGGTAGATAGTAGCATAAAATACTCAAGTAAAGTACAAGTATCGCAATATTTTACTACAGTACTTAAAGGGGACCTATCATGCAAAATGCACTTTTGTACATCTTTTATACATGAATATGTGTCCCCGGTGTTCCAGGGAACTCACCAAGTGTCAGAAAACACAACCCTCTCTATTTTCCTCCATACCCAAATCTCTAAAAACGGGGCAGCAACGGATCTGATAAAAACTGATCCAGATTTGAACATTTCACTGACGTCAGGACGGTGGCGCTACGGCTATTGGGCCAACTCTCCACCTATCAGGGGAATGTGGGGTTGGGCCACGGCCGGCCATTGCCGCTCGAAAGCGCTGGAGACGCTGTAGTACATATGCCAGGCCTGTAAGTGGCGATGTAGTCTGCCACAAAAGCAGCGAAGAAGACTTCCCGCGCATGGTTGCCATGGTTGCCCTTCTGTTTATTCTCCGCTGTGGCTCTTTTTCTCCCTCCCCGAGGCAAGCGTTTGCTCCCGCTGCTGTAATTCAATGCAATCCCTCCCCGTCGAGGCAAGCACTGTAGTTCTCTCCGGTTAGTCCACCAGCAGATGACAAACACCCACCTCTCCGCCTCTTCCAAGGAACGAGGGGACCGTGCGGCAGAGTTTCAGTTAGGTTTTCTTTCGCCGGTCAAGATGTCCGTTAAAGTTTAAACCTTCCGGACAAAATTAGAAAAGTGCCGGTCAAAGGTCTTCTTTGTTATTTATTGAGCTTTAAAACAAATGAATAACGACTCTATATAATAATATAATAAAACACGGAGGTCGGAGATCTCTTTCTCCCCCTCTTCTGACAGCCCAGCAGCTGATCAGAGCACGCTCCCTTCTCCTGCAGGGGGGCGTGGTCAGCTGCAGCTCACAGAATCAGCCCCCTGCAAAAACAGGGCTGGAAAGAGCAAATGGAGCGAAATGAGGCATGGCTAAAATGCAGGATCTGTTTGGTATTTTGAAAAAAAAACTATATTTATATACTTTATATAGGTATGGCCCTACAATATATTGTTCAAATATAGCATTATAGGTCCACTTTAAGTAAATCTACTTAGTTACTTTACACCACTACTCAAACATACGTGTGAGCAGGTGCTCTCTATCTGTGGTTACACTCGGAACACTGAACTGTTGTCACTTTTTAAAGTTACTTCTGAAAGACAAAATGTGGCTCCTTCATTCACTCAGTCACAGCGGCTTCTACTTTCATGAACCTGACAACAAATGGATCTTTCTTTTCTTTTCTTTTGCCTGCATGTACCTGGGGACCACATGATCATTTAAACTGATGGCTGCTTGGGATCAGTTCAGGTGACTATGGCTGCTTCTAACTTCTCTTATTTTAATTTCCTCGCTCCTCGGTCCTCGGTATCACCGGAAGTTGATTTGTCTGCGCCATCTTGAGTAGCGTCCCATTGTCCTTATTTGTGCCGGAGGACCGAGTATCGAGGAGTGATAATGGAGGAACAACCAGACCATCCTCCGGTGAAATCCTCAGCCACTCGCCCCGCCGCCTTACTGTGTATCGCTCACTGATTGGATGCTGCAGCGCATGCACTGATCTGATGCTTCTTGATATGAGAGCAGTTTACCAGCGGAGTGCAGAAAACACATGAAACTCACGGGACTCACTCCTCAGTTTATAATAATAATAATAATAACTTTAATTTATATAGCGCCTTTCATCAACCCAAGGTCGCTTAAACAGTGTTTTGTTTCAATTAATGTATCATTTAGTTAAAAATATGTGATATATCTGAACAACAAAGTGGACAATCCAATGAATGTTAATTTAACTGGGTTTTGATAGATAACATATCTCTTTTTCTTCTCTCAATAATTGTCATTCTTTTGTGCACTCAAATCAATATTAATCAAACTATTGTTCGTTTATACATTTTAAGAATGGCGTTTATCTTTTTTGAGAATGAGTTCTTATTTTATTTTATTTATTTGGGTCTACAACAGATGATACAAATGTTTATGTCAGTAAATGTGTACTAACAGAGGCGGGGGTGTTTGTGAAAATAACGGGGACAGAGCTGGCTGCTGTCAGAAGATCAACTGTGCGGCGTCGTCACAAACAGACGTCGCTTCACGTGACGCTCCGAGGAAAGGACATCCCATTGCTCTTAAAACGAATTTCCCTGCTTCTTCTCCCTTCTCGTGGTTTACTTGCGTCTCTCCATGCTTCCCTGGTGGGAGGGACGCAAGGATTGCATTTAAGAGAAGTGAGAAGCAGCCCCTGAAAGTGTTCACATTCTGCCAAGTCAATGACTCAGTTGGGCTGCTGTCATCAGTCCAGAGACCATGAGGCTTAGAATTAAAAAGTAAACCATCATTGCTAACTGTGAAGAGATTAAAAACATTTTGTTTCAAAACCAAGCAACATTTAGGCTGGATACAATACATTTAAAGGGAAAGTTGTTTTTGTTTTTTTTCAAGTGTATGAGCTTCTTTTCCACTGTCAGCATTATAGTATAGTATAGTACAGATGTAGCAGCTTATTTAGGACAGTTTGAAACGCGAGGGTCGTGGTCGGCCCGTGAACGGCCCGTGAAAGGCCAGTGATGAAGAGCCTGCCCCCAGTCTGACTTGAGACCGCCCCCATGATAAATAAATGTAATTATTGTGAAGCCAGCAGCAATGGATCATTGATCCACCAGGGGGTGCAGTGGGGTTCCACACTGGAGCTCATGTGAAATCAACTTCAATACAGTAAGCTGGATGTACAGTATGTCTGGTACTACTGTATAGCGGATCTTTGTTAAGATCCATATGTCACGGATAGGATCATAGTCTGTGCTAAATAAGACATGTAATCATTTACAAACATCACCATGTTGTTATTTAACAAAATAATGTTGTTTAGTCGAAAAAAAACGAACGAGAGGAAATGCAGCCGGCTCTCGATTTTTAATCCTAATTTAATCATCATCTTCACCACGATCATTTATGTTTATGTTCGCCGAATTGACATGAAATCACTGACAAATATGAATATTCTGTATTCAACTTCATTAAAACGATCAGGATTTTTCCCCACAAGTCGTTGCAAATTATCCCGCTTATTACATGGCCACATTCTCAACAAAGTAACGACATGACTTCCAATCTTAATTGAAATGCTTTTATGGATTTAGAAAATGTTTTTATTGATTTAAAAAATAGTTGTATTGATTTAAATTGACATGCATCCGCTAAGAGAAATAGTCACTAGACACTTGACACAGTGGCTTTTGGCGAAGCAGAAAAAGAACACTCAAACCGAGAGATGAGTTATTTTGTTTGATTTTAAATAAACAAAGTCTTGGCTTTCAGAATATGAAACTTTTATTTCCAAAATCACACGATAAATACATTTGTGAAGCTTGTAAAGGGAAGATGACAGGCACCTCTCACTCGCAATCTGCTCTTCCGCAGCGCCGCCCCCCTCCCTCCAGCTGAAATTATGAATGTAAGGCATATAGTAATCATAGATAACACGGCAGGGTCCGTTACAGTTTGTTTTCATCTGATTTCAAATAAACAAATTCTTGGCTTTCAGAATATTAAACTTGTTTCGGCAAATTTAGATGATAAATACAACTATGAAGCTTGTAACGGCATAATTACAAGCGGAGAACGGAGTAATTTAACGTTACAGCAGGCATAACAACAGCCGGTGTTTCTCGTGAGTGTTTTCCCCGGGAAACAAACACAATATACACTTACGCAAAAATACACAAACACACAGGTTAGGCTTAGGGTAAGATATTGAGTAAGAAAATGTTTTTATGAACCACACAGCTTCTAGTATTCCAAGACCCGACCGGACAAAAAGACGTGGTGCAGGCACGAAACATACTACCAATAGGAATACATTGCTTTTAAAATCGTTCTGTGTGACACGAAAAAAATGCGAAAATCGTGTTGGTGAACACGAATCAATATATTAAATTAATTTCGTGACTATAACGCGAAATGCCGTGAGACTGGGTTGGAAATAGAGGGGTGTGAGGCATGGCTACAATGGGTGATCTGTTTGGTATTTTGAGCAAAACACTTCAGAGACATGTTTTGTATAGATATGGCCTTATAATATATTGTTCAAATATAGTATAATACGTAGGTGAGCTTTAAAGGTCCCATGTCATGGCCATTTCTACTGATCATAATTCCATTGTTGAGGTATACTAAAATTGATTTATATTGTGCAATTTTCCTAAATCACATTGGTTTCTCATACAGCATCTCTGTATAGTATGTGTATTCACTTTCTGTCCTAAACGGCTTGTTGGAGCTCCTGCCCCCCCCCCCTCCCTATGAGCCCAGTGGCCGTCTGCGAGACAGCGAGACACAGCGAAACCCAGCCCGAAACCAGCCCGAACACACACACACACCCGCAGCCTGGCTGGGAGTTTGTGTGTGTGCTCACACACCGACTCACAGCCTCGCCGCGTCCCGCCGTCTCAGGTAGGAGAAATCGGCGGGAGCTGCAGCTGAGAAAAGATTGAGTGTGTGTGTGAGGAAGTCCGCGGATTGGTCCATTTGGACCAATGGGTCCATTTGGGTATGGGCACGTCACTGTACCCAGGAAGAAAAAGAGAAATCTCCAACGAGGCTTTCTGGGGCAGCATAGACAGGTATTTTCTGTGTTAGAGTTTTACTTGCTACAGGGTGTACTTTGAGGGTTTGTGACTTTGCAGACCGTTTACATGTATAAAAACCTTCATAGCACACAAGGGGACGGGTAATAACCGTAAAAGCATGACATGGGACCTTTAAGTCTAATACATTTGTTTGAATATGCTCCCTAGCATTCACGATAAGAAACATCACCCTGTCCATCGAGCCCGCTCCCGATGTGACTCGGGACACCAATGTGACTCTGAGATGCCAGGCCTTCGTCAGCAGCTCTGGGCAGGAGGCGCTGAGTCGTGAGTACAGAATATACAAGGACGGCAACACCATCTACTCCAAGAACACAAGCACCTCAGAGGATCTGCTTTACCCTCTGTCCGAGGCCCGAGTATCCAACTCTGGCAAATACAAGTGCAAGATCAGCATTGAGCGGAGAAACATGACGAGTGGAGCCGAGAAACTCACAGTAGCAGGTCGGTTTGATAATGTGGATACAGTATTATCTGTGGTTGTTTGAGAAGTTCAGGTGAATTTGATGGTGTTAGAATTGTTTTTTAAATGTGGTTAATTTAAACGCTTGTTGGCAGCATTCTCCTAAAAAACCAGTGAGATAGGCATGATTAGCATTTTTTTAAGCCATATATTGTAACTGAAACAGGAATCGAAATCCCATGCTTGGAAGTTCAAACCGTTTTTTCAAAATTAAAGTCTTAGTGTTTATGTGCAACAGCAAGTGGGATACATTCTTTAACATTGGTAGACGATGGTCTAATTTTGTTTACTTTTTTGAACTACTGTTGGATTAAAACTGCAAATCTTCCCCCATTTTGGGTCTCCAGGCCTGTCAAAACCAGTTCTCCACATTAACAAGGGTGTGGTCAGTGAAGGGGAGGAGGTAACAGCCACGTGCACAGCGCCCGGCGAGACAGGATCCTTTTTTTTTTACTTCTACGAAGACTCCAAAGAGATCCAGGAGAAGCAGGTAAACACCAACCAGGCGGAGGCCAGGCTTCACTTCAGCAGCACTGGCCACCACAAAATTCACTGTGGCTATACTGTCCTCGTAACGCCAGAGTCCTTCAAGTCAGAAGAAAGCCTCTCTGTCACTGTTTCAGTCAAAGGTGAGAAGCATCTTTACATTTCTATTATTTTCAAAGCATTTGTACGGTGGCCCTGAAGTGCAAGTCGAAACAACATTTAAAAAAAAAAAAAACACTACAGCATTTCATAAAACACAATGAAATTTCAGAAAACACTACAGCATTTCACAAAACGCTTCAGCATTTCAAAAAACACTACAGCATTTCAGAAAACGTTTCAGCATTTTGTGAAATGCTGTAGCGTTTTCTGAAATGCTGTAGTGTTTTGTGAAATGTTGTTTTGACTTGCACTTCAGGGCCACCGTACATTTGAGGCGTCTCAGAGCTTTTTCTTCATTGGTTTTGTCTCCTTAGCGCTTCCCATCGTAGCAGTTTTAGAGATTTTCCCCGAGTCCAAGATCTATGAAGGAGACAAACTCAACATCTTTTGCTCGGCCAAAAGCAAACTGCGCAGCTCGGAAAGTATCTACCTATACCTGAGCCATGGGAACCAGCTTCTCAGCAGTGGATACTCCACAGTCAACCACAGCATGGTTGCTCTGGCAAAGGACCCTGGGGAGTTTGAGTGCAGATTTGAGATGGGAAATGTTGTAAAATTTGACACAAAGGCGGTGTCAGTGACTGGTGAGTGGACAGGAAAAAGACCTGTGTGCAAACTGCAGCCTGCATATAAATATGTGTAATAGCTACTGATGTATGTTTCATCTTAAATATCAATGATTAGCATTAATACTGAGTTCTGAGTAGCTTTGTTAACTTTGCTAGCCATTGTTAGCAATACCAGTTAATAATGCATTACGCTGTATTTGTACATAAAAACTCCATAGTAAGCTTGGAAGCAACAAGGCCAGTGCCACAGATAAAAGTTGAAATGTATTCTGTATGACTGATTTATTAACATATACATAGGTGTAAATTGACCTTACTTCAGCTTCCACTGGTTGATGTCATCCAGGAGCTTGAGCTCTGGGTTGGTGAGGTTCTGCTGACTTTTCAAGGCGTACATTTGACTTTATTGGGCGTTAAAGTTGAAATTGGACTGGGAACTTTGAAATTCTAACTTACCAGTTCAACTGGAATCCATTACTATATTCTTATGAATGCTACACCTGTGGAGCCCCAAAACTGATACAATGTTGTTAAATGTTATCAGACACTCAGTCAGTGCTTAGCTTTTCATTTATTTTATCCAATTAACAGTATTTCTATTATTTATTGTTTAATAGAGTGCCACAGTGACGCGTCCTAAAACCCGTAAGTAAACTCCTTCCGGTTCATAAATCTATCGATCATAAATCTATCGATAAGATTTATGATTAGAAAATTATAAAAGTAGGGTAGACACGTGGATATTATCCGTCTGAACAAAACGTGATCTGTCTCTTCAATTTGTGTCAACCACAGACCTTATTTCGAGCTATTTTCCAAAATCCTATGGAGAAATTGCATTGGTTTTTGTCGAAGGAACTGGAAGTGGTAAAATGCTAACTTACTTCCGGGTTTTAGGACGCGTCACTGTGGCACTCTATTAGTCAGACAATCACATTTTGTTGTTGTAAATAAAAGCATTTCCACTATGAAGTGATATGAAAGCAGATGATGACTTGTTTTCTGTATCTATCCACAGAGCTGTTTTCAGTGCCCACTCTCACCATGTATCCTGCTGAAGTCTTTCAAAGGGAATTCGTGACACTAACCTGCAGAAGTGAGAGCTCTGCCTCTGAAAGACTTGGCAGGGACGAGTTGACATACACTCTTGATCCAACCGAAAGCCCACTGATCTCCAAAGTCAACGGAGTATTTTATGGCAGAGCCCTGCTATATGATTTCAACTATACCTGTGTAGCTAAAGCCAAGGAGATAGTGAAACGCAGTGAAATCCTGACTGTACGTCCTAAAGGTAAGCTCACGTGATGCGTCTTTCAGAGGCTGCATTTAACAAAGCCATTTTAAACACACACCTCTCTATGTTAATGTCTTAACATCTTAACAACCTTCTCTGCCTTGGATTGGCTTAACATGATAATCCAACCCCAAACCCTAACCAATTTTATTCATTATGCCTAAACCCAATCCAAACTACAAAGCCCATCCAACAAGAAAAGTACTAACCAATCATTGGTGGGTCATGACTCCGCCATACTAGGAAAAGCACATTTGTGCCCAGTCCTATTTTTACAATGTTGAGCCTTTGAAGACTAATACACTCAAGCCCCTGAGGGTTCAGGGTTTAGTTTTTAGAGGCGACATTGGCCAGTGTGTCTTATTTTTCCCTTTGTTCTTTTCAGTTTCTGTCTCAACTCCCAAGATCTCGGTGGTCGGCAGGGCGGTTATAGGACAGTCCTTCAAGATCCTCTGTCAGTCAGACATTGGCAGTCTGCCGATAAACTACACTTTGCTGTTGGGGTACGACCAACTGAACACAACCACCGTCAAAGAGCCCTTTCAACAAGCCCTCTTCACCGTCACCGTCAGAACGTCAGATGAAATAAGCAAGTACATGTGTGAAGCAAGGAATAGTCAGAAAGAAGCCCCACTCAGCAAAAGACTCAACGCTACAGTCATAGGTAAATATTAAAAACAAGTATGTTCCTCCATTTTTACATGTATAATGGATTAATTTGCCTTATCATTGTTGCTTAATCCAGATCAATCAATGTATTTACCGCATGATAATGGATTTGCGGCCATATACATTAAAACTATGGACAAATTAATCTTACCTCAAGATCCATTTAGTACTGGAGCCTTGTTGTGAAGCCTTTTACATTACCGTTTTCAGCAGATGGAGTTTGTCAAATTGTCTGTGCATGCTCACGTTTTCATTTTCTGAGCACTTTTAAAACATTTTATGTCTCGAGTTCCTGGCCTTTACGACAGCATTTGACAAAGCATCTCACCTCAATGTCTCTTTAGTTGCTCTGGTCCGTTCTAATGTGTCACATCATCTTAGCTAGATCAAGTTCGCCCATCGGCCATAGAACAATTATTCAAGCTGCTGCTTCCAAGGTAGAGATTTAACTTAAAATATCCCTTTTGTTTAAGGAAATAGTTTGACATTTTGGGAAACATACTAATCACTTTCTGACCGAGAGATAGATGGATTCATACCACTCATTTTTGTTTGATATATTAAAGGTGGGGTAGGTAATTTTGGAGAAACCAGCTTGAGTGCGCTAGAATTAGAAAATACACAGCCGGAACAAATCTGCCACTTCCTTACAGAGCCCCTCCTCCAACACACACGAACGCGCACATCACCAATGAGGGCACGAGATAAGTTTGTGCACAGATGGAAGGCTGACAGGCAGGTAGGCCATCCAGTTATTTTAGCCGGGCCGGCTAAAATGATTGGTCGTGCTTTTTACAGTATTACGGCTTCCACAGATGACATTTTTAATGGATTTTTTGTCAAAGCACTTAAGATATTCATTGCTATCGGGATGTTAAGAGCATTCCATGGAATATAACAAAAAGTGTATCTCGAGCCGGTTTCTCAATCTTACCTACCCCACCTTTAAGTTATCACAAGCAACCGATTAGCTTTGCTAGCACTAAGACAGGAAACGGGGGTAGAAGCTAGCCTGGCATTGCCCAACGGTAACAAAATCTACCTAGCAGTATCTCTATACTAACATAATAACTAGGGCTGTCAGTCGATTAAAATATTTAATCGCGATTAATCGCATGATTGTCCATAGTTAATCGCGATTAATCGCAAATTAATCGCACATTTTTTATCTGTTCTAAATGTACCTTAGAGGGATATTTTTCAAGTTTTTAATACTCTTATCAACATATGAGTGGACAAATATGCTTTATATGTTTGTTTATTATCATTTGAACAATGACAAATATTCTCATGAATATTAAACACAACAACCTCTGAACATTACAAATATTCGCCTCAATTCAACCTGGAACATCTCTCATACAATACTGTGTGTGTGTGTGTGTGTGTGTGTGTGTGTGTGTGTGTGTGTGTGTGTGTGTGTGTGTGTGTGTGTGTGTGTGTGTGTGTGTGTGTGTGCGTGTGCGTGTGCGTGTGCGTGTGCGTGTGCGTGTGCGTGTGCGTGTGCGTGTGCGTGTGCGTGTGCGTGTGCGTGCGCGTGCGCGTGCGCGTGCGCGTGTGCGTGCGCCTGCGTGCGAGAGAATGTGGAGACACTGTGATGGATCGTTGGAGCTATGTGCAGCTCAAGGCATATATGCTCGAACGGGAGCTGCCTGGACGCTGCAATCATGTTGCGCGTACTATCCGTGCTGAGTGTGCTGACTTTTCGTACAATGTCCCACTGTCTGGCTACCTGCATAAAGTCAAGTGCTCGGCGCAGTTGTCGGCGAAATGTCGCTCCTCTGTTTTCATTGAAACAGCTCCTTATATCCGTTAGCGCAGCTAGCTAGCACCAGATGCTAACAACAACAACAACGCGTAAGGTGTGCCTCGCTCGCTCCACACATACACACACCCTCCCGGTCCTCCCGATGGCCAGTCCGGGCCTGCCGGTGAGCGTGGAAGTGTGGTCTGCCACAAGCGGGCGGCAGGAGCGGGGCTGTCAGCATCAGCTTGTAGATGGTATTTTAAACTCGATGCGCTCTGAAACTACGGGGCGGCCGAGGACAAAAAATACACATGCGTTAATCGCGTTAAAATAATTAGTGGCGTTAATTTTTTTTGCGTTAACGGGTTATTAACGCGTTAACTTGACAGCCCTAATAATAACACATCAGGTCTAGTTTGTTTAATCTAAACAGAAACAGATTTCTACAGTAAAATTGTTGATGTTTTACAGGTGGCTAAGCTAAGCTAATCGGTTGCTTGCGGTAGATTCATAACTCTCATACAAACATGAGAATGGTTTTGATCTATTAATCTAAATTAACTAATAAGTATACTATTCCTAAATCAAATGATAGAGTGTGATTTAGTTCTTGTAATGTCTTAATGACTCATAGACACTGTTGGCTTACCTCACCTCTTTCCTCCCCCTTTTCCAGTGCCGCTCACAAACCCGACTCTGACCGTCCTCCCCCACCTACCAGAAATCTCTGAGGGAGATAATCTTTACCTCATATGTGGAGTAAATGGAACTCCGCCGGTCACGTTTAAGTGGTACCGTGTTGGCAATGAACATCCGCTGCATACCAACACCACCCACAGGAACCACACACACTACCAAGTGTCCGCGTTGTCCAAAGAGCACAGCGGGATGTACTACTGCGAGGCGATCAACCACGCCAACATCCTGGTCCGCAGTGACCTGGTCACCATAGAAGGTGAGACCAATCGATCTTTACACTCAGTAAGGGACTGCTACTGGTCCAGACCTGTACTTCTGTGACCCTGACCTCTGGGGCATACAAAACTGTCTCTTTAGAGAGATATTTAACAAAAAGCAAAGATACCTAGTTAAAGGAATACTTCACCCACAATGTGATAATCATTCTATCAGTTCCTCAGCCTGTGTTACCTTGAATTCTTCAAAAGAAATGTGTTCACTCCATGGTAAATTAAAAAAATCCCAAAACTGAGATATGTCTTGATGAATTTAAGTAAATGGGGGCAGAGTTAAACAATAGCAAAACTTTTTAGAAACATTTTTGGGGAAAACAGTTACACAACTGTTACAAAACTGTTACACAACTCGTCTCATTTATCCAGCCCTGGGCTGACTATTTCTCAAGCACATGCATTTTTACTGGGACCATCCTCTTTAAAGGGGCTCTGTGATTCTTCGGGGGTTTCCCTCTCCTTTAGTGTGTTATATAGATTTTTGATCATGTAAATGGTCTAAAAAGGCTAAAATCCCTGTGTTCCCTACAGAGGGAGTTTCTCTCCCACACACTCCCCCCCTGCCCTAAAGGCCTCCATTGTACTCCTTTGTTTACTTCCGTAACATAAATCCATCACTCAGTAACACTCACGCTATTGGTTAGCACTCCAACACTTTGTACGTGATAAAATAAGAGGAGGAAGATCTCTAGGCGGTTGACCAATCAAAGAGAGACAAATAAAGAGCTCTTTGAACATTAAAGCATGGAGACATGTCACAGTAGAGGCACAAAATGCAAATATGACTCTGAACATTTGCATAATATGTCCTTTTAAAAAAAAGTCCCAGGTGTTTACAAGTCACATTACATCTCACATAGTAGACTTACTTGGTAGCTGTATTTTTAAACGCTTGGTAAATGCTCCTGTCATTTCCAAGCAACCATAACCAGCTCATTGTATCATCTGATTTTATCCAGCAATACTATGAGTGTGAATTAAATTATTGTCTGCTGTGTTTTTCTCTAGGTTTCTGCCTCTGTCTCTGCTAGCTCCATGTGTGTGGGGAAAAGTCAAGCCCTGCACTGTGAAGCACAAGAGCAGAGCATATTAATGACTGAGTGAAGCTGCAGCAGTGCTCATAAAATGAATATATGGGAAACACTGAACAGATGTATGGCTTTGGGTAGGCCAAAATGATTTATTAAACAAATTATTATTATTTTTTCTCCGCCACATTAGGTCTTTCGGGGAAAGAGACAACATTTGTTTGGTTTTATACATCTGGGATTTTGAGTGTTATACAATACTCAATACTACACTGTACAAGTGTTTGTCCACTGCTTTAAAGTCAAAACTGCTCCACCAATCTGAATCTGCTCAAAGATTGTAGACCAACCCTTTGAGAGACTATATCAATCGACCTACCATAATAACATATTCAAGTTGGCCAACAACATCATCTCTGACCCTAACCATGTCCTGAGCAGCGAATATGAATTGTTACCATCAAATCGGAGAAACAGGGTCCCACGATATAATAAGGTTATACTGAAGTGCTCCTTTGTTCACCAGTCAGTCAGTCGAAGTTAAATCCCAGGTAAAAATGTACGTTACAGAGTCTCAAGCATTTTGTCTTCAGTGATCATGATATAATGTTTAATGTTTGTTTCCTTGTATCTTGTCTTAAAAAGTTATCCTTGTTCATGTCGCAAGTGGAGCTGCAACTTCATGTCAGACTTGAGCTGACATGAAGTTGCATAATGTAACGTAACGTATTGTAACCGAGCGTAACGCAACACAACGTAATGTCACGTATCGTTACGTATAGTTACGTATCGTTTCGTAACGTATTGTACCGTATCTATCTTAACGTAACGTAATTCAACGTAAGGTGCCTATCGCATCGTATTGTATAGTTTTGTATAGTTTTGTATCATGTCCTATTGTATCGTATTGTTTTGTATGATATAGTATCGAATCGTATTGTATTGCATTGTTTCATATCGTATGATCAAACACAATAAAATGATCACTTTGTCCCTCAAAGGACAAAGTGATAATTAAAGAAGACCGAAATGTAAGGAAGAGAGGGAAGATATCTGCCAGCTGTACTTGGTTGTTTGAATCAGAGGTCTCAGCTTGGAAATAAGAAACCCCCTTGCATTTGAGCATGCTTCATTGACAACATTGGATTTTAGGGTTGTCCTGTCTCATTGTATTCTATTCTCTTTTTCCCTCTTTTCTGTTTGTTTGTCACTGAGTGTCTGTGTCTCTCTCTTATAGTGCGCCTGGCGTTGTGGAAGAAAGTGCTGATCGGGGGCTTCTGTTTGCTGGCGCTGTCTGTGTTGGTGGTGGTGGTTGTGCTGTGCTTCAAATCCAAGAGAGGTAGAGAGACCTACAGTCCTCCAGCAACTCAGCCCTCACATATCTAACTATGTATCAAACTTCCCTCACCTACTTCCTCCTGCTCCTCTTCTCACCTCTCCTCTCTTATTGTAGGTAAAAGAGAAGCAGCTGCTGAATTGTCAGTGTGAGTTGGCTAAACTACTTGCTTCCTCTGAATGTGACACATACTGTGGAAGTTAGTGACAGTGTATCTAGTTTTATTAGCTTGATAGATGAGGGCCTATTCGTTTATTTTTGTATTGAAGTCCTTTAAATAACCAAACTGGTTGTTTTGCAATAATACAAGAACCCTCTGCAAAACCACAAAATTCTTTACTCCTGTTTAATTGAACGTGTTTATTAAAAAGGTTTATAGGTGCAGGATGGCAGATATTGTTATGTTGGGTCAGAGCCCTGTCTCCTGACTCAGCAATATTTAATTAATATAATAAATGTTACTTTTAAACCCCTAAGGAATATTGCAGTGTTACAGTAACCAAGACTTTTTAATAACAAATTAAATTAAAAAAAGGTTGGGCAGAAACTAAATTCAACTTTGAGGTGAAAGAAATAGGAGCAAATAGAGAGGGCTATGGGCCCTAACTTAGAGTCTGTGTAAAGCAGCTGCAGCACAGTGCAACTTTCTCCGCTCATTTCAGAGCAGTTCATTGTTCATGCTCAGCGCCTAGCTGTGTCAAAGTCACAAATGTACTTCATGGATCTGTGCACATTGTTTTGAGGCAGCAGAAAGCGAATGCGCCATAAAAAGTCTGGCCTAAAGTAAAATGGTGCCGTATTTTCCAACTAGCCAAAGGCCCATTATTCTGATATTAAGATGAGCCTACAGAGGAGGGGTTACGCTCTAAAGAACCATGATCTTTTGTAATTATGTATGAAAAATAGATTGAATAAATGATGGTAATACAGTACTAGTGCACATTAGTAGTGCAGTTAACTGCACAATGAATATATGTTCACTTGTAGAGTTATATAATGTAATAAATAAGAACGGTTGTTGGCAGAATAAAATATGAGATAAAAAAACCTTGTCGTTCCCCCACTAGGAAAAATAATAGCAGCTCAAGAGCAAAAAAAAGAATGCAACAAATAACAGCTCATTCCTTATATGCAATTCTCCCTTGTACAGATATTTACGTCATTGATATTGAACCTATAACTATCAAATAACACATAGTGTGTAGCATTGTGATAAAAAAACAATTTAAATTATATGAATATAATATATCAATATATATATATATATATATATATAATGTGCAAATAAAAGTACAGGAAAACAGAAAATGTACAAAATCTCCCAAACTTAAAGACCACTCATATAGTTTAGAGTGCATTATAAGTTTGTATCAGAATGTGTTACATATCGTTTTTACAGCATGCATATTCTTAGGATCATTTTGGCTTGAATCGTTTTTTCCTTGACATCACTGCCGCCCAAGTTGACTTTATTTTCATCATCTCTCAGAAAGCCTTCGCGCCCTAAATCAGATGACTCTTTAACAGTGAATCTAACCCACAACACAGAGGTTTATAACGCAGCCACAGGTAGCTTGGTTTTAATATTCTCCTGTGTACCACTGACTGTCCTCATTAGTCATCATCCTAACAGCCATGAGTAATTTCTCTCAAAAGTCATAGCATGTTTCCTGTTGTAGCCTCAGCAATCCATTCTCATCCCATGATCATTGTTCTAAAACGCATGCAGGGCCATGTTGCAGTGACTTGGTCACCTCTGTTTATGTAACTGTCTATGTTGTAGATATCCTGTGTAAGTTTATGTGCATGCACAACACGTATATGTTTCAGAGTATTGTCTTCGTCTGTCTCTGACTTATTTTGCATGTACATTGTGTTTATGTCTGTGTATTTTCAGAGGCCGGAAAAGTAGGATGTTGTTAGAATACAGTTGTTGTAGGAAGTAAACTACGCGAGGTACGAGCTGTGTTCGCACAGGAACAAGCTGCTTAAGCCTAGTCCACATGTACATAGGTATTTTTTAAACAGGGTATTTTTCATGTATTTTTCAAAGCAACTTCAAACAAGCACGATTTAAAGAAAATCTCCATCAGGATGATAATACACAAATACTGGCTACCACTGACTGGCGGTGTAGTAGTGACCTCTATAGCACATGTTGACCCCTTTGTAACATGCAAAATGTGCGTAGTTCAAAACTTCTCCTCTTTTTGTGCCTCACAAATCAAATAATGCCGTAAGGACCTTTAAAAGTTTGGTTTTCATCACATGTCATCACACATGAAAACAGTCTTATAAAATCTCTGTTTTCAGTGATCTAAAAGTTTGTTTGGTACTGTGCGATTGATTAAAAGTCTATGTTTAAAAAGCACCCATGTACGTGTCGACTGGGCCTCAGTAGTTAAACCGTAGTGCATGACATTGATTATCAATTGTTGCCAACTGCTTAGAGTGCGCATTATCATCCTCTTCCAGACGCAGCGCCACTCTATGATGGCACGGAGGGGAGAGTGACCAATGGGGCGCGAGATAGCGTGGCGTCGCTTCCCGTTGACACCAGCAACAGGAGCAGCTACAGTATCCCAGCCACAGTCTAGAGATGCCCCACACTGGGCTGGACATTTTTATTTACTTTCAAAGAAACAGAAGTTCAAAGAAAGGACTTTGAGAGTAAAAAGGAAAAGAACACAAGATACAGTAATCCTGTTTGTGATTTGGACACTTTCTACACTGAGGTGTTTTCTCAGTAAAAAGGATGTAAATCAGAAACTGCTGCTCCCTCTCCCCTCCTCCTTCAATCTAGGTGGCCTTTGGTTTTACATTTAACGTTACTGTCTTTGTATCTTCCCTCACCATGTCCTCGTGATGTCATTTCCTTAATTGTTGCAACTGCTCTGTTTGTCCATTCTGCATGTTTAAATCTTTGTCACTGACTGAGTTGTATACATTTTATCACCATCGCAGGAAATGTGTGTATATATTTTTGGTTGATCTCTTGACTGCATGGTTGGAAGAGACGGTTGTAGAATAAAGATGGTGGTTTTATTTAGAAGCGTGTCAGTACATTTCATTTTGCTCCTGCTATTGTAGATACTGCACAAAATGCAGTCAAAGAACGAGATTATTATTATAGTTATTGCTACCTGCATTCATCTTCTATTTCAGTATGTGCTAGACCACATGTGTCAACATCGAGGCCCGGGGGCCAAATCAGGCCCTTGGTGGATTTAATTTCGGCCCACAGGATAATTTCTAATTACTATTAGATCTGGCCCGCCGGTATATTGCACGCACACCTTCACTCAATCCTGAGGGTCTCCTCAGCTCAGAGCCTGACCCCAAACATTGATGAACTTGCACCCGAGATGAGATGCCAAGTATCTGGCTTGAACTAGCATCACAGAGCAGCAAACTGAGTTTACATGGACTGTAGGAATGTGGAATGTTTCCTTCTGCACTTTTTGTCTTGTGACAACAGGGCATGTTTGGTTTTTTCTTTGAGGGAAATAGTTTTTTTGAAGCTATTGTTGGCCTGTGGGAAAATGTAATCATAAGAAATGACTCCGGAAAAGCTGCAGATAGAGCCATAAGAAATGAATGCAACTGATTATTTAATGTTTAATGTTGTTTTTATAGGCAATAATTTAAGCTTTGTTAGTTCCAGGTTTAATATGTGCAATAAGTTCATTTCAATAAGTTTTGCAATAAACATTGAACCAGTCCGGCCCTCGACTAGTACCGATTTTTAAATTTTGGCCCACTGTTTATTTGAGTTTGACACCCCTGTGCTAGACGATGCGACTATCCTAAGCAAAGGTCCAAGACAAGAATACCAACATTGCATGAAGTTGACTAATATCCTAAAAAAGAATGCAAAACAGAGACTTCCTTGAAAAGTTGAAACAATAGAGTCTGCAAAAAAACTGTTGGCACAGATTTTAAGAGGGGGGGGGGGGTTGATAAAACTAGTTGCGTTGGGGAAGGCAAGTTTGAATGCATGCAGCAGGTGGAGGAAATGAATGAATAAGCCTTGCTTGAGTTGTTTGAGAGATTACATTACCAACTGGGAAGTTGTTTTAGCCCAAAGTTATTGTGCAGCCGCTGCTGGATTAACAGCCTATTGTGCACAATATGTGCAGGGGGAGATTTTCCATGTACCAGAGGAAGACTTGAAATCTGCTCCTTTGTTACTTTTATTTTAAGAGTATTAATGTCTGCACTGAAGGCTAAATTGTAGAGTTTTGCCACGAAGCAACGGTCATTACAGTCCTTGACAGCGGTCTGTTCTGCTGGATTTACAACGTGTCACATGTTCTGAATTGACCAAACAGAACTTTATTTAGCCTCCGTATTGTTTATGGTTGAATGTGGGCCGCAAAACATTTTTTGATTCTTAAGTGGGCCCTGAGTTGAAAAAGGTTGGGAACCCAGTGGCGTAACTATCGACGGTGCAGCCGGTGCAACGCACCGGGGCCCAGAGCCAGCCAGGGGCCCATGCAACAACAACAAAAAAACTTTAATATATATTTTTTTATTTTTTAAATGGCATTGACCGGTTCACGCAGTCTTCAAAGTAACCAAGCAACCTAAATTAATTTGTAATTTGTCTGTCCAATGACCTTGCTCCCTTTCATGTCATGTGATACCTTGTGTGACGAGCGAACCGTTTAATCAACCTGTACTGTACTGTAGCTAGCAGCAGCAAGTTCGGCAGCATTATAAAAAATGTAATAGCTTGCATTTATAATGTACAGCAAACCAAAGCACAAGAGCGGCGCTCAAAAGAGAAAGGACAAGAGATAACAAGGAGATGTAACAGCTAAACTGACAAAAATAGACAGTTTTTTTTGTCATACATCGTCCTCGAAATCGAGCGCTAACGTTCTCAATGTTGACGTGCAGCGGCAGCCGGAGCCGGAGGCTAACGATAGCTCACCATCATTGCCATCTAGCTCCACAAGTGAAGCTGTATCTATGGCTGTGGCTGTGCAACCTTCTTCTCCAGCCAGCCAGGAGGAGAGGCTGGATTTGGCTGTGCCCGGTGGTGGTCCAACAGTTCCCCCAAGGGCCCCAACCGATAGGGGACTCTATGGCGCTGTTGAGACCCCCGACGCCAAGATCAAAAGCTATATTATAGCAACCGGTCTATGTAGGCCTACCGGCCCATTCCCCAGAGACAAACATCAAGGAAACAGGTTTAATCCTCTTCTTAGTTCGCTGTGCCGTTGTCAGGCTGTGGTGGTTTGAGGCCAGGGCAGGCTGTTGTTGATAGCCTACATGTGGCGCTTCTGAGTGGTTATGTATGTCCGTGCGTGTGTGAGCACATCAGTGTGCGCTTATGTTTGGGGCGATGGGGGGGGCCTCAAAACAATATTTGCACCGGGGCCAATCACAACCTTGTTACGCCACTGTGGGAACCGCTGCCCTAATAAGTTTACTCAAACACACATCACCTAGATTTAAAGTGATATCTACATGTGGCTCCACAAAGTGTAATTGTATTGCTAATTACCTATTATTGTTACATGGTACAATTTTACAATGTAAAATAAGTCTTGGTTATAATCTGATATTTATCTTTCTGTGTTTCACAGTGCGAGTTGAGGGAGCTGCAGTCAGTGTGTGGAGCGAGCGGCGTCCTGAAGAAGGTGAGCTGGACTCTTCGTATCTGTTCGATATATCAATAGTCTCACAAGACATTTCAGAATAGAGCACAGACTGATTTAACTTTCCTTTCTCAAAGCAAGTGTGTGTTACTTTTGCAAAGCATCAGCCATCATGGCATCAATTGCCATTTACAGTGTTGAAATGAAAAATGTAACCAAGTAAAAATTGGAGGTACTTTAGTTTTCCTACTTCATACATTTAGTCTACTAAATGTTTTACTTTTTACTTTGCTACATTTATTTTACAGATTTAGTTACTAGCTTCTTTGCACATTAAGGTCCCATGTCATGCTTTTCCGGTTATTACCCGTCCCCTTGTGTGTTATGTCGCTTTTTATGCATGTAAACGGTCTGCAAAGTCAGAAACCCTCAAAGTACACCCTGTAGCGAGTAAAACTCTAACACAGAAAAGACGCGTCTATGCTGCCCCAAAACGCCTCGTTGGAGATTTTCTTTTTCCATTTTTTTCTTCCGGGAACCAAGTGACGTGACGACGACCCCTCCGCGAATTGGTCCAAATGGACCAATCCGCGGAGCTCCTCACACACACACACACACACTCAGTCAGCTTTATTTTTCTCAGCTGCAAATCCACGGATTTCTCAGCCTGAGACAGCGGGACAAGGCGAGGCCCGGCCCGGGCCCGGTCCGAGCACACACACAGACCCACAGCCAGGCTACGGGTGTGTATGTGTGTGTGTGTGTGTGTGTGTGTGTGCTCCGGCCGAGCTCGGGCCGGGCCTCGCCGTGTCTCGCCGTACCGCAGACCCCACGCAGCAACCAGGAAACAACACCAGTAAGCCAGCTCACACTGTCCGCTCCAGCAGCGAGCCCCGCAACGTCCCGCCAACACGGCACCCAGACCCCACGCAGCATTCTCATCTGTTTGTCATTACTGGTGTCATTTTCTGGTTGCTAACAAACGCCATTGTAACACATAATCACTGATGTTCCGCTGTAACGGTGGTGGACTCATCAGAACAGAGTGGGCGAGCTGACCAATCAGAGCACACTGGGCTCATAGGGAGGGGGGGGCAGGAGCTCCAACAAGCCGTTTAGGACAGAGAGTGAATACACATGCTATACAGAGATGCTGCATGAGAAACCAATGTGAGTTTGGAACATTGCACAATATAAATATATTCTAGTATACCTCAACAATGAAATGATGATCAGTAGAAATGGCCATGACATGGGACCTTTAAGATGATAAACATTTGAACAACATTGAAGTTTCAATCATTATAATACAATGATGTAAAATACATATTGTGCTTAAAAGTGCCATTCTGCATAATGTGTACTTTTACTTATGGTACTTCAAGTATATTTTGATGCTAATTATTTTTAACTTATTTGAGTTACATTTTGAATGCAGTACTTTTACTTGTAAGAGTTTTGAGACTGTAGTATGTCCTCCTACAAAAAACTACCAAATAGGTCGATTGTTCAGCAGCTTATTACGACCTATAGTTACGTTTTAAAGTTTAGCACCTCTAGTGGTCGTATAAGAAACAACAATTTGCGGCAATTGCAAACGCTCCGGAGGGTCGTATATTCACAAATAACCCTCTCTGGAAAATCCTAAATTGTAGAATAGTTTGGCCATTAAAATGCTTTTTGATTAGATTTCTAGCAAGAAGTGTATATTGTACTTTTAGAATCCAGGTCCAGTGGATGTGTAGCATCTATAGTTTGATAGATATTACGAAGTTTATCTGAGGTCTCGCCAGGAGAATGTGTATATACTACGTCTTTCCCCCTATTAATTTCTATTGACGGCAGCGTCCGTGTAAAGTTGGCGTCAACCCTCACAGGGTGAAAACAGTATTTCCGGTCTCGAAGTTTTCATAATAAAACCGGAAGTATTCCCCTCACTGTCAAATGATTTTACAGTGATATCTGCCATACTCATCCACTAAAAAACATCAGTTTATCCTTGTTAATTACACAATATTGATTGGTTTAAATTGTGTACAATGTTTTTGTGCTTTTAACCTTCGATTCGGAGAAACAAATAGTTTTTTGGGAAATTAGGATGGCCGAAGACACGACACTACCCATAATGCTCAGCTATCATTTGGGACTACAACATCCGCTTTGCTTGACAAACCCCGTGATTAGTCAGTAGTTATAAAGGTAGGGACACACCAAGCTGACACCAAAGAACTGACACAGACGGACCCGACTGTTGTGTCGCCTCGCGTCTCCTGCGTCTTGGCCATGTGTCGCACTGGAACACACCGCAAAGACTTCAGCCGACAGCCAAGAAGCACGTACGGACTGCGCATGCGTGAGTGGCAATAACTCTCCTTACCAGCAGGCGGCGGTAGTGTGTATTCGTCATTGAAAAGAGGCAACAACCGGAAGACAGACTGCGTGATACACCGAGAGAAGAAGAACAGACTGCGTGATATAAACAAACAACAAATAGCGTGTGCGTTCCATTTTCACTCTACAGCGAGAAGCTCATGGGGCTTTCCCGAACCTGTGTCGAGAGCTGGAGTTAAATTAAATCTCAGATTTGCCTTCTTAATAGTTTGTTTGGGTCCCTCACTTCCGTTTCGCTTCTCATGCACTGATCGGCTAAGCTGAACAGCCAATCAGAGTGATTTCTTTGGCCGACGGCCTTTAGCCGACAGCCTCCCGATTCAACATGTTGAATCGGCGGCAGAAGGTGTCGGCACAGCCGAAAAGACACAACGGTGCAGTACACACCAAGACACACCAATCTGAGTAGGGCGACACGACGCTCATCGACGGCAGATGTGTCATATTTAATGCAGCCGAAACGTGTATTACAATGCCGTTATGTGATGACTTTCAAAGAGAAAAGCAAGCATACTCGGAATAATGTATTATTTAATTGTTTTATACAGTCTATGGTTGCTACAGAGGATTGTGGGTAATGTAATGTCTTCGGCCATCCAAAACTCATAGAAAACGACTTGTTTCTCAGAATTGAAGGGGAAAACGTGACAAAAGCATTGTACACACACTAAAACCTATCAATGTCGTTTAATTAACAAGGATAATCTGGTGTTTTGAGTTGATGAGTAGTGGAGATATCACTGTCAAATCAATCGACAGTAAGGGGAATACTTACTTCCGGGTGTACAATTCTCCGTTATCCAATGGGAATGGACGCTCACATTGCCTTTAACAGCCTCCGACACAAACGAATGCCGTGCTTCCCTAAGCGTCAAATACCGCCGCCGATGGGAATACATTGCAATCAGTTGAAAGCTCTTTGCGTCCGTTTATGAAGCTGAAGGAGCCTCGGCGCGTCACAACTGGATGCCACGGGACCCTGACCAAGCGTCGCTCCTGGACGCTTAGGGAGTGAGAGTGTGTTGTTCTACTATGCCAAAATAGAGTCAAAGAGTATATGAGAGTGAGAGTGCGTTAATTAATATATTTGGCAGTTTGGAGTAAGTCTGTAGATTTGTTTGTGTGTGTGTGTTTCATGTATAGGCCTCTCACGATAATTAATTTTGTTGGATACATTTTCCCGGAAATTATTGCGATGAACGATAATATTGTCGGCACCGTTGTATCATATGACCATTTTAGACCACTGACATAATGATAATATATAATAATAATTCAAGTACATCCTTTCAAACTGCTAGTCACATCCTCATGTAAATGGCAATTTATCGAGGTCAGAAAAGTTATGGAGTTCATTTTTATTTATTGTACGATAAGTCAATTAATTGCTTATCGCGACAGGCCTATGCACACAATAAAACAGTGGAAACAAACATGTGTTTGACTTTCATTAGTGAATGAAACTTTGTGCCCTTTATAGTCTGTGTCCAATATTGTGTATTTGTATATATTGTATATATATCCTATATATATGCTAAGGTCCCGCTACTGACACGATAGCAGTCATTTAGTGCGCATATGTGTAATTAAACCCATGATATCAAAATCTCACTCCAGCCAGGTACCCAAAGTTGGCAACCCTGACCAAGCACAGACACACAAAAAAAACACACACACTACGTACAGTATACTGTGACTCTAAAAGGCTAGTTTGTGTGACCTTTTAAAAAAATATATATTTTCTGATATACCATACTATTATTAGAGCCAAATTTAATTTTATCAGCAATCTCCATAAGAGTTAGCCTCTATTATTAACTCAACCTCATTTAAAGCTATTGCTTTCAAGCTTTTAACTTAAATACGCTATGCAACGTTGGATAAATACTGAGAAGTATGGTGTGAATATAAAAACAACCCAGAAATAAAAGCTAGGTCAGAGCTAACGTAATTAGCAACTCTTGTGTGTTATCAGACCCCAATGTTATATGTTGTTAGAAAACACTTGTGACCACCAGAACATAAAAACAAAACATTTTGGTCACTGTCAGTCATCAGTTCCAAGATTCAAGTAGTTCGATATGTCCAGACATATCCAAGATGCCCGACCGCAAATACTTAAAGAAAATAAGTCATGATACCTGGATATACCATACTATTACTTTTTGTTTTTGTTGTTGATACATTTCGAAAATATTATAATGACTATTTGACATATACCAGGGCTATGCGATTGGCGGAGGTAATATATACCGGTCCTTTGAGTAGAATGTTAAAAAGTAAGCTAGTTCCTGACTGTAGTGCCCACTCCTTAGGTTGGCTTCACTTAAAAATAGTGAAGTTCTAGATATAGATATAGTTCAAATGGAGTAATTTAAGTTGTCTGATGCACTTTATAGTTTGACTTTTTTTTTAAATACTGATGTGTTTATTCAAAACCATAATGCACACAAGCCTGTTTTTTGTTTTTTTGTTTGCACTGTTGTGTGCACTTAAATTGATGTTGACGATTAAATGAGTTAATGGTTCACATGTACTGAGTTCTGAACATGTCATCTAACTGTAGGAATGCCTTGGGCATATGGTTCCCTGATTTTTGCATCATGCTTTTACAACATACAATATAAGCACTCCTATGTTGTTGTAGTACTTTACTTTATCTGTAGCTATTAACATGATTGCTCATATTTCAAGGCATATTTTTCTTGAGCCCTTATTTTGGATCACTTCATCAACTGCCCCCATTCAAAAACTATTAAATAGCCCTGCTATATACTATGACCATTATTTTCTTATTTATAATATGGTTCAAATGGAGTAATTTGAGTTGTCTGATGCACTTGATACAATTTGACTTTTTTAAATACTGATGTGTTTATTCAAAACCATTTCAACACACAATGTCATGACTTTTTCAAGATCTTTTAGACAAACTATACTATGACTTTCTTTAATATTTTTAGAAATGCTATACTGACATTGCAGACAAACTATATAATATAATTCTTAACTACATACTATACTTGGACTTTTTTCAAGATACTTTTGACATACTATACTAGCACTTTTAAAGTAAATGTTCAGACATTCTCTGTGACTCTTTTTAAATGATATATATGAAATACTATACTATGACTATGATTTGTTCAACATACTGGTGTATACAATAACCTTTTTCATATTTTGGCTTCCTTCATGATATTTTCATAATACTATTCTTTTACCTCTTTTTCTATCTATGACCGTTTGGACTCTATGTTATTTACTATTTACCTTTTTTATTTTCGATATATTATTTTGCTATGTCTTTTATTAAGATATTTTCGACATACTGTTAAACACATTTTATAGTTATATGACTTTTTTTTTGTTTGTTTTGTTTTTTCATAGTATTTTCAAACATAACATACTATGACTTTTTTCTTTTTCTTCTTAAAAAATATTTTTGGGTCAGAAGGGTGTTAAAGGGAGAGATAGAGTGGATGACACGTGTAAAGGTAGCAGGCTGGATTTTAACCTGCGTCCATTGTAGCAGCAAATGTTTCAACATACTTAACCTTACATTTTTCACAAGTTCTTTTAAAATTATTATCTTTTTTTATTACAAATATATTTTTACTGCTTTCTTGTTGATGTTTTTTTTATTTTTCGGCGTACGAGATTGTATTTTTTCCACATCTTATTTTATCACACTTTGTTCATATTTTCAACATACTTTTATTTTGTCTTTTTTCATATATAAATATATATATTTCTTTTTGGACATAATGACTAATTTCATTTTTTTTTTTTTATGCTATACCATGACTTTTTTTTTTTTGTATCCTATTTTTCTATCCAATAATTCATTTCGACATAGTATATTAAAACATTTCTAAAACACATTATGTACATACTAAACATATATCACTTTCTTTCATTATTTTTCAACATAAATGAAGGTGGCACACCTTAACCAAGCCAACCAACAACAGCTTGTGGCAAAGCCAGGGTGACAGCTAGTAATGTGATGAGCCGAGGCTTCGGAGCACGGTTTGAGTTATCCAGGAAGTTTTTGGTGAAGCGCGTATCGAGGCTTCTATCATTTTAGGCCAGTGACTGCTTCAGATAGTGGTTCAGATGTGTTAAACCACTGACACTTCACAGTTTTATTACACTCATATGGCCCCTCCTGTTACCGTACCCGGTCAAGAGGACTCAGACCCACCCTCTGAAGATTGTTTGTTTGCACCTATATAACTTGCTGATGTTTGTACTGTGTGCCTTTGGTGTGTGGGTGTGGATCAGATACACTAGACACAACACATCCCTTAGTTTGGTTTCTAAACCTGCTTACTTTTCCTGGTTTTCAATAAAAGTTCTGCACAAAATTGCACATCCCCATTGAAGCTATCCACATCTACTTGAGATCTGATATGCAGCATATTTTGAGCCGAGCATGCCTATCTACCTTTTTCATTAATCCAGGTAGTATGGGTGTTCTTTTCTTGTTTAGAGTATCAGAAATGTTATGAAGGGGGGTATTAAGATGTTTTGCCTAAATGATAAAGAAATTATAAGATATTTGTTTTTTTTAGATTCTACACAGGCTACATACTTATTTTATTTGAATTATTTTGTATTTATCGCAAATGATATTGTCATTGCAACATTCAAGATGTTATCGCATATCGCATGTTTTTCTGATATACTGCAGTGCGAAAAGTATAGTATGTGGAACAGATCATAATGTACCATGTAGGAAATCAATTAAACTTACATTAAAATTGAAAGTTATAATACAGTATGCAAAAAGAAAATGATGTAGAGGTTTTCTGACTTGACCGGGTCCGGTAACAGGAGGGGCCATATGAGTGTAATAAAACTGTGAAGTGTCAGTGGTTTAACACATCTGAACCACTATCTGAAGCAGTCACTGTCCTAAAATGATAGAAGCCTCGATACGCGCTTCACCAAAAACTTCCTGGATAACTCAAACCGTGCTCCGAAGCCTCGGCTCATCACATTACTAGCTGTCACCCTGGCTCTGCTACAAGCTGTTGTTGGTTGGCTTGGTTAAGGTGTGCCCCCTTCATGTATGTTGAAAAATAATGAAACAAAGTGATATATGTTTAGTATGTACATAATGTGTTTTAAAAATGTTTTAATATACTATGTCAAAATGAATTATTGTATAGAAAAATAGGATACAAAAACAAAAAAAGTCATGGTATAGCATAAAAAAATTAAATGAAATTAGTCATTATATATTATGTCCAATATATATATATATGTATATTTATATATGAAAAAAGACTAAATAAAAGTATGTTGAAAATATAAAAAAGGTTGATAAAATAAGATAATCTCGTACGCCTAAAAATTAAAAAAGCATTTTAATGGCCAAACTATTCTACAATTTAGGATTTTCCAGAGAGGGTTATTTGTGAATAAACGACCCTCCGGAGCGTTTGCAATTGCCGCAAATTGTTGTTTCTTACACGACCATTAGAGGTGCTAAACTTTAAAACGTGACTATAGTTCGTAATAAGCTGCTGAACAATCGACCTATTTGGTCGTATGAGTTGGAGAACTGATTCTTTCACCTCTGGCCATTTATGATAAATGCTGAAATGCAGTTAAACAATTGCACAAGACATGAGTCATAACATCAGCTAGCTTGATTTTGCTAACATTAGCCATGTTATTCTTGACCTTGCTAACTAATTAAAGCTGACTGTTACACAACAGACTAATAACTCAACCTTTAGTTGGTCAAACTTGTATTTTCAAGGTCAAGGATGAACTGTTATCCTTAAGGAAACCCTCATCAAAATAAAACGAGGTCATGCGGAGGGTTTGGCAGGTTTTACAGACTCTTGTGCATGTTTTTGGTGCAGCCAACGACGAGGAGAGCAGCATGGTGTCCAACGAGCCTGATGTTGAATACACTGAGGTGGTGCATCCCCGTCCACTGGATCCTGCCAGAGGTGATACAAAAAAAGTTTTTGAATCCATTACCCAGCCTTCATCTCCCATCTTTCTGCTTCTCACCCTCCAAACTCTATTTTTGACAACATTTTGTCCTTCTATTTTTAGATCTTCACAATCTCTCCTATTTCATTACAAACCTCCCTGTAGAAAACATGTTGCTCTTCTTTGCCCACATTCCTTTACAATTAAAGTTCACACTTCCTGGGAGGGGCATAATTACCCATAATTAATACATATCCAAGTGTTTGTAACTGCAAAGATAACTGTTGGGATTTCCAGAAGCTATGCAGAAGTTATAAACAGGAAGGGTTGAGCTAATTGCCAGGCTGCTTTCTGATACCGGCCCCTTCTGCGTTAGGGCTGTGCTCAAAGTCCCCGGGCTGAAGATGGCAGTTACAGAATGGGCACATCCCGCCTACTTTTAGATATCTGCGTATGATAAATAAAAACAACAGTAACTACTCAACATTGTCTTTTAATGTTCAAGCATGTATTGTTTTTTACAGTCCCACCAAAAAAAGGCACGGACACAGTGTACAGCGAGCTCCAAAACTCTCCACATGGTGAGTTGTTATGTTGTCTTCTTAGTTGTTATCTTCTTTTTTTTGGCATTGAACATCGGATTACCTTTGATACAGTAGGACCTTTAAAAAGCTTTACAGCTGGGGGTATTTATAAGGTATTCAATGATTGTTTGTGAGGTGGAAGCGGAAACCAGAATTATCCCTCAACTCTGGTTCTCCTTCAGCTCTGCTGAGCATTTCTTCTTCTTTCAGCTTCCTGTTTTGCTTTCCAGCTTGTGATATTACTGTTTTGGTTTAGTTCAGCCTGGTCTGCTAAAACTTATGCTTTCATAAACTGAAACTTGCCAAATATGTTTCAAGGGAAACATATTTTGTTTTTGATGTTGACATATCAAAAATATGTTTTTAGATCATAAGTACATCCTTAAAGGGGGAGGCGGGTGGAAGGAGTCAAACTAACACAGAACTGTGCGGTGTGAAATCAGAAGACAGCATCGACTTATTTTAGCGACATACGTTACTCAATTTACGTAACATGCATATTTATTTTATGTACAATCCTTTCCTAAACAAAACCAAGTAGTTTGTTGGTTCTTTGTTTAGTTTAAATGTACAAGGTTAACTATGTGTTAAAAGCTGCAAAGACAAATCTGTAAGTGACTATGTTTCGAAATGCAATTGATAACATGTTATTGTGTAGGATCCATGGTTGTCTTACTGGCAATATACCCACTTGACATTATTTGCCCAACAGCCAGATATAGGATGGACAGTTTACCCTGGCCAACTAGAGAACCGTGACCATATCCTCCTATTGCTGGCAGGAACTTCCTGTTATAAAAAAAACAGCCACTGGCTGGATGTCTCTATTAAGCAGTCCATCTGAGGCCTAATATTTCCTGTTCAACAATAACAAAAGAAACCCGAGTGGTTGAGAGAGGCATATGTCAGAGTAAGAGAAGGGATTCTAAATGTTGATTCAGATGTCAGGGACAGGACAGTCTATGGCTGAAACAAAGAAGAGGAACAATGAGTCAGCAGGCTTAGCCACGTCCTCATATCTGCTCAATGACTAATGAATTACTCTGAGGTGAGCCACACAACCCATAATAACATGTGATGCTTTTCCTTCAGGGGCCACTGACCATCATGACTATGTAAGTAGAAAGCTGAACCATCACATTCTTTTTTATCATTTTAATTATGTGCTTTTTTTTACTTCACCTGAAACTGTTTCATAATATATGTTCATTCAGTTTTGAGCATTTTTTAAAGGAAAATCACAAGTTGACAGATATTATTTGATATTCCTAATAAACAGGATTTTTAACCATATTATAATCCTATCAGATTTATCAAAAATTATTTAATTGAAGCCAATATACATCCATTATATTGTTATCTCAGTCATTGTTTACAGTCATTACGCTCCTAATTCCAACACATTCAGTGTTAAACACTGATAAACTCAATTTAGGCTTTTCATAAAACATTTTATAATTTATGAGTTATTATTACTAGTTATACGGTGCATAAAGTATTCGGGTGCAAAAGAGTCATAATGTGGTGTAATGTAACTACATAGCCTTCAATTTAACTCATGTACTCTACTTTAGTACACTTTTGAGGGACTTGTTCTTGAGAAGCAATATAGTATGTATAATATATTAGGCCTACTGTAGATTAAACTACCTAACTATATACTGTATGGAGTAATTCAAATAAACTCCACTGGCATTAAATAAAAAATATAATTTAAGTGAATAAAAAATCAATTCATCACTGAACCTAATTCAATCATATAATGTATACTGTTCTGCAATATTTATACTTTTATTTTTATATAGTCTTGTATTTTTTATGGTAATATTTGTGTTATTTTACTTAAATGGGCCCTATTCTTTTCATTTTCAGTTAAATATTAGTATATTGTGCCTCTGCTGCGACATGATTACATGCTTTAATGTTCAAAAAGCTCTTTATTTTTCTCATACTGCCTGTGCTGCAGCACCTCTTTTCACCCTCTGTCTGAAACCAGAGCCCAGTCTGCTCTGATTGGTTAGCTGGCCGGCTTTGTTGTGATTGGTCAACTGCTTAGAGATGTCCCAGCCCTTAGCCTATCACGTACAATGTGTTGGAGCGCTAGCCAATAAAAGCACGAGTGTAACAGCGTGATGTCACTATGTCATAGAAGTAAACAAAGGTCTCCAATGGAGGCTTTCAGGCGGGAGGTGAGAGAGAAACTCCTTCTGGAGGGAACACAGGGCTTTGTAGACCATTTACATGCTAAAAAACAAAAAATAAGTCAAGATTGTATCTGTAGCTCAGCAGTGATTAACTGTTGATAATATAAATATAAACTGTAATGCATTAAAGTCTAAAGCTTGTGTTGTAAAATATAACTCATGTCTTTTCATACAATTATCATCTTAAGAGAAAATAAGCAATTAAACACATTGAAGAAATCTTCACTAGCGCCTTCGTAGCAGCCCCCCCCCTCCCTCTGGAACCCCCTCCCCAGCCACGTCCCATCTGCCAACACTCTCACATCATTCAAAAAAGCCCTCAAAACTCACCTTTTCCCTCTTGCCTTCAACTCCTAATCCACTAACCCACTATTCCACCTAGTTTAGCACTTTTTACTTTTCTTGTTATTTTTCTTTACTTGCTTGTAAAGCGCTTTGAGCACCAAGAAAAGCGCTATATAAATAACATGTATTATTAATATTTCATTATTATTAATATTACTAGTTCAACATGACCACTTTACATAGTTTACATAGTTAAAAATGTGATGTGTCCAATATGTAGTATTAAAAAGAAATGTTAAATATATTTTAAGAGCCTTCTGGCCTTACTTATTTTTCTGTTGATTTAAGTCACACATCAAAATGGTGACACATTTTTACATCGCATTATCTTGCACAATGACTGTTAAAAAAGGAGTTTGATACAATAGCATTACTCATAGTAAATGACTGAAACAGTCCGTGTGTCCCTGCCTGCACTGGCCTCCAGCTCAGAGATCCCAAGCAGAGAGTGAGAGGGAAACGGCCGTCAAAGTTTCCAGACAAGAACAAAGGCATTTGGGCTGGGGCTTACTTCCTTATCGCCCCATCAGATCAGCAGTCACATTACTTCCTAGCCCATCTCAGCCAGCACTGTCCCCCAGCATGCTTTAATCACCGCTGCACTAACTGTTTGTCCCTACATGGTGTTAGTAAGAGGCAGCTGAAGAGAGGAATGTGAAGTAATGATCTGAGGATGTGATGTCATGGTCCAGAAACAGTAGATTCCTTCATCAGTGTATCTTCTTGTTGGCAGATTATGTGGTTTTTGGCTGTCAGTAGTCTTAATGGTTTGTCTGATCCTCAGACTAAGGTATTTTTTGTAATGAGTCCCCAGTATAATACATGAATCAGACATGCCAGTGTTTAATGGCGCTGCTTTGTGTGTGTGGATTAGTGATTAGTGATCTGTTCCATTCCCACTCCCAGCTTCTTTACACACTTAGTTTTTTAACTCTACGTACCCAGTGCATTCTCAGTTTCCAACCTGGTCATTTATGGGCTGGTTTTGGCTGTCAATAGTCTTATTCTGGTTCGTCTGCTCCTCAGGAAACCGTTTTTAAAGTTTGTGTTATGGGAGAAAACCGAGCGTCTTCCTCGAGTATTTTGAAGTTTTGCTCGAGTAAAAATTAGAATTAGCAGCTAAACAGTCAGAAAATGGATGAAAACAGTTTAAAATCAGATTTTAACTTATTCAGGAGAATTTGTTTTGCACACATTTAATCAGAATCCACTTTCTCTCCCACACATTTGCGCTCCTATTGGTTAGCACTCCAACACATTGTAAGTGATAGGCTAAAGGGCGGGACATCTCTGAAAAGAGGTGCTGCAGCACAGGCAGTATGAAAAACATAAAGAGCCTTTTGAACATTAAAGCATGGAGACATGTCACAGTAGAGACACTACATACTGATATACACCTGAACATGAGCATGATAAATCATCTTTAACTGAGATTAGATTTCAGACTAAGGTAGATTTTTAATAAGACCCCAAAATAGTAAATGAATCAGATGTGACGGTGTTAAAGGCGGTGCTCTGTGTGTCAGCAGGGGTCAGTAGAGTATGCTGAGCTCAACAGTGAACAACCTGGGATCAATCACTTCCCTCCAGAGATCAACCACCACCAGGAGCTGCCCGTGGAATAGTGATCTGTCCCATTCCCACCCCCAGCTTCTTTACACACTTTGTTTTGGACTTTTCTAAGTTTCCAACCTGTTGAATAATTCAACACTACCTAAACTGTAAATATTATTTTGTAGCAATAAAGGCATTTCATAGTTTGTTGGTGTGTTTTTATTCGTGTTTAGCAGACCATTACAGGACAGCTGCAAAGAAATGATGGAAACACTTTATGATGCTAATGTGTAAAATGCAATTTAAACATGTTTTATTTTTAAATGCTATAATCTTCTTTTAGCACTGTATAATTATAGTTGTAAGCACTTTTTAACATTCATATTCATTTATGACTAGAACCTCAACACATTTTAGAGCAATATTCGATATGACTCATGAATAAGCCACATAAGATTTTACTTAAAATATATATAAAGACAGTATTTATGTTTGTGAATGCTATCAAAATATTTTTTTTTAATGTCCATGAATATGGTGATTATGTTTTTTAGGTATTAAAATACATGACTGCAGCTTCTTTAATTTTTATTCACCAATAAATACTGAAATAAATCCAGTTCAATTCAAATACATCAATACAATTCAATACATTCATCTGTTACATTAATTAAATGCAATATATGTATTGCAATAACTACAGTAAACCTCTTTCTTGATAGTTTTAAAAACCTTCTACTCAATAAACTAACAACTGTGCCATATACATAACTACTACACTAAGACAAAATGAAATAAATGTGTACTAAATAATCATGACAACTAACAACAACTTCATGGGATTTTTCTGAACTTTCTCAAGTGTAGTTGTCATCTTAGCTCTCCTAATATTCCAGAGCGTTGAACATGTCTTCCTCGTCCTCGGCGAGCTCCTCTGGGTTGAACTCAGCCTGGATCATGTCCAGGCTGAGTTCCTCATCATCAATGACCTGCACCCTAGCCATGCAAAGCACAAATAGGTCAGCAGAAAGAAATATATACTTTTGTTTTTAACCTGCTGCTTCTCTCTGCCACTAGCCTAACTGAAGTATTTACTTCACCTTTTCTGCAAATGTAAAGCCAAAATCCAACAAATAAGACAAGATAGATTTGTACCATGGCGTTGGCGGTCCTTGCTCCATTTCTCCCAGTTGTCCTTTTGACACCTGGTGAACGATTGCCACGCCAATACAGTTTCCCAAGACGTTGACAACACTGTTGCAGCGGTCTCTGAAAGACACCAACAGACCATGAAAGTTGAGCAGATGTTCTGATTTATTTTTGTTTCTTTGATCCATTTGCACTTTAGCTGACCGACCAAAAGGACAAAAGAATGTTAGCTGGTTAGCGAACCATTTCGCATAAAGCATAAAAGAGGTAATACATATTTAAAAGCGGTCAGGACAAATTTGCTCAGACAACAAAACAAAAACACTATTAGTGTATTGAGCTCCCCACACTCAATACATTATAAAGGTATGCCTTACTTGTTGTTAGCAACACTTGAAGACACAGGATTTACAATGTCAGGCTACATCTTAATCATAATGACAAATATGGCCTACAAACCTAACACATGTTATAAAATACTGTCTAATATTGCTTTTGAATTTGAAAATGTTGAATTTCATTTCAAAATATTTACACAATATAGCTTAAATACAAAAAAATGTATGCTAATAATGACAAAATACCATCCTCTACAGGGGGCTAGCATTCCCACTCACAACTGTGAAACACATGCATAAACATTTCAAGAAAACCAGTGGTATAATGTGTTGAAGTACATTTACTCAAGTATGTACTTGATTTTGAGGTATTTGTACTTTACTTGAGTATTCTTATTTTATAAGCCAATATTGTACTTTTATTCTGCTGCATTTATCTAACAAAATAAGTTACTAGTTACTTTACAGATTCTGATTATTCGCTAATAAGAAATATAAATAAAGTAAGATATATAATTATAGGTTAAGATATTCAGTAGTAGTATATAAAGTAATTAAAATAAGCTCCACGTTTACTAGCTGTGACAAACAAGTGAATGCATCAATAATCACAATCCAATATTTAAGTTGATATGACTCTGAATTGAGCTACATCGCCCAATAAGTACTTTTACTTTTTGTTATTCAAGTATATTTGAATGCCCATACTTTTGTACTTCTTCTTAAGTAAGATATTAATTGCATGACTTGTACTTGTAACTGGTGCACCAGTCAAGAAACAGAAAAGGCAGCTACAGTCATTTCTACATTACTTGTATTAAACTTACAGGAGCCATTCTACAACCACCAGAATGATGGCTTCCTTGGCAGGTAAACCATCGGTCATCAGAACAAACATAGTGGTCATTCCTCCAGTAGCCGGGATCCCTGAGGATCCTATGCTGCACACTCCTGATGTCAACCTGCAGATCAAACACAGACACATACAACTTTACCAAGTCTATTCCTTTTAAATGTCTCATCTTGTACACTTTTAACCAATATTATAAAAAAGCTCAGTTGGATACTGCATTCTGATTGGTACATTTTGACATTCAGCAGTCTGCTCTTTTTTGATAGCAGACCGTTGCTCTGATCAAGGGACCATGTGCGGTGATATCAATCCGCAGAAAGAAGTCAATTTAACGTACACATACATCTTCCTTCTTTCGAAAACACCAATCATTTAGTATTTGTGGAAAGCACGACACTTGAATCTTGGATTTGTGACGGCTAGATATGCAGTATAATGGACTATATTTATTTTGCGTAAACAATACAATCATTTTTTAATTGATGACATGTTGAAAGCAATATTTTGGATCAAAGTATGGATTTATTTAGTAAGAAGCCGTGTAATAAGCGGGATAAAATTCAGCAAACAGGTAATTATAGCTAAATAAGCTCCTTTAGGGTTTATTCAAAACACCCTGTCAAGGCTCCTGTTTACTACAATGTCCTGCACACTAAATATTATTACTTCTTAACTTGCTATGGTGATGATGGTATGATTTTGAGTGGCTTACGCAATAGCGATTAACTGGCCGATTTTCAGGTGGATGTTGTTGATTTGGGTTATGAAGATGGCTGCGGCCACTTCATAAAGGGCAGTTCTATCCATGTTGATGTTGGTCCCGATGGGCAGCATGTACTGAGTGACACTTTTGTCGATCATGAGTCGGCTCTCACAACATTGAATAGTGAGTGGTAGTGTTTTAACGCTGGGAAACACACAATGCATGCTTAGTTAGTGAAAATATTAGAAATGTACATCTCTCAAAGATATGCTTGCAGATCTAATGATGAATGTTGAAATATCAGCTCTGTGTTACATCATCTCACCTTGACGAGCTGAACAGTGCCATTTTTAAGGCGGGAAAAATCTCCTTGATAACGCCATAGGGGTTACGTCTCGTACACAGGAAATAGGTCACAGGCAAAACTATTGTTGAGTGAATTATGAGCCTGAAACACACAATGAATGCACAATATGGAATCATCTGATACAATTGCTGACAGTTTGTCTACACAATGCAGCTGCCGGGCAAGAGTATTAAAACGACAAGACTGTAACAGCAATCCCAGGGTCTCAGGAAATGAGCCGAGCATGGCTGCCTTCTGCTGCTCATTACATTTTTTGGGAGGCGTAATGTGTGTTTTGGTCTGGTATAACCAGTAGCTTTTGGTGGATACAATTAACAAATGTGTTGCTTTAGCTTACTGTAGCTTGATGACTCGTTAAGGCTACAAGTGAGGTTAAATAAAATACCTGATTGATATATTATTTAACGCAAGGCTACTACTTTTAGACCAAAAAAGGTGGGATAATGCTAACGCTAAGACAATAGTAGCACAAGAGTGAGTAAACGTCCATAATAGTGCAATATCTAGCAGCTAACATTAGCTAAATAGTTGTATTGATCATTCCACTTAACTTTTAAAAGAACTGTGATATTTCAATGCTAAAACATTGAAGTTGAACATACCCAATAAAAACCAGTGCCATGAAATTTCCAATTTGGAAGATAGTTTCCACGTTATCAAACTCAATAACATGGCTTGTGGTCAAGAACAGCACTCCAACTGGCAAGAAGCTGAAAGATAACCATGAAATGAAAAATATGTAGATATTAGTTCAAAAATAAATCAGCTATGTTTTTTTCATTGAAGAAAATGATAAATCAACATAATAATGGATTCATATCGTTGGACGTCAAAACCTGAAAAATTGTCTAAAAGCAAAAGTAACAGAGGTAAAAGTTCACTAACTCTAATTTAAAACTGTGAGCAGAAAAGGAAGTGGAATTTAACTGTATTTCTTGTTTCATAAGGTTTGTTGTACAAGCTTACCTCAGTATCATGTCGACAATTATTTTTGTGGCCTCGTTGAGGACATGAAAGACCTCTACAAGGACTTTCCCATCTTTTCCAATCCTGTTGAAGATTATGCGGAATATTAAAGCCCACACAATCAGGCCCAAAATGTTGGCTCCATTGACATATTTGACCGACAGTCGCACTTCTGTCACATTCTGTAACAAGAGAAAAATGTCATAGCAAAATGATCATGAATCAAACATCAACGTCTTTCATGTAAACTTCAAAAAACAATCTTCAACAGTGACCAGGACATTTTTTTACCATATCCAGGCTAGAATTCAACTCATCCGATTCAACTTCATATTCCAACCTATCAGTCTCGTGCTACAAAAGATAAATAAAGTTTTAGCGACATTAATAATACAAATGAGCAGTTTGTCCTAATTGAAGCATACCTTTCTGAAGCAAGCCTGAATCAGGCATTTAGGCGCCATGTTCCTATAAACAAAAAATAAGTCACACCATCAGTATGTTTGGAAATGGTGAAACAACCAAGGAATTGTGTCTTAATTAAGGATATTATGCAATATTTCTGTATTAGATGACTTAGTTGAATACTCTAATCTGATTTGGGCATCCAGCAGTCTGCTCTTTTTGATAGCAGACAAGTCAAGGGACAAGTGGAGTCATATCAATCCGCAGAAAGGAGAACAGTCAATTTAAAGGCAGGTGTCTCCTCCATTGGAAAACCCTATGGAATACTTTTTATATATACATTTTTAAATGAGCAGAGAGCATGGAACTTTGGAATTATGGCGGCAAAGCTGTCCCCAGTAAAGAAATGAAAAAGAGAACAATTAGAAGAAAGGAAAAACAAGGTTTCAGGGTGATTCAAACCCCCTCCATAACCCTGTCAGTTTTTGTTTTTGTTGCTATAACGGCCAGTTCGCTGCACATGATCTGCACTGAAGAACACCTGAAATACATCATTATTTCTGCTAAAGGAGACGATAAATGGATTTGAGTCCTCTAAATGTTTGAGCTGTTTCTGACTTAAAAGCCTTGCTGAACTGAATATGCAGGGCAAGCAGAAATGTTCTTCTCACCTTATGATGTCCATCAAGGAGTCAACATTGAAGAAGGGCTCATCGTCTTCTGGGTCTTCTCCTTCAACAGCATGAGCACTCCCTGGTTTGAACACCATCATCAGAGCTATCCCTGCAACACAGAATCCATGGTGGAGCATGAGAAGCAAAAACACCCCGTTCATGTGAGAAAGAGCACCAGCAGCTCGATTGAACACAATAATATAATAATATATGCAGGTTTGAACATCATACTGTGAATGATTCATGTTTTTTAAAGGGGCCTTACTATGCTAATCTTCACATTCCTATTGTTTGCCTCTACTCTAACAGTCTCCATGCTTTAATGTGCTGCAGCACTTCTTTTCACCCTCTGTCTGAAACCAGAGCCCAGTCTGCTCTGATTGGATAGCTGGCCGGCTCTGTTGTGATTGGTCAACCGCTCAGAGATGTCCCGCCCCTTAGCCTATCATGTACAATGTGTTGGAGCTTTAGCCAATAGAAGCTTCAGGCTACATTACCTTTATATTTTGATACTCAGATTAGGCTTCTGATTACAATTTTACAGGTAACTAGTAATGGTAACAAATTAACTAGGGATGCTCCGATCGCCAATTTTGGGGCTGATCGCCGGAATCAGTATCGGCCGATACCGATCGCCGATCCGATCGAGTGGGCGGGGCCTATGGGGGACTTCCATTTAAAGTGATGTTTAAAACTCAGTTAATGGGGCTCATTCACTGGCGCTTCCACAAACCAACCAACCAACATAATTATTACATTCAAATGAAGTACATTATTCAAGTTTACATTAACTTGGGATAATAACACGGGAGAAATGAGCGGAATCGCTCTCTTTTCCTCTCTCCCCCTCTCTCTCTCTCCTTACAGCCCGTCAGTATCTCCTGCAGCTCACCATGAATTAATGCTTTGACAAGTCTGCAGACAAGACGGCAGGCGAAAAACCTTTTAAAATGCTTGTTTTCTGAATGAAGATCGGGTCGACCAGGCTAAACTAACGTTGTATATGCTCATTCCACACTCATAACAACGGCCTACAGATATAAATAAAGCAGCGACTGTATTCGCCATGACACAGACAGTCTGTGGTTTGTACTTGTTTAACTTTTGTCCAGTTTCTGAACATATATGAGGAGCTGTGAGCTCTGTGTGCTAACTGCTAACAGCTAACGGCTGATGTTGTGTGGTTGAACGTCAGTGACGGCGGCTGAGATCCTCACCGCTGATTGGCTTCCGCGAGAACGCGTCACGTGAATTTGACGCTCGAGTTGAAAAAATGGAACTCTCGCGTTTAACGCGGCACCGTTCAATCGCCTCAAACGCGTGATTCGCGCCGCATCCACCGCTTCATGCGCGCCGTCGGAGCGAATTCGCGTCTGTCCGCGTGTCTGCATTGACTTTACATGTAATCGCGCCGCCCCCAAACATCGCATCGCGTCCGGTGTGAACGCAGCATTACTCCTCGACAAAATGAATCTGTGTGAGCCAGGGGCGGCGCCAGGCGGTAGCTTGGAGTTGCTACAGCAACACCAACATTTGGCATAGCAACTTCTAAGCAACCCCAAGAAATTTATGTTTTTTTATATATATGTGAAATTCACAATTTGAAAAATTATTTATTCAAAAATGATATGCTACAGTACAGTACAAGCAGAGCCGGCCCGACCCATTAAGCGACATAAGCGGCCGCTTAGGGCCCCGCAACCACTAAGGGCCCCCTAGCAAAAAATGGAAAAAAAAAAGAGAAAAAAATGAATTTTTTTTTTTTTTATCTCAGTACACCGTTTTTTATCTCAGTATACCGTCGCCGTGATAAGTATGTTTAATTAATTTTGTTAATATGCCTAGATTGCCTACTCTCAAAGTCATGTATTATATTATTAAGTCAATCATATAATACATTAACCGTGCTTTACCTGAACCTCATCATGACACTAGAGAGGACGGCAGGATTGTAATTTCCCGTGTTCAGTGAATGCAACAGAGGCAAGGCACCAGACCAACCAGAGAGTTGAATGGAAATAAACATCTGTCTTATTGGCTGACAGGTACCTATCCTGTGAGCTGTGACAATGTTTAAAATAAACCCTCAGTCTCAGACTCAGAGTTTTTGAAGATGGACATAAGAACATTTGTTCTTAAAAAAGACGACAATTCTCAAGTGGTGGTTCACACAACAACCCCAGAGCCAGCACTTGAGCCAGGAGAAATTACAGCTACGTTGACGTTACTTTGAATCGCGGGGGTAAGCTAAACTGTTAGCAAGTAGCTATAGCTAGCCAGATATATTAAATAAACACTTTGTCATACAATCTAAATGTAATGTTTTTTAGCGTTACCTGGTGATTTCAAAGAAAGCTCTCTGGGAAATGTTGACTTACTGTTCGACATGAAGCTAGAAGCTACCTTACAGTACACAGCTGATCCTCGAGTCCTGTCAGTTAAAGTGTTTCATAGTTAGCTTAGCTAAGCATCAACCTAGCACTGAAATATATGGATGTTATGTGACAGTATTTCTGAGAAAAAGTCAGCTGAAATGGTGGCATAGTTGCCACTGCTTTACGATTGAACGTATTTGCAGCAGTAAATGTGGCTGTTTGGCCACTGTTGTTGCCATAACAACACCTGAATTTAAATGTGCAACCTCTTTTTGTGACAGATTTTTGCATGAAATTATAATTCTTCTGAATGATATTCCTATTGACAGCTAGTTGCTATGTGAACATTATGAGATGGACAGCCAGAGAGAATAAATGAAAAACAGTTATGAAATACTATATGACAAAACAAGAATACAGTTTAAAAGGGGAGTGATTTGTAAAATATCCATAAAGAAAAATCTGTTTACAGTTCTGTTTCATATGGGTGTTGAGAGATGTATCCATAGATCTCTTAATTTTGCTCTCAAAGTGCACCAGATTGATGCTTTTAACTTCAATATTTAAAAAAAAATCTTCCTGGGGGAGCATGCCCCCGGACCCCCCTAGAGGAGGCGAGGACCCCCCTAGTGTTTACATGCTTATTTATACAATATGTGTGCTTATGCTAACATCATAAGACAAAAGTTGGTTCCGTGTTGTGTGAAGTGAGAACACGCTAGAGTGAGGGGGGCCCCCAAGCCAAAGCTCGCTTAGGGCCCCCAAAAGTCTAGGGCCGGCCCTGAGTACAAGTACTTCTGGGTGTTTCATTCATTAGAGAGAGAGAGAGAGAGAGAGAGAGAGAGAGAGAGAGAGAGAGAGAGAGAGAGAGAGAGAGAGAGAGCAGATAGATAGAGAGATAGATGCGCGAGCGATAGATCGAGCGCTAGAGAGCTATCTCGTCTCTCTGCTCTCTCTCTCTATCTCGCTCTGATCTACTCGCTCTCTGCGCTCTCTCTCTCTCTCTCTCTCTCTCCTCTCTCTCCGTCTCTCTCTCTACTCTCTTCTCTCTAGAGAGAGAGAGAGAGAATAACGTCGTCACCATAGTAACCTTTGATCTCTGGGCTTACACACACAGGTGTTTGTAAACATTCATTCACTACTACTTACATTTAATATCTAACTTCTTCAGCCTACTTTCAGCTGCAGAAACGATTCAACTATTAACTTATTGAGCTATTTCAGGACATTGAGGCTATACATTTTGTTGTTTATACCTTTTTTAAAACCTTTTCTTTTAAATATTAAGCTTCTTCACTATTTTTTCCTACTCTTCCAGTTTAACATTTCACTTTCAAGTTTTCAACAAAGTCATTGCAATGCATTTGAGCTGTAACAATTTGATTCAAATCATTTCACTTTTCTGCATTTCTCCGCTAAGTTCAGCAACACACTGGTTTTTGTAGCTAAAAGCAGCTACAGAGACCATTCAACTAATACAATATTCAGCTTTTTCTGCATTTTCAGCAAAATTCAGCCACAAATGTTCACAGTTTACAGCATTCGCACGTATTTTCTGCAGGAAATGCATTTTCTAGTTTCAACCAATACTTTGGCTCTCAATAACTTCAGCATACTTTCAGCTACAGAAACCATTCAAATATCAAACTATTCAGCCTTTTCAGCACATGCTGGGAAAACTTCAACCTCTTCAAAATATTTTATACTTTTAAAAATATTCAGCTTTTTAAACTCTTTTTTTAACATGTAACTCAATGGGAGGAACCTTCAAATCCTCTTTTACCTACACCTTGCGCCAAATGCTTCTCCTTCCACATACTTTCAGCTAGAGACTTCCTTCCAACTTTAAAATTATCACAAGACCTTCAGCTATAAAACTTGTTCTTCAGATTTTTCATATCTTTTACACTTTTTGAGATATTTAACTTAGTTTGGAGCTTGGTAAAGAGGCTTTCTTCAGATTTTAGCAACCAAATGCTATATTTTCTGTCATGTCCTAAATTGTCCCTGCCACCATTTTTAGGATATTATAGTAAGTTCATAGGAAGGATGAGACAACTGAGCAGCCGTCACTGACTTTGCGTAATCACCCTTTTTAAACCTCTCCCAGAAAGTCTTCACTTACTATAAATATCTTACTTTAAATCCAATCACTTGCCCTATTCTTCGTTTTCCTCAAAACACAACCTCCACACGGCGGTGGAGCTTTTCACAGCACCCCAGATGCTTTAGTACCCCTGGCACTTCCCAACGTCCCTGACGTTTTAGTACCCCTGGTACTGGCATGCACATTTACAAGAAATATATCCAAACACAGCCTCCACACGGCGGTGGAGCTTTTCACAGCACCCCTGATGCTTTAGTACCCCTGGCACTTTATCACAGCATCCCGGATGCTTTTATCTTTATCACAGCACCCTTTATGCTTTTATCTTTATCATATTTTCGACAAGCAGGTCAGCACCATAGTCAAATCCTGCTTTTTTTAAATAAGACTATTGGCCAAAACCAAGTCGTATTTATCTTTTAAAGACTTATAAATGGTTATTAACACCTTTGTAACCTTGAGACTGGATTACTACAACGCTCTATACGTGGGTATGGACCAGGCCTCAATTAAACGCCTGCAGCTAGTCCAAAACGCAGCTGCACGTCTTCTGACTGGCCACAAAAAGCGTGACCACATCACCCCAATTCTGGCCTCACTACACTGGCTTCCAGTTCGGTTCAGAAT